ACTTTTAAATATATAAAAATAAACGAGTACGCGAAACAAATAAAATAGAAAATATTAATTACTTTAAATCGGAAGTTATTGTAATATTTAAAGTAATTACAGCGGATTATTAAGAAACCTTTTATTTTATTTTTACTTAAAACGTTGGTATATAATAACGGTTTTACACGTACTTCAAAGTATGTTAAGGTTATTAAGTTAAAAAAAAATTTACGAGGTTTTTCTTTTATTAGTTTGATCTATTTTACGTAAATTAAACACTTTTCTTGTTCGAAATATCATTTAAAAAAATTATAAAATATAAGTAAAATTTGCTTTTTACATAATATATTTAATAACTATAACGACCGTAATATATAAGTTTAAAGTTATTTATATATTTTTATGGTAAAGTTTGATTAATAAGTCATAGAAAAGTGTAAAGCGCTTTATAAAAAACTATAAGAAATGTGCCTTTCATTATAATATGAAAGCCTTAAAATATTAATTTATATATTTTATTACTAGCCTTGGTCTGATATAATAAGCCTTTTTTAAAATATATTTTAAGTGTGACGAGCCGTCTAACCTATGAGGCTAAAGGGTTTTATAGGGTTTATGTTCTGAGGTAAGTCAACACAAAGGACGATAGAGGCTTCTGTTAACTAGAAGACACTCAGATGCTGGTGCTTAGTCTGAACTGGGTTCACTGTGTAGTCGAGTCGTCAAGAGATTTCTCCCACCTTAGGGTTGGCTAATATGCTTAGATTGATCACTGAGATAGAGACTGTCTATCTATCTAGTTAATAAATGTCTGTCCTTATATATCCAATCTCTCCCTCACTGATTAGGTGGCTCACCCTGGATCACCGGTGATCCAAGGTGATCCTGCTCACTGGCTCACCATGGTGATCCAGTGATCTAAATTCTTAGTCACGTGACCCAGGTTCTGCTGGTCACGTGATCTGTGTACCGTTGCTCCGTTGCTCCGATCTCTCCACTGATCAGCAACCCACTTACTGGTCAACCTGTTTCCAATCGTCTCCTCTAGGCCTGCTATCAGGCCGCACTGTTCGTTGGTTTGTAACATTAAGGTCTTTTATTCCGTATTATTTAATCAATATTCAAACTAATAAGTTTAATATTAAAGGCATCACTTTAAATTTAATACTTAATTATATATAAGTATATTATTATACGGTTATTTATTTACGAGTTTTAATCGTGTAATACTTATTAAGATTTAAACGTTAACTTTCTTAATAATTTATGCTTTTTAATGTAAAAATTGTATTAATAAGCTTTTATATTATTATCATAGTATAAGACTTTTATAGATTTTAGTTATTCATATCGCCAGCTTATTTACGATATATAAATATTTGAGCCTTTTTTAACGAGTCTTAGCGCTATATATAAGCGTATCATTATATTTTACAAACGATATTATATAAGGTATTTTGAACCTATTTTTATCAAGTTATTACGTTGAAAGATAATAATGTTTTATATTTATTATTTTATAAATTATTAACAGGGGCTAATAATACGGCAGCTTTTTCTCGTTTTTATACACTTTTTATAATAGTTTCAATTAAATTTAAATCTAAAGTTATGACATAAGTAAATAGTAAAGACTTAAAAAAAATACTTGGTTATCCATTTCAACAAGAACTATATTTTTAATATAGAAATAAAGATAATACTTTTTACGTTTACCTTACATATAGTTTATTTTTAAATTTATTTTATAACGAAGTAAGCAGCTAATGGTGGGGGGAAATACTACGAATATAAGCAATATTTATAAAAATATACTTATATTAAGCCAGTTTAACGTAACTGACAAGCGAGTTGACATTACAAGCGAGTTGGCACTCGTCATGAACTTTCCAGCCAATACGATTCAAACCATCATATCTCCACCAACAACAATGGCACCGCGTTATAACAAATCAGACTTGTAGCTAGCTGTTCAAGCTAAACGACGTGACCCTCATATTCCTATATTTCAGCTTGCGAAACTCTTCAACGTCCCTCGTTCCACTTTGAGCAATAGAGTCAAAGGAATGCCATCACGACGCGACAGCATGCCCAATACTTTGAAACTTATGGTTTCCGAAGAGAATGCCATTTGTTCCTTCATTCTCGACCTAGATGCGCGAGCATTTCCGCCCCGGTACAGTTATGTTGAAGATATGGCGAATCAATTGTTGGCAGCGCGTGGGGCTGGACGCGTTGGAAAGAACTGGACGCGGAACTTCATCAAACGTACACCAGGCCTCCGGACGCGTTTTCATGGAAAGATAGACTACCAGAGGGTCTTGAACAAGGATCCAGATGCGTATCGCGCGTGGTTTTGCCAAGTTGCAGCAGCAGTCGCAAAACATGGTATCCAAGACGCGGATATTTACAACTTCGACGAGACTGGGTTTATGATGGGCATTATTGGGTCCGGCATGGTCATTACAAGCGCCAAAAGACGTGGCAGGCCTAGACAAGCTCAGCAAGGCAACAGGGAATGGTCTACAGCAATCTCTGCTGTTAATGCTGATGGTTGGGTGGTCCCGCCGTTCATCATTCTACAGGGCAAAACCCACCTCGCGTCATGGTATCGCGACACGATATTACCACGCGATTGGAAGGTGGCCGTGTCTGACAACGGGTAGACCACGAATGAGATTGGTTTGGAATGGATTCAGCATTTCGACAAGTATACCAGACCGCGTATGACTGCCGGTAAACGCCTCCTCATCCTAGATGGTCACGAAAGCCATCATTCCCAGGTCTTTGAGGATTATTGTCAGAACAACGGCATTATCACCCTTTGTATGCCTGCCCACTCGTCACACAGGCTCCAGCCTCTAGATGTCGGCTGTTTTAGCCTGCTCAAACGAGCTTACGGTCGCATGATTGAGGATCTTATCCGGCGTCATATAACCCACGTTTCAAAGGAGGACTTCCTTGCAGCGTTTTGTGAAGCACACAACGCTGCTATGACGCTAGGAAACATTCAAGCAGGTTTCAGTGCCACTGGGCTTGTTCCTTTTGACCCAGAAAGTGTTATTTCAAAGCTGGATGCTGTCGCTGTCATACGAACACCGTCGCCAGACCCCAATCTGCCACCCACTACTTGGACTTCGAAGACGCCTACCACCATTAACGAAGCGGTAAACCAATCAGTTTATATCCGAAACCGAGTCAGAAACCACCAGGGAAGCTCACCTACATCAATAGTTGATGCGTTGAGCTCGTTTTCAAAGGCTACATACGGTCTTATGCATAAGGTCGCTTTGGTTGATTCCCGGGTCCGCGAACTAGAAGAGGCCAATCACCTACTAAGTAAACGCCGGAGAACAAAAAACAAACGTCTAGTGAAAGGAGGAGTACTTTCTGTTAAAGATGCAGTAGATCATCAGGCTGCAAAGGATGGTGCTGAGCTGGCAAAACAGGAAATGGGTGAAGGTAATCGTCGTCCGAGGCGGGCGGCAGCGCGTGGGCAACAGTGTGGCGTTTGCGGCAATACTGGCCATAATGCGCGAACTTGTACAATAGAGATAGAAACCTCTAAGGAAGAGGAATCCGATTGATTGAATTGAACTGAATGCGTTGTGGTGAAGTTATTTGACATGGCAGTTGGGGAGTTCATGACGAGTACCAACTCGCTTGTAATGTCAACTCGCTTGTCAGCTACGTTATATTAATGCTTTTTAAGTAACAGCAATTAAGTAAACCGTTATTATTATCGTTATTATTTGAAAAGCACGTAGCCGGCTTTTGAACAGTAACGGTTAAATAGATTATTACGATTATCATTACTATTTTTAAATATACGGCTGCTTATTGAATTCGATACTTATTACGTTTAATAATTAGATTATTAGCTTTAATAATAAAAATTCCATTAGGCGTTATAAAGTTTAATATAATTACTAATACCCGTATTCCTAAATATATTTTTAATGTTAAATATATAAATATCTTAGTTTTAAGTATCACTTTTCATATAATAACGGTAAAAAAAATAAAAAAAATAAAAATAAATGTCACGGGCTCCGGTACGGGCAGTATAGGCGATCGTATGACAGTCTATTCTCTACGGTTCTGGCAGGGTTACAGGTAACTCTATTGACAGGACGTAGCTCGAAGAGCTACAATTCAGGTTCGGGCGGGAACAGTAAAGATATCGTCAGTTCTCAGGTCCACATTGGTCCACCCGGGCCGCCGACAGCTGGCGCCCGGGGTCCCTCCACTTTCTGCCCATAGGTAGGGTCCAGCGCCGTGACAATAAATAACGTATATTATAATATGATAAACATTAATACGGTCATAAGTTTTAATAATGGTAAAAACCAGAATAATAATATAATAATATATATAAAAATACAAGTAAAGCTTTCAATATACCGAAATATTATACATAGTCATAATGTTAGTAAAAGCTTTTAAAAGATATTTACCTACACATATTATACACGCTTTATTAAATTACACGTTTTATTATATTAAAATAATACATAAAAGTATTTAATTATTAGAATTTAAACGTACAATAACGTCTATTATAACGAAATAAAGCAAAGTTTTTAAAAAGGACTTCATATAAGCAAACCGTTTTTAACCTCTCTCTTTTATAAAGGCTTTGAAATCATAATCTGTACGACCCAAGCACAACGTTTATATACGGAAACCTCTGACTATAAATTTAATATATAAGTTATTATATATACCGGGATTTACTTTTTTAATCAAAATAACAAGCCTACTTACGGGGGAAAAAAGTATGACATAATAACCCTTCGTTCTACTATAATTATTTTTCCTTCCGTTTAAAACGAGGGCATTAAACAGTATCATATAACATAATATAACGCAGTATATATGTTATATTGTGTTTCTCAGACTCCATCCCTACTTTTTGAGCTTAGATTGTGCGAAACGCAGCCTTTTCCCCTCAATACGTCTGTATCAATCATCGCTATTCGTCACCCGTCCCAAATCAGAGTGATCTCATCTCAGCCATGTCGGCGGACCCAATCCCCACGGCCGATTCCATCGCCAATGCGACACTGCTAAACCCACTGGGCAAGGTCGCCGCCATTAGCCTCTTCGTCGAGAGCGTGCCCAACGCAAAGACATTCTACAAGTACGTCTTCGAGGTGCCCGTTCTCTATGAGGACGAGACGTCGTGCGTCATTCAATTCGGCAACCTCATGGTCAATCTACTCCAGGCCTCCGAAGCCGACACATTGATACGACCTGACGCCTTTGGAGGGCCCGACGCAGGACGGCGTTTCCAATTGAGCATGCATATGGGTGCAGGACCTGGACGCCATCTGCGCCGCGTTGGCGTCGAAGGGGATCAAGTTGTCGTCCGGGCCGCAGCTCCGGCCTTGGGGGATGAAGACCATCACTTTCATGGATCCTGCGGGACATAGCTGGGAGGTCGCGCAGAAGATGTGAACTCCCATGCGGGCTTCCAAGCCGAGCACACGTCTGAGAGCGAACCTCCGTGACAGCATCAAAGCGACATGCAGTCGTCACATCGACGAGCACTTGCTTCGGATCGCGTTACCTAGTAGCGACGCTAATGAGTTGGCGCATCGGCCAGCACCAAACGGCGTGTCTTCCGAAAATGGTGTGGAACCGTGGGGTATCGGCCTGGACTGGCGGCAAGGACCCTCCCTATTAGTGGTTACCCCTGAATACCCCTATCTACATTCAATGATCAGTGTATATACGAAAAAGGGCTGCGGCGGGCAATCAACTCACTCACATGACATTCATGCTCTTGCTGTAACACCAGTTCGTCTCTCATGTTGTCGTTTGAGCCATGAGTTGGCCAGTTGACACAATCATCCCGATTTCCGAACCCGAGATTACTCTCACTTACATTCTCCTCGCTCCGTTAGCAGACCTGAGGGGCTCCAGACAGGAGCTAACCGAGTTGCCAGAGGTTTGGCCTTGTAGCTCCTGATGATGACCCAGCGTACACTCATGTCCGCAACGACATTCGCGTACTCACCGCATCGACTTCGCCACCCCTCATATCGGCGTTACGGAATGACGTTGGGGAGGTGGTACTTCACGCGGGCCCTATGTTGGGAGTTCGACCGTGCTCATACTATACACCTGCAAGAAGCTTGACATAGCTCATAACGCAAGAGAAGCCATTGGGGTCGGTTGTGCGCGTGCCGGGGTGATAGCCCCCAGCTTCCGTGCGCCTTTTCCGTCATCTGGCAGGTGATGCACAATCGGAGACTTGCACCATGGCTTCGGAGAAGTGCTGGTTCACGTAGCTGAGACGCCTGTCGCAAGGAACGCTACGCGCGGGTACAAGAGCCGGACCGGAGTCACTTATAGGGGAGAAGGAGGTCGCATGGCCAACAGCTGCCCGTGCCGAAGGAGATCGACTGATCGATGGGGCCAAGGTGGTCGAGACCCTGGAGCCAGAGACCATGCGCGGACAGGGCGCGACGTCCATGATAAGTCGTAAACTTATCACACGCGCGGCCTAGACAAGTGACTAGACGTCGACGCAGTTGTAGCTGAGGCAGTGGTCCCTTCTCATATGACACTGCCGTTCTCCGCGATATGCCATTGAGAAGGGAGTCATCATCGCTTCAAGCTAACAGCAGAGCCTCGTTCATCTGGTTTGGCTGGTCCACGATTGCCGTCTTGCCTTGTCGGTTGCTGACGAACCCGAAATCTGCAATACAGTACGAGTTGCTACCTGGGGGAACAGTGTAAGTGATGCGGCCTGGAGACCCGGAACGGGAGAGCCCCCATTTGCGACCATCAGAGCTATGCCCCTGAGATACCAATCTTGGAGCAGACACATAATTGTCATGACGCCCGGATCGTCAACAAGACCGAATCGCGGTTGAGATGGCGAGGAAGTTGGATGACGGCGGTCCTCTCGTGACAGCTTGGTTGCCTGAAAGCTTTTGGTTGCGTCAAGCACGGAATCGTATTGACGGAAATGCTCGCCAAGGCCGAGGATTGAGCTGCGGGACTGCGATATGAGGAGAAGTTCAACTCAGTCACCGACGAGACGAGATGGGGCCCTCGTCTCGACAGACACAGTGTGTCTCAAGTCGTGATGGGAATTCTCTCTGGCTGACCGGTCAAGTCATGATCGTGGGCTTCGAAGTGGGAGCAGCAAAGTTCAAGCCCAGGCCGGGGAAGCAGAAGTCGACCACGGAATCCGGTACCACCTGCAATTATGGTTTGCGTCAAGCAGGGCCGAGATGGCGTATAATGGCGTGCCGATTGCCAAGCAGCCACCCAGCCCACCACGTCGCATTGAAAGGTTTCTGCTACGTAACGATTTGCGATGGTGTCATTGGCTGCTCGGTGAGAGTTTATGCACTAGGTTGCACCCCCATCAGCATACATACGGTACTTGGTATATATGACCTTGCAGAACCTCCAATCAATATTTGCACCGCACGCATACTCAGTCTGTTCGCCAGCACCGTCACCTGCTCATGGCTGACACTACGATCAAGGATCCGGAACGCACCGGTGCGCGCGAGATAGTTGCGAACACGGATGCCGAGTACGCACCGGCGACCCAAGCCGTCCAGCAGTATGCCTACTCGGAATCGCGAAAGATCGGCGTCACAGGCGCCGTCTTCCTCATCCTGAACAAGATGATCGGAACCGGAAGTGAGTCTGTCTCGTCGTAGTTGCGTGACTCCAAGGCTCACCCTGGACACAGTATTCTCAACCCCATCCGGCATCTTCGCAGCCACAGGCTCCGTGGGGGTATCCATCATTCTCTGGCTCGTCGGCGGCATTCTCACGTTCTGCGGCATGAGCGTGTTTCTCGAGTTCGGACTCGCCATCCCACTGTCTGGAGGTGAGAAGAACTACCTCGAACGTGTGTACAGGCACCCCCGCTACCTGGCCACTTGTGTCCTGGCGTCGCAGATGATCCTTCTGGGGTTTTCGTCCGGTAATTCGCTCGCCTTTGGTCGGTACGTGCTGGCTGCGTCGGGAAGCACCAAAGGCGATGGCTGGGAGGCCCGTGGCATCGGCATCGCATGCATCACGTTCGCTGTCACCTTGCACTCGACATTACCTAAATGGGGGCTCCGCCTAGTCAACATCCTCGGCATCTTCAAGGTCGTGATACTTCTGTTTATTGTGTTCTCCGGCTTCGCTGCACTCGCAGGCCACCTTCGCGTGCCGCCTCCCGGAAACTTCAAGAACGCCTTCGCCATCGAGACCACGGCGAACTACGGTGGCCAGGGCGCTTATGGGTATGCGACAGCCCTACTGAACATCATTTACAGCTACAAGGGCTGGGAGAACGCCAACTATGTCGTTGGAGAGCTTAGGAACCCTCGCAAGACCTTGGCGATTGCCGCGCCTATCGCCATTGGCGGCGTCACCATTCTCTACATACTAGCCAACGTGGCCTATTTCGCGGCGATTTCCAAGGACGACCTGGCCACGTCCGAGGTGCTGGTGGCGGGACTGTTCTTCCGCAATGTGTTTGGCGACAATGCGGCGGCTAAGAGTCTTCCAGCGTTCGTCGCCTTGAGTAATCTCGGCAACGTTCTGGCAGTGAGCTTTGCCCATGCTAGACTGAATCAGGAGTTTGGCAAAGAAGCTCTCTTGCCGTTCAGCCTGTTTTGGGCGTCGATCAAACCCTTCAACGCGCCAGCTGCAGCGGTATGTCCTCCTCTACCCCCTTCTAACATATGTGCATTTGCTAAAAGCAGTAGTTGTTCCTCCACTGGCTCGTCACAGTCATCGTCCTCGTTGCTCCTCCAGCGGGCCCAGCATACAACTTCATCATCAATCTCTACACCTACCCAGGAGCATGGATCAACGCGTTCGTCGCAGCCGGGCTTCTATATCTACAGTGGAAGAAGTCCGAGAAGTGGTCGTCGCCGTGGCACACCTTCTTCCCCATCACAATCGTATATTTTCTAGCCAATGTCTTCCTTGCACTCGTCCCGTTCATTCCGCCGACTGGAGCTTGGGACGCCGAGGGCTATCCGTACTATGTCTTCCCCGTCGTTGGAGTTGGTGTTCTGCTTCTGGGTGGTGTGTACTGGGCGTGCTGGTCGAAGATATGGCCTGCCATTGGGGGGTACAAGGTTGTCGCGACGAGGGTAGTCGAGACCGATGGAGCTGAGGTCGTCAGATACCAGAAAATCAAGATTCGGTAATGGTTTAAGCATTGATGAGTGCATGATAGCATCAATTCATCGAACCAGAAGAAGGCAAACGGAAGCTTCAAGCAAAAGCAAGCGCTGACAGAATTTGAACCTGTCCCCATATATATGTTCATGTCAACCTCTTATCTAAACCTAAAATAGCTTCTAGGACAATAGATATTACGTATATGCACGCCTTCTTTTATTACTTTACTGTGAACCAGGTGGCGGTGGAGACCGAGGGAAACCTTCAGGTAAAATAGGAGGGAAATTTTAATTCTAGTTTCAGGAATATATAGGGAATAGGCAGACGAACTGCGGAATTTACGCGCTGATTAACCAAAAAGAGACAAAGATACTGTCCATAAAAGATACCGTCCGAAGTCGACACCGACGTGCAGGTGAAAACCGGACGGTATTTTCCCCGTATAACAAATTCAGGTTAACACCCACGTGCAAACTCGCTAGAAAGATCGACGGCTTCTAGGCATGCGTGTTCATCGCCGGGTCGCTGATTATTACGCTTTAACCTGCCACTTGCCAAACCATATGGAATGCATTTTCAATTGGGTTACCACCTGACTAAGGTACAAACATTTCATTCTTCCCTACAATACTTGCCTGGACCTTTCCCCCTTTCGAGGTGGGGCCTTGGCAGCTGGCTATCCGTCTGTAGCATAAATTCAACCCCACTGCTTGTCACCTCGGTGATGTGCCTTAGGCGGAGAATTCGTAATGAATCTAAATTGTTTGTCGTGCAGCTGGAAGACGAACGATATTTCTCTTCTTCCCAACCAGAGACTCACTCTCTGGTAACTTCATGTTCATTCTCGCGAACCGCCCCGACTCCAATCCCAACCGACGCACCACCGCCATGTCGGACAGCAAAACGATGCCGCGCAAGGTCTTGACGTAGGTCTCAATCCATTCTTCGCTGCACTTAGAAATCCTAGTCGACTGACCATCTTTCATAGCCGAAGCAAGATTGAAGAGGCCCAGGCCCTGATGCTCAAACTGCCTGGCTTTCGCTTCTCTCTGTCGTCCAATACCCGTATTGCTTCACGCAAACTCTGCGTCTGGAAGCTGCTGCTCATCAATCCCGATTCACCCGATCTGTACGATGCCACTGTCAGCACCATACGATCCAACCTAAACCTCATGATCGACCATTGTCTTGACGCTCCGATGCCTACTAGCGATCTCTTGTCCGATCTCTTGTCCACTATCTCGTCCGATCTCTTGTCCGCTCTCTCGTCCGACCTCTCTTCCGACCTCTTGTCCGATCATATCCTCGACATGGCATCAACTCGGCTGGCAACCAACTGCTCGTACTGGAGTCATACGACGAAGTCCAGCGCCTACTTTCGTGAGGCAATTATCACTTGCTGCGCTGCTCGCACAGCCCATCCGCCTGGGTGCCGACGAAGGCAAAGTAAAGCTTTTATCCGACGAGCTTACGCAGAAGGTGGATTGCCTTGATGAATTTCTGCGTTCTGCGGGCGATGCGAGCGAAGTAAACAGCGAGCGGGACAATGCGTTGCGCGCCGAGAACTTGGAGCTTCGCAAAGCCATCGACGAGGAGCGAAGCAATCATCGCAAGACCAGTGCCCAAGTTAGCGAGCTGCACAATGTCATCCAGCACGAGAGACGCTCCCACCGCGCCAAGATCCGAAGCCTCCTCTTCCCTGCTTAGATGCCGCTTCTTCTGGTCGAACCACCCTCTCGTATACGACATTCGTCCGAAGGAATCAGGGTGCCATGATCAAGCCGTACGTCTGCTGTATTCACCACCATCTTTTTTTACGCGCGAGCCTCGATTGGTCAGAAGAGGAGTTGGAGGCCGTACATAGTGTACTAGCTAGCGTTCAGAGGGAGCACATGGTCCGAGCATCCTCTAGTAAGCCTGAAGACTGTGGTGTACAGGCGTATATAGTTGGTGGCAATGCACTCACTGAACTAGTATGACACGCGCTTAAACTGGAAGCCAAGTATGTTTGAATAGAAACGGAGGGATTTCCATAATTGATTTCTTGCAATAAAGTGCCTGTAAACAAACCATTGCATACAATCCCACCAAGTAGCGTCCCGCGAACATCAGATATGATCAATGATGTGCTCCATGAAGAGGAAAACAGAGGGAGGGAGCAATGCCCGCCCACCGGTTACAACTTGAAAGACAGGAGGTTATTGGTTGTTAGACTTCTCGCAAGCACCACTCACTCTACGCTAGAAGATAGAAGAGCAAGAGGAAGAAGTCTAGAGGTAAAAACAGAAAATTCACCGCATGTTCTCAGTGGTAAGAAAAGGGGGTGGGTGGGACAAGATACTTCTCCAAAAAAATTATCCCCCAGATCTCCTATCCTGGCAGTCCTGTGAAGCAAGACCTAAATCAGAGCAAGACTAATTCGTGTTTCAGAGGCTTCTCCAATCGGTCTACTTACGATTCTCCAGATTTCCCGAAATGCTTTCATCAAGGCCTGAACCCCTCAAGCCCAGGATAAGAGACAATTGGTCTACCAAATTGACCATCGTTACAGCTCCCCAGCCAGGTATGGGAAATTTGAGCATATTTTCTGCTATATGGCCCAGCGCTATCTGCCAAAAGGCTAAGAACTATGTAGCCTTCTTTTACAGAAAACCCTGGCCGTGCAGTCTGACGACCGTTCTGAAGGCTATTTCTTTCACACCTCTTCATATTTGGCAGGGCTGAGTCGATTACTAATGATACTCTGGCTTTATTTTTGAGCCTCCGCACCTGCAATGCCTATACCCTTCTCCCCGTTCTGCATTGGGTCCCCACCCGGATAGCAAACAAGCCTCTGCCACACTGTCTTCGAAGTTGTCGTGCACTGCACCGTTGCCATCCACCGATGTTTTGATTCAAGACCTGTGCAAGGCTTCTGCCATCCACCTCTTGGATCCCAAACTGGAATTCCTTCCCACCTCCAACGCGGTGAGCCTACACGGGACGCATTGCAATACTGCATCATCACTTTTCTATCTTCAATCCGCCCTACGGCCTTCTGTCACATGCTGCCTGACACTGCGGTATGCATCCCAATGCCGCCTTCAATCCCTTTCTGAAATCCTCGAGATAGTCTGCTAACGCGCCTAGGCACCCACTTGACGTAAAACACCTCTCAGCGAGCCCTACCTCACGCTCGTCCGACTGCCCGCATGCGCATATGATTGGATTATTGTAATCCGTTTCGTCTCTACTTCTCTCAGTCCCACGAACCGACCACCTCCACCAGGTATTTGACCCCCGGCCCGTTTTCACTCCAGTTGCGGGCAATGTTCTGATCTTCTACATAGGCGCGCCACCGCGCACCAGGCCCGTCAAGTACGGGCTCTCTTGCAGGAGATTGACGGATTTCGATTCACTGCTCTTGCGTTGGCCTCTGACAAGCACGACATCTGGTCACTCCTAGCGTCCCCGACCCCTTCGACCAAGTCCACCGGAGTCAACATCGAGCGCGTTACTGCGAACCTTCTGGTGGTGGTTGATGCCTGCATTGACGCATCCAATGAGTCTGGACATCCAGTCGGCCCGTCCCCGGCTGATCCCGTGTTCTTCATGGCGTCCCAGAAGCTTTCGGCGAAAGCGTCGACGTGGATCCATTCTTGGGTCGCAGCTAGAGACTTGGGATGGCTCATCCGACTTGTTCACGGGGCTAGATTGGCGTACCGTATCGAACATCCCGCAGATCCCACGAACACCAGCCTCGTCTTACGGGTTTGACCACCAAGATCGACGCACTTGCTCCCTTGTTCGCGACAGGGGGTAAAGACCAAACCAAGAAGAGAGTCAAGAAGACCTTGAGACCAGTACGCAGAAATCAATCCGGCTCCTCGTCCCCGTCACTATTCGCGAGCCCCGTTCGACATCATGATGTTCGGGGCGACCGCCGGTACAAGGAGCAGATGGACGAACAGAAGGACATAGTCAAGAAGCTGCAGGACAGCGGCGAGCGATACCGAGCCAAAATCCGTGAGCTAAGGAAACGTGCCAAAGCAGCCGAGCGAGCTTTGGTCAAGAAGGAGGAGAGGCTCGCCAGAATGAAGCTAAAGCTCTCGATGAAGGACCGATCATGGCAGACTGTTGAGCAGGTCATAGGCGATACTCTCCGCTTGAGCGGTACCTCCACTCCGACTACCGCGGATATCCAGCGCTATATTGTCGAAACACACCTGGGCACCGGCCCCGAGGATGAGTTTGGCTGAAACGATATCACGAACAGACTTCTGGATCCGTCAGAGATTCGAGTGGGCCGTCCCATGATGCTTCGGCGCTGAGAATGCCAGGAATATCCGGATGTGTACTTGCATTCCGTGCTTCGATTACACCTTCACCCCCCATGGCACACTCCTTCTCCAAGAGCGGAGAGGCAAAGGGGAGATGCTTGTGAGATACGCTAAATCGGTTTGTTCATGCTGGCTTGTACTTGCACAACGGGCAAGGGTACGGAGAGTGTTTGGCAGGTTGGCAAGTGGCGCGTTTTCGGGCGTCATGCTTTGTTGGATGATTAGCGAGTTTACTGATGGTGTATGTACAATCAAGATGTATGAGATCCCAGCTTACTTGATGCTACAAACAGACAGTGTCAAGGGGGCGGGTAGTTAAATGCACTCAGGGGGTAGCACGAGCCCGCCCCTGTGATCGGCCCCCTGACCATGCAATCCCCACGGCTGGCGGCTGTCGGCTGTCAGCGATCGTCTCGGCCCGTCAAGTGTCAATCGGGTACAGACGGGAAGCACGCACCTGGAGGTTACATCGCGCCTCCATGGCACCTCCCCTGCTTCCCTGCTCCCCTACTCCACCGATCGCAGCCTCGCTCCCTCTCAACTCCTGCACAACCAAGGGCGGTCACTGGTCAGCCTCCTTCACCCATTTTTCTGTCTCACTGTTGAAGCCATCCCTACTGCCTAAGGTAGGTACCAGCAACCGCCTCCACTACTTTCAGGACCCTCGCACCAGTGCCAATCGCTCGGGCAATTAGGTGTCTTGCCCGGCCCTGTTGATGCGCGCGCAGATCCTCGACACCCGTCCCTGTTGAAATCGACGGGGTGTCATCGGCGTGGTGCATTGCGGTGCGGAGAAGTTGCAACTGCATGCGCAAACGAAAGCCCGTCCAATAAGCGGCTTGATGGTCACACCCTCCAGATTCATCCATTAGGCACTTCCTCCGTTTGTGTCCACGCCATTCGGGCCTCCAACGTCCTTCGATCTCTTCGTCGACGTTGCGATTGCCGACAATCGAGACAGCAAGTGGTGGCTTTGTCTCAATTAGCGCAGCTGGGGGTTCGTGCTGCTGAACCATCCCCGAAGCATCATGGATGCCAGGGCCGCACCTACTCAGCCGGGCACCAACCCCGGCGGCAAGCTCAACAATGCGCTGTCGGATTTTGCTTTGTCGTTTGTCAAGAAGGAGCTGCAACAGCTAGCCCGGGAGTGCGACGACAACCTGGGCCGTAACTACGTCCCGAGGCTCCGCGCGCTCTTGCGGGAGGTCGACAGGGAGCGCGACGCCTTCGAGCATGAGAAACAGCAGCTGGTCAAGGGATTGCGCGCGAAGCTCGAGCTTCTCCAGGTCGACGATGACGCTGTTGACGACGTCGTCGCTCAACTGCATGCAATGGGCCCCAAGTACCTCGGCGCCATCCCAAGCGCCTCGACACTTACTATACGCCCGCCGACGCCCACTATGTCGCCCACCATGTCGCCGTCCCGCGAAAACAACTACTTCAGCACAGTCCTAAGCGCAGATGCACGCCTGAACGGCCTGGCTGCCGCTCCGCAGAGCCCTATCAGAGAGAGGTCGGCTCCCGGCTTGCTGCATCACTCATCTCCCGCAGTAGCGCATGGGTCACCCCTCGCTATCACTAGTATCGATCGCCAAGTGCAATACCAAGTCATTGGCGAAAGTTCTCTAGCAATTAAGAGTCCGAAAAGACCGAGGGTTGAAGGACGCAGCAACAGCGGAACTCTGCCCAAGCGCCAAAAAGTCGTGAGCGAAAAGGTACGTCTTCATACAGGAGAAAGACAGTCGGATATTTCTCGAAAGATTGCATTCCCAAATCTGGTAACTGGCGAATGTATTTTCCGACATTCGCAGCGTAAAGGTTTTTTCGTCATCCGATGTGACAGACCCGGCTGTTCATCTGGCTATTTCAGGGAGCCACCGCTGGTGTACAATCGGGCCATGAAGCATTTCCAGAAGCACGGTGAAATTGGACCTGATGACGGGGAGTTGACCAACGATTACATCTTCGACAAGTTTGCCTGTCAAAGTACGTTTGACTCCATGTCCACTGGCTGTCCCATGCTGATCTTACATCCTCCATAGTCGAAGGGTCCGACTTGGCCAGCAAATATTGGATCAAGGAACACCTTGGAACGGTGCCACATACCTGTAGGTCTTGTTCTACCTGCATTCAGCTGCAACTTCTGGGTCGCTAATTCGACCTAGTCATCCCTGGGAAAACGCCGAGGATCAGGGCTGCCCCTGATGACAATCCAGAGCTTTCGGTCGATCATGAGGAGGTCAATGAAGATTTCGTACTGTCTGACAAGACTCAAGGTTCGATTCATGCCCGTCAGTCGGACGACGAGTCGGAGCCTGAGAAACCACGCCGCACACCTCGTAGTGTACCACGTCCAGATTACGCCGAGCTGGTTGCCAACAAAGACCCCTGTAATGGATCCGACGCAGATAGCGAGGTAAGCCCGGCAGTAGCCAGGTTTGCGTTGGCGACAAGTCTCTGACGAGAGCGACAGAAGACCTCCCAGACCACGAAAGCTTCCCGAGCCAGTTCGAGAAAACGCAAGGTTATGAGGCTCAGTGGTACGGCCTCGCCCACCACATCGAAGATTGCAACTCCTCTCGTATCGACAGTCAAGACTGTCGGAATAATGGAGCTGAATAAGTACGTCAGCACCAGCCCTCTCGATGAGAAAGACCTCGGCTCAACGAATCTAGACCCTTTGGCTACACTTCCGAACAGTGGCCCAGGAGATCAGCCCCTCGCTAGGCATCCTGACAACAATACGGCTGTTCATCACGAAGCGTATCTCGACAGATTATCCCTCACCGTCCAGACCGACAGAGACCGCATGAGATCATTTCGCAAGCAGCGTGTAGACATCTACGGAGATGTACTATCGCAAACTCATCGCTCATCTAAGCCTGAATCTGTCGAATCAAGTCTATGAAGTTTCAAATGTATTGATGGATGAAAGGGCACATGAAGGAAGCGGGAAGGTTGATCATGACTATGGATGCAAAGCGTCGCGAATTGCTGCCCACCTGCGTTCTTCGCCTGGGTAGCCTGGGGGCGGTACAGTAGCTGTGGTGGCGTGTGTGTGCTTGTGATATCCACGAAGTAGCTTTGCTTCCAAAAGGGAATGTTCACGTGTCGTCGACTAGATATTTGCAGTCGTTTAATCTTGTCTTCTACCCACATCCCACGTACGTGTTCTCTCTGCCGATTGCTCAGACAGCAAGCCTAGAGCCAGACTGAATAACATGAACCAAATACGCTGCAATGACTTGTATCAAGGGTAGGAAACTTACACAAAATGCTCAATCTCGATTCCAGGTCGGAACTCCAGAGCCGTCTGGGTTTGGATAGCTATTGCCAGGCCCTGTTGTGACGTAGGTCGGTGCAAAAACTGCAGCGGCCAGGCACATACGCTCCCTCTTTGAACCCACCCATATACCTACTGACACAGTCACGATCTCCTACCTTCATTCAATCCATCACATCCCTCAGTACAGCCTTTAAACCCCCAAGCTGCTAATCCCACGTCCACCTCCAGCCCACCCCCTTCAGTCCGCCTGATACTAGGTAAACCCTTTACAACTTCGCCCGGCCCGCATTCAGCGCATCCCAGTCGGCCGCCGTGAACGGCACGTACGCGTCCCCCTTGCCCATGTCGCTGACCCAGACCAGCGGGTCGCCCTTGGTCCGCGCGGGGTCGACGCCGGCCGCCTTGAGGGGCACCTTGTCCTGCTTGTTGTTGTGCGTGGCGGACCGCTCGCGGATCTGCCGCAGGAATAGGGGCACGGCGTAACTGGGGAGGTGGGTGCGGGCGTGTCTGGGACGTGGGGGGTTAGTTGGTCGGTTGGTTGGTTGGTACGAAGACGTGTAATGGTGACGGGTGTCTGTGTAGGGGTAGGGTCGGGGAAGTGGGTGGTGAGCGAGGTGAACAGGATAGGTACGTGTCAGGAGGTGGAGGGCATATGGAGAGAGAGAAAACATACTTTAGTAACCCGGTGTAATCAAAAGTCTTGATAGCAGAATCGACATAGATGGCGGCCATACCCGCCTTGCCATCGTGTCCCGGCAGCGAGACGCCGTACACGGTGGCCTCGCCCACGCCGGGGTACTGGCCCAGGACCTCGGACACCTCGGCCGTCGACACGTTCTCGCCCTTCCACCGGTAGGTGTCGCCCAGGCGGTCCATGAAGAACCAGCGGCCGTCGCTGTCGCGGCGCAGCGCGTCACCCGTGCGGTAGTACAGGTCGCCCTTGGCGAACACGTCGCGCACGTACTTCTGATCCGTAGCCTCTTTGTTCTTGTAGTAGCCCGGGAACGCGGGCGTGATGGTCGTCGGCTGTCGGACCAGGATCTCGCCGCCGACCTCGTAGGGTACGCGGAGCGCCAGCCCCGTGCGGGGGTCCCGCGCCAGGTCCCCCGTGTCGACGTCGATCTCGACGGGGACAAAGACATCCTGGAAGCGCCGCCGCATCAGCAGGCCGTGGTGGCCGACCGAGTGGGCGCGGAAGTCGCCGCGCGCCGGGTTGTCGAGCGGCATGATGCCCTCGGTCGAGTTGAAGAACTCGTGGATCGTGTCGATACCGAAGCGGTCGCGGAACGCCTTCCACACGTCAGGCCGCAGCCCGTTGCCGTAGATGCCGCGCACGGCGTGATCCCTGTCTCGGGGCGAGGGCGGCGCCGCCAGCAGGTACCGCAACGTCTCGCCGACGTACGCGAACCAAGTGGCGCGGCTCTCGCGTACGTCGTCCCAGAAGCTCGACACGCTGAACTTGGGGGCCACGCACAGCGTCTGCCCCGTCAACAGCTGTGTCATGCCGCTGATGCCGCCCGTGCCGTGGTATAGGGGCATGCAGTCGTAGTACCGCTCGTCGTCCCCACCCACGTACGCGAACCCGCAGTCCTTACTGCAACCGTGCATGAAACCCGCCGCGGCGGGGACGGTGACGGCCTTTGGGAGACCCGTCGTCCCACTGGTGTAGAAAAGGCCGAAGGGCGAGTTGGGCATCACGTTTTCCCGCAGGTTATCAGGGGGGCGCTCGCCACGCGTGCTATTCAGGACGGCCCGCGCGTCCTCGAGCTTCACAGTGCGCACGCCCTGTGCGGTCAGGTCGTCGCGCACGGCGTCCAGACGCTCCATCAGCTGCGGCGGCCCGTCGGCGAGGATGAGCTTGGCGTCGGCGATGCCGAGACAGTGCAGCAGGGCCTGGCGCGTGAGGTTGTGGTTGATGAGGGCTGGGGCGGCGCCGATGGACCACAGGCCCATCCACGCCAGCACAAAGTCCGGGCTGTTGGCCATAAAGAGGGCGACGAGGTCGCCAGGCTGGACGCCGTTGGAGAGGAAGAACTGGGCGTACTGGTTCGCGCGGCAGTAGGCCTCAGCCCAGCGGTAGGATCCCGACCGCGACCAGATGCATTCTGCGTTGGGCTGCGCCTTCGCGTGCTTCTCAAAGAAGTAGTAGGGGGATACGCGCTTTTCTTTTACTACGGGGTTGTGTGAGCGGGAAGGTAAGAGATGAGGTAGAAGGGTTGTGTTTGGCTTACTGGCTTTCTGGAAGAGCTTACTGCCCTTATTCCTGGCGCGGATGGCTGTCCAATCCTGCCGTATGTGATACTTGCCATCGAGATATGCGAGGCCCGCCGCGGTGGCCGCGACAGAGGCTGCTGCTGTTTCCCGACGCGTCTATCAGCATAAGTCGATGCACTGATAGCGGGACACCTGCTCGGGGGCTACCTCGTAACGTACCGATCGCAGCCATCGTCGGCCGGGTGTAAACTACACGGGGACGAAAGCTTCCCGAAGATATATCGCTCCGACTACCCGAGGTTCCAATCGGAGAGGTGTTCTTGTGAGACACTGTCTACGATGGACAGACGTCAAAAGAAGGTTGAAACAATGACGCTAAGACGACACTACGCGGCAACTGGAGCTTCTCCTCCACACGGCCAGGGGTCGTGAGCACACCTTGTCTGTAGTCCTTGGTCTAGCACTCCAAGGTTCGAGGTTCGAGGTTTGGGGTTCGAGGCTCACTCGACAGACAGACGAAGGGTCACTGCTGCTGCTGCTGCGACTTCGGAGCGAGGCCTGCCTAGGTAAGGTACTCACTAGATAGAGGATAGTCGGTGAAAAGTCGACGTCTCAGAAAGAAGGCACCGAAACATGCTGTGCGATGTGACCCTCGCGCGGCAAAGGGAACGGGGCGTGGTCGCCAACCGAGATGTGACCTCAGATCGCTCTGCGTGTGCCATCATTGGGGATTGCGCAGCGGGTCGATCCTCGTTCAAATCCAATAACCTTGGAACCCAGGCATTCAGGCATTCCGGAAGACACCACGGCAGTTTGTCCAGTCTGTCCAATTTGTCCAATTCTATCGTGGTCCCCATGTTTGTGGGGGATGGGACAGGGGGGCCTGTCATGGTGCCGCGCACCCCGCATTGGCCGGACATTAAGCAACGACTCCCTCCAAGGTACCCAGAGGTTCCTCATGACTCGTGATTCTGTCATGGGAGGACGGGAGGAAGCGAACCACATGAGTGACAAGTAGTGCAACTTGCTAGGCTTGGTAACATTGTTGTGACGAACGAACAGGCGACCAAGATGTGACTGAGCTGCTTGGATAGTGTGAAGGACCGCCGGGACGGTATCATGAGTATTTGGTGACGGGAAAGTGCAGGGCGGGCGGGTACTATGCGTGCGCCTCGGTCTCCCGGGTCTGATTACACTTAAAGTATGTCGACTGCGAAACATTTCACAGTGCAAACGGTGGCTACGCGCAAAACACACCATGGCTTTTGTATGGTTGTAGGACGTTCCCATGGGTCCATAGACCTACTCCCTTACTATCCATGATACAGCATGTATAACAAGTCCTGTCATCGGCCAGGGGACTGCTGCCATGAAGCTTGGCGGCAGCTTATTTCTCTTCATCGGCTTCGACTCCTTTCGGTAGAACGAAAGGGCTCTCCTGGGCCTTCACAGCTTGTGTGACGTATCTTGACGAGTTAGTAGGGTGTCGTACAGGATGTGTTCATGGGAGGGAAATCATAGTTGGAAGCGAGGGCAGGCTTGGTCGTGACAGTGCCTTACTTGGTATGGCTTCCCCTCGCAGCAAGTTCGCCTTGGCTGTTCTTGAATGTGATTGATGTGTATGCCAATGTCTTTCCAACTGGTGCTTGTCAGTACCACATCGTGGATGGCCTCGACAAAACTCACTCTTATCGCATACAGCAGTCGCTGAGATTTTGTCGCCAACTTTGCCGCCACTGCTCAAGTATGTAACTGTAACTTATCAGCGCCAAACTCCATTGTTCAGAAGAACGTGTCCTCCTCCACCTAGTGTATGGGCTGGGCCGCTCACCGCTCAGGTCCGTCGAGACTCCTGTCGCATAGAGCCCGGTTGAGGCAACGGCAAGGGAACCACCCAGGTCCACCATGCTTGCGATTGTTCCCCCGTGTAGGATCTTGAGCCGATTCTGTAAGGAGCCATGAGCATCGACATCTTCTGTGTTCTTCGGAAAAGGCGTCTTACTGTGTGGTCTTTTGCGATATCCAACTCGAAGTCAACCTTGCCATGTACGGCGTTTGTAATCCGTAACTGGGAAAGGGGTCAACGCTGTGCATTATCAAAGCACCTCGAAGGCTGAAGGTGAACACACAGAAGGTCCTAGTAATCTACAAAGCCACAGTCAGCTTGAGGTGGTTTTATATGCTTCACCATTCTTGGTGGTGTCCAGCGTTCAATGGATAGTCACTGACCTAGGCTCCAAGCCAGACTCGGCCATGAATGATTTCATGACCTGAAGCAGTCATTAGTGGCATTTCAAACGAATAGAGTGTCGCAGGTAGTCAACGCACCGTTCTCACAAATCGAACTGGCGGTAGTTTGGAAGCCATCTCTAGAGCTGTAAGAAGCAATAGGGACTATCTGCACCACAGTCTTCGAAGTTCAAGGACCAGCGGATGATGTGATGAAGACCCGTCGTGCGCTGGTGATTGCCGACGGGATGAGCTACTGGAGCCGACGTTGAAGGTCCGTGCGTCCCGAGAAGCCGCTGCCCCCCTTTTCCGCAGCTTCGAAGAGTAAGTGGGGCAACTGGGGGGAAAAACGGTCGTCTTCAACGTGAAGGAAGTTTGGTCAGTTTTAGCCGCCAGCCACCCACGTCTCAACGACTCCAACCTGCCCTCCAGCCCTCTCATCCTGCGCACCTGCACGCCATGCCATTCTGCTAGAATACCATGGCTGCAGCTCTGGCACCGGCCGATCCATCTTCATCGTCCTCGATTGCTGATCCCGCCGTCGCCTACACGAGGCTGCACATCACGCCTCTCGACCAATCCCTATTGAGCGTCGTCGTCCCCGCTTCTGTCCTACCCCGAGCGCGTAACATATCCTACCACACCCTCGAAACCTTCCCCGAGAAGCGCTACGGCTTCGTCGATCTGCCCACCATGGATGCCGACAAGATCAAGAAGAAGCTGAGCGGGGCTGTACTGAGGGGCTCCAAGGTGCGCATCGAGAAAGCGAGGCCTGAGTCCATACCAGATCCGACAGGGGAAGTCGACGAGGAAGTCGAGCCGAAGAAGGACAAGAAGAAGGACAAGAAGAAGGACAAGACCAAGAAGAGGAAGCGCGAAGCCGACGTCATCGAGGGAGTCGCGCTGGAAGACCGGAAAATCAAGCGCGGGTGGACAACCACTGAGCAGGAGATGATTGAGGAGAAGCGCAAGAAGTCCAAGAAGGAGAAGAAGGCCAAGGAAGAGACGAGGGAGAAGAGAGAAGATCAGAAGGACAGGAAAGCCAAGAAGGACAAGAAGAAGGACGAGAAGAGGAAGATCAAGTCCAAGTATACCGATGGCGCCGAATGTCTGTTCAAGACTAAGCTCCCGGATGCTGGTCCACCTCAAGACGATGCGGAGGATGCTGTTGACCAGAAAAAGAAGAAGAGGAAGCAGCAGAGGGACCGCGAAGTGGTGGTACACGAGTTTGAAAAGACCGTGAAGCATCCGTCATTCTTGAAGGCTACCACCGACAAGTTCAATGCGGAAGCCGTCACCTTTGAGGATGGCAACGGCTGGGTTGACAGCAAAGGGACCGTGGTCGAACCTGTAAAGACAACAAAACGACCTAGCCGTGCTGTGAAGCCAGACACTGCCAAGCCAAAAGTGCCCGAAGCCAAGCCCGCAGAAGCTGATGATAGCGACGCAACGAGCAGTAGTGGCTCTTCTTCGTCTGATGAAGATGACGCTCCGGGTTCTGATCAAGAGGCTGACGATTCGGAGGAGGAAGTTGAGACAGAGATTCCTGTCAAGAGGCTCAAGGTCGAAACGCAAGCCTTGAGCAGCCCTGCTTCGGCCCCTGCTTCAGCACTCAGACTTGAATCGGCCAGGCCAAAGTCGTCAAGCTCGATGACCAGTCTGACCATCAAGATACCACCCACTACACCAGCGGCAGCCAAGGTACATCCTCTTGAAGCCCTGTACAAGCGCCCGAAGGGGAATGGAGATGCTCCTAAAGACGATGCTCCTGATGCCGAGCCTTTCAGCTTTTTCGGTAATGCAGACGACATCGAGGAGGATGAGGCGATGGCGCCCACCAGTCAGGCTCCCATGACGCCTTACTCAAAGCAGGACTTCGAATTTAGGAATGTTCGAAGTGCCGCCCCAACGCCGGATACCGCTCACCCAACAAGCCGCAGCTTCAACCTCTGGTCCAGGCAAGATACTGTTGATGATGTACCCGAGGAGGATGAGGAGGACGCAGAAGAGGAGCATGAGGCTAATGAGGATGTTACCATGGCCGATGCGAAGCCCCAGGAGGTCACCGCCGGGGACAACGGGCAAGCTGCGGCTAGTGATTTTCAGAAGCAGTTCTGGGAGAACCGAGGAGACCTCAACCGCAAGTGGAGGAAACGGAGGAAGACAGCATCGAAGGAGAAGCGGTATAGAGAGAATCGTGCAAGGGCAGAGCGTGCCATCTAGACTACGTACCCTAGGTAGCAAGTTTCTCGACATGAGAACCCGCATAGTCAGTTGAGTTTGGGGATTTTACCAGGGACAATCCGCTACAATAAGCAGCAAACCACTGCTTGTCCCATTGCAAATCGTACCTCCCACATGTCTAGTATCACGATAGGCAGTCCGAAACATATGATGCAACATGTATTTCACAATGGCCTATTGCAGGGTCCTGTATGTTCGTATTTACACACACAAAAGGGGGAGATCTTTGCCCCAGCCAGCGCCACCGTGAACCTTCGCCAGATTTACCGCCCATTATCGTAGCCTTGCTCATCTCTGGCAAGGGGAAAAAATAGAAATAAAAGCCCTGTCTACTCCTTACAAGTCAATGGAATGGTATCATGAACTATTTCCAGCATACCCAACAACACGGCTGGAGCTCAGCCAAGCAACAGCAAGCAAGCATTTTGTGTCCCCCCTTCCTTTCTTCTTGGTTTTCGAGGTTTTCTTTGTGTTCTTGGTTGAAGCAGCGGCATAACTCCGTGCCATCGTGAATCGTGCCGAAGTGAAAAAGTCGTATAAGCATTGTCCATGGTGCTCATTCCACCTGTAGAAGTGGTGCCATAAGCATCATCAAGCGTGCTTATACCACAAGTAGAGAAATGGAAGTCGTCCCATCATGAAGACTGAAAAGAGGAAAATCGCATAAGCAGTGTGATCCTGCTCATTCCACCCCCAGGAACCCGTTTATGCCAGTGGTAGACTTGTGCTTATTCCATTTAGGCACATTCAGATGTCGCTCTCTAGGCCGCAGGCGACGAGTTCGGCTCGTTGGTTCGCTCCTTGATGGGCGTCATGTCGCGGAACGTGCGGACGGGGCCCTTCTGGCGCTTGTGCGACACGAGGCTGCCGGTGCGCTTGACTGAGTCCTTCGGGGAGCTCCAGGAATGGTGTCGGCGGTGCTGGCCAACCGGCTCGGTCGGCATGGGCACGAAAGACGCGTATCGGTCCGTCTTCTGGCTGTCCGGGGTTCCGGCTTCGGTGGTGATCGCGTGGTGCGAGCGCAGATGGCTGATGGGCATCTCGTCCTCGCTCGGGGTGGGGGTTGGGTTCGAGCGCAGAGGGTCGGGGTGATCAATAGACGCGAACGACTCGGAGGAGGGCAAGAAGCGGTTCATCGAGTCCAACGGGGAGTACATCATGGGCGTCTTCTGCGGCGAGTCCGGGACGGTGCCGACTTCAGAGGTGTAGTCTGAGATCGAGTGCGTGTCAGCGAGGGGACGGCCGGCAGCGGAGTCAGCGTCGATGCTGGCGACATCGTGGAACTCTTCGCCTTCAGAGTCATCCAGCTCGAGGAAGGAGGAGTTGCCATCGTCGTCACCTTGCTGAGCATGGGGGACTGGGCTGAACTCTTCGTGGCCGGCAATAGAGACTTCAGAAGCGGACATGATGACAGACGGGTGCTTGTTGAGCTGGTGCTTTCTGTTGAGCTCCCGGTGGACACGCTCTGCATAGATGGAGTCGCTTCGGGCAACACCAATGGGGGCAGGTTCAGTGATGATGCGTTGGTGCAACTGCTGCTCCTGGACGATAGGCTCGTTGGCGCCCGCAGCCAGGTTCTTCGACTTGTCCTGGTCAACGTGCTGTTCGAGGTACTCGACATAGCGTCTCATGCGGTCCTTGTTGGACGCGAATGCGTCCCAGGCCGCGTTCTGGGCCATAGCGTCGGTTCGTCGCAGAACAGAGCGATGGGCCAGTTCGTCTTCGATGGGGGGCACATTTCCACCGTTAAAACGGTAGATATTGTTGTTGGTAAGAGGAAGTCGAGCCGGAGCGGGTGCAGCGATGGGTTGCTCGGCCATCTCGACCCATTCCTCGTCACGAGCTGCGCGGTCAGGGGTGGCCTGGCGAAACTTCATGAGGTGCTCGCGTCGGCAGATCAGCTGGCTGAGAATGACCATGAAGAAGAAGGTACCTCCAACACTGATGGCCACCCAAATGTAGTCGCCAGTGTAGACATCATCATTGCCATTGCGTTTGACCGAGATGGAGGTGATCGAGCCAACTAAGCTGATGAAGACGAAGACGCCAGTGGCTCCGACAAGCAACCATATTGTTTTCTCCTTGTAGACAAACCACTTCTTGAGTCCAAGGTTGGCCAAGGTAGAAGCCGTGACGCGAGAAGAGCTACGTTCACGAGAGGCGTTCTGGACCGCATGAACAGTGATGAGACCAGGAGTAGAAGGAGACTGGAAGCGGTTGTGGCTGTTAGGGGTCAATGCAGCATCTGCGCCTCCACAGCCAGCGTCGAACTCGTGCTGGTCGAGAGGGGAGACGCCACTGGGCAAGCTGACCATCAGGCTGGTTCGGTTCTCAGCATGGCTTGGACCACGAGCATCCGTGAGGACATCTTGGGTTCGAGAGCGAGCAGAACCGAAGTTGGCAGCTGTATCAATTCTCTGGACAGAGCGGACAGAGCCTTGAGTTACGACACCGCGAGACTGGTGTCCGTTCTGACCCTTGTAGGCATTGACCATACTCTCGCCGCGGCGGGGACTAAGAGTCTTGCCTAGCTTCGCAAACAGGGACTTGCTGTTGGAACGCTGAATGTGTCCATGAGCGAAGGGGTTGTTGGGGCTCGTAAGTCTACCAGGGGACTCAGTCTTCTTGGGACTGGCACGGAGAGCTTTATGGGCAAGCTCATGGAGTCGGGCTCGACGTCGGTCGCTCTGGGCCTTCTTCTCAGCCATCTTTCGGCTGTGCTTGTGGGGGCCTTCGGTGTATGAGAACTCGGAACGAAGCTCAGCCGACTTGGCACCGTCACCTGAGAAGGGCCAGTTCTGGTTTGCCTCATTGTGACCAAGGGATCGAGTCGGGGTTGGGGAGTCAGGGCGCGGAAAAGTAGGCCAGATGGTGTCGGGAGTATTGAGGGGAGGATAGTCGACGTTGCCACTGATGCCTTCGGCACCATTGTTGCTGGTAGCAGTTCCTGTAAGCGTGGCTCCATCGTAGTTGCTCGTAGATGAGTGTCCGGCTCCCTGGTTCGAAGAATGTCCATCACCAGAGGCGACATCACCAACACCAGTCGTGGGGACGTAGTGCGGAACCTCCGAGGCAGAAGCCAAGTTCTCAGCGCTGGCACTCATCTCGGAGGCAGCACGCTTGCGAGATACAGAGCGTACAGTTCTCAAGGGGGCAACAGCAGGCCAGACAGCGAGTTCGCGTGAGGACGTGCGGGCGCTGCCCTCGGAGTACTCCATCTTTTTGCAGGATGACAAGAAAGTGCAAACAATGAATTGAAGTGACCGGGTGTAGGAGCGGGGTGCTTGGACGCTGCTGCGTGGTCGAAATGGTAGATGGGATAAAAAAGTTCGAGGTGAAAGATGGGATGATGTGTGCTGGAGTGGATGTGCTCTGTGTTATGCGAGTACGTATCGCAAAATCTGCAGATCGGTTAGTCTCAACACCATCGTGAAAGTCAGTGTGGGATGGAAATACCTTCAGATCCACGGTTCTGATTGAAGCCGGGTGAGAACCCAAGGTGAAAGCTGGCTGCGCTTGGGCGGTGCAGGGATGCGAGTCACCAGGCACTTCCTATTTGTGAAACTGTCAGTAGGTTGCATTGCGATCGCGAGGATCGGACATATACCTTGATCAGGTCGCGATGCAGATGCAGTCAATTCTGTACGTGCGAGAACCGGGATCTGGAGAACGAGTGTCAGTGTGGTTGTAAAGGGGAGAGCGCGTGCAGATGATGGGCAGAGTTGGTTGAGGAAAGCGAGGCAGATTGGGAGAAGTTGGAGTAGTGCAGAAATGCGAGAAAGTACCTTAGGTACATAAGGCACAAAGGTGAACTGCACGCGTCCAAAAACGCGCTTTGGGGGTTCAGGTCAGGTAATTGTGGAAGTTGGGAGAAAAGAGGGTGCAGGTTGAGGTCAAGCTGGAGATGGATTGGAGGTGGAGAGAGGAGTGTACCGCGACGATGAAAACAAATGTGAGGAGACTTACCTCGAGAGCAGGGCAAGATCAATCGGCGCAGTTCACGGAGATGGACCTCGAGAGTGATGCTGTCGATGGAGAAGTCAGAAAGATGCGAAGGTTGGGCGGGAAGAAGGTTGTGGTGGATGTGCAGGGGCCCAAGGAGGGGAGTTGAGGCGGAAGACCAACGCGTTTGTGGCAGCCTGATGAATTGGTGACGAGTTTTGCCTGGTGCAGTGCAGATGATTGTCAATCCAAGAAGTGCACCTTGGATGTTGTGGGATGGGCGTGCACGTCAAGAGTAGTGATGAATGTGCAGGTGACCAAGGCAGGGCGGTTGAAGATGGAAGACAGAGTTCCTGGCAAGCTGAGGAATCGGTAAAGAAACGTCTGATGCAGTGCAGATGTTTTCTCAATTCAACATGTGCACCCGGTATGTTGTTGGATGGGTGTGCAAGTCAGAAGACACGTTTTGGGGGTTCGTCAAGGCAATTGGGGGTTGTTCAGATCATCAAGAAAGGTGTTCACGGGTGAAGGGTGGAAGGGTGAAATCAATGTGATCAGGAAATACCTACTGTAAATGCCGAAGGCTGTGGGAGATGCTGCACGTCTGCGGGTTAGTGAGACGATGAATCCAGAGATAATGGTGGTGCCAGTGCACATATGAGGAGCTGTGCAAAGGAAAGGGTTTAGGTTGGAAAGAAGAGGAGACGGTTTGAAAATCACAAGAAGGATGGTAATGTGGTGACATCTGAGTGCGAGAATCAGCTGAAGATGGGCACAGTAGATTGATCGTACCTCAGGTATCAAAGCTGGTGGTGCTGGGTGGGAACAAAGTCTGTGATCTCTGGTGAAGCTGTAGGTGAGATGGTGGGTAGGGCACAAAGATAGTTCGAAGGACATTGGCCATAATCACATTGCACTCTTGTACTGGTACGGATGCCAAACGGACTGAGATTATCGTGCACACATCACAAGCAGAAGCTGGAGACATCTAAAGTCACTGGTGCTAGAGCTACTACTACGTAGCATAGCCTGCTGCACCAGGCTCAACATTAGCCTTCTCAACAGAGTGCCATGAGAGCCCTCCAGAACTCAGGGCTGGGTACCTAGGCGCGTCCCCAGTGCATTGCAACTGTGCTAGGCGTTGCCCGGCATCAGTCGTGATTCAAAGACGCGTCTGTCGTGGCCTAGCGCGTTTCCCCTATCATGTGCCACTATAGACATTGCCGAGCAACGAACATGATTGTGGTCTGAAGGCTCCACATCAGAGCTGGGCTACAGGTAATTCCCATACAAGCTGACTTCTATCAAATCTGTCTAGCTACCGAGCCTCCTTCAAGGCCCTATCACATCTAGGCCTTCTGCCCGACCACCTTACAGCCTCAGGATCTACTCGCGTTAGGGTCACCATGTTCTCATGTGATGAGCATCAGACAGCTACAAGCGTTGTTTGACTAAACGACTTTTACTGTTGCCGTCAGTACTTGGAGCATGCCAATCGGGCGGACCGGATATCAAGCCCGTCTCCTGATGCTGTGGTGTGTAGGTAGCAACACAGCTTCCTACACCTGAGATGACTACCTGAGGAGCGCCCGACCCAACGATTCTAATGTGGTGGCATGTTTCTACTTGGCCCGGGGCCTACAAATCGTGGGTTGACCTTTGTAAACGTTGATCTTTCGGCCTTACTAAGCACCCAGGGGGTAGGATGCTACCGTCGGCTTCCAGAAGAAGGCTTTCACGACAACAGAGATGTGCCTCCTGCATTTGGCTCGGCTCCTAACGGTGCCGTATGAGGAATGAAACAGATCATTAGAAGGGGCAATGCAGAAACCATAGATTCCTCATGATTTTGATATTTATGCCAGCTTCAAGATCAACCAACTCCACGATCCTCTGATTACTGATAGAACACGGCCGCTACTTTCCTAGGGAAAGCTATCAGGATGCCATGATATAATGCCATGCTCCATTGGAGCATGCTTCCCACTGGAACGCCCAAATGGTACATCAATCCGCTACCACAGCGCGCCATGTCCAACGAGACAGCAGCATGCGATAGTCAGCCAATGCGATCTCTCGGAGCTGCATGTTAATAGACGCATCGTTGCCCATAATCATCGGCCGCTCGGCCACGGTTCTTCCGCTGTAATATGCCAGACGGTCTTCTTAATCACCGCCGGCATGCTCGTGCTGTTTTTTGACGGCATGGAAAGCGGTCACTCAGCCCCTTGGTTCCTCAACACTGTCGCTCGACGAGATTATGGCTAAACGGGACACGGCGAAATCTCTGGAGAACTAATGGGCACGTCTCTATCAGCTTGAACGATGCTGAGCTGACATATAGCCAAGCCGTGAGGAAGGAGGGTGAGGACATATAGGAAAGCCAGACGTAATAGATCCTGCAAACACCATATCTATATATTCCAAAGATCTCGTTACATTGTAGGGTGTAATTTCATGTGCCAAGTCTGGGCCTAGATGACAGCCTACTCGGCATAGTAGCTGCGAAAACTTGCCAGGTAAGATATATCGTCCAGGAACCCGAACGACACCAACAGGCCACGGGTAGATCGCTGCTAGTTTCGATATGCCGTCACATGGGTTCCATGTTTGTTACCTAGTGACTACTTGTGACTACGACGTGTGACGATGTCGTACAGTAGTATACTGTCTTTCCGAGGGGCAGCAAGCCTGCTGGAGAGTGACGTCATATCAGCCTCCAGGCGGGTATACTCTTCCATTGAGACTTGGCCTGAATCACCTGCTATGGTTATAGGATGTAGTCTTGGCTTGAAGGGGACTCTGCTTCCAGACAATCAAGCCACCTAGGACTCGCCATCTAAAAAGCAGCTGGGGCTTGCACTCGACGGCAGACAATAGCAGACTCCCCTTGCGTCGGGATGCAGAGGCTCACTGTCAGCCGTCCATAGTCGATCCGTTGTGGACTGCATTGGATGCATGAGCTTGTGCTCAGTCGCAAGACGCCGTCTCTCAAGTAGGTAGTTCCTCTAATACCTCGGATCCCGATTACCACGGAGGGAAGGCACTGTGACTTCCTCGCTTTGATACCTGCAATGCGGGAGCGCCATCCCATCTCATACGACCTCAGCGCCCATGTCTCCAGGGAAGTCTCAAGACCTGGTTCATTTGTTAGTGCGGCGAAGTTGAAGACTCTAAAGCTCTGTCGGTACAGATATAGTTACCGCTGCGGAAGTCTAATCCGAACGAGCCGGGCTTAGCGAGAACCACCGGGTCGAGGCCGTTGCCAAGTCCGAAGCCGACACGGGCTTGGTGGACCGATATCAACGACCACCTCCGGACAATAGGAGGTCCCAGTCCGGATGCCCAACTTCGGGGATTGATTCAGGCCAGGATGGATTACTCTGTGAGCGTCAAGGTGGGTACGGCCGCAGGTAATACGATGTGTTCACAGACCAGACACGCAGACGAGGTAGACGAATGGTAGCCATGAGATTGTATTCCTTGAGAAGTAAATCGCAAATACTGCTATGACAAGCCTCCCTCAATCCTCAACTCCACCAGTTGGCGGTCCTCCGATGTGGTGGGCCCCATGACGAAAAGTAGCGAAGGGTCGAACTGAAGATGAGGTGTTGTGGAATGAAGATCGGTCGATGCAGCAGGCCGTCCAGGTAGGTCTTGCTTATTTGCCGCAGCTGCAAGTATCGCCGCACTTGCCTATAGGAAGCGAAAAGTGTCAGTCTTGTGTGTCTGAGACGAGGTTGAAGTCGGGAGAGCAGCGGATTAGGGGGCGCGGTAATGGCATAGCGGGGTAGATGGGGAAGGCATGGAGATGGAGTTGACCTACACTCAGAGCCGCACGAGGAGCACTCAGGTCCCTTCATTTTGAATGATTGGGTTGGATTGGTTTGGTTTGGATTGGTTTGGGGTGATAAAGTTGTTGTTGCTGGTGGTTTGTAGGTAGTTGATCTGGATGTGTTGTCGCTTTGGGAGAGAAGAGGAATGAGCAGAGACGAGGGGCTCGAGAAGGGACCCTTATATAACCGACTAGACGTTCCAGACAGGCCCGGGGTCAGCAGCCCACAAACGGCCAAGTAGCCAATCACACAGTTTCTATTCCCATATCGGGTGTCCTGCCTGCTGCGCGGTTTGTGCGGTTGCGCATTTTCTGCGTGGAATCGCCCCGGCCTGCCCTGTCTCACCAGCCACCTGATGCAGTACGCACAAGTCGCGTGAAGGAGCAAAGGAGGTCCAGGTGTGGTCAGAGACATCAGGCAGCTTCAAGGCGCCAGTCTGATTCGCCAGCATGGTTGCGCTCGGAACTTGTTCTTTGTCCCGACGAGACGAGTGGCAGCATGCAGCCATGGTGGTGGTCGCGGTGGTGCAGCGGCGCTTCACTGCAGCGATACCTACCTTACGTATGATGCAGGGCTTCCCCTCGCCTTGATTCCTTTTTTCACCGAGGCCAATAGACCGCGTGAATTGTGCGTGATTCTGAACCACCCTTTGTCCCTCTTGACAAGCCATGCCTTCATTCCGATCATGGCAAACCGCAAGACACGTTTGGCTGGCTGGCTGCATAGGTCCACTGACTTCCCCAATGCGGCGGTTCGCCCGTCTCAGATTATTATATGTGCGACACACAGCGTTGGTTGGCCGATGGCAGATGGCAGATGACGAAGTCTTTCAGGGTCCCCATGGGCCGTCCACGAACCCCTCTCTGGCCGCGAGTGGTAGTTATTCCGACATATCCTTCTATTCTTTCTATTTCCCCCCTCTATAGTAGGGTCTATAGAACTGGTTCCCTTTGCCGTCAACCCTCCCTCGAGGCTGCACTGCCCTAGATAGCGACGATGTGGTGCTGAGAACCTCGTTGAGATAAGCATCATGCCAGTCTGTTTGCCAGCGTTTCGAACTCATTCTCACCATAACACTGAGGTCCTAGGTCAGAGACAACGCGCTGGGCCGCGCAGCACCGCATGCCGTTATCTATGCTTCATGCCGGTCATTGTCGCATTGCAGCTTTCCAATGACTTTGATTCGTTCCTCTGGAATGTGTCCCATGGCATGAACGCCACCGATGATGGCACCTCGCAGATTCTCTTCGCCCGGCGCCGCAGGGCCAGCTCCGATGGGACGCGGATGACCGTGAGCGGGGCGGTATAACTGGCAGGATAATGCACCCAATGAGACATCACTCAGGTGCCACCCAGCTAGCGACCAAGAGCACTCCGGCGATAGCCCGGTAGTCGAGTTGCACTGCAGATCCCGTGACTCTCTTCCTGCGGACATGTGCAGCACCACTGCACAAGCCCGGCAATTCGGCACCGAGTGACGGATGAGGCGAGGCGGTCCCATCGCCGTTCCATGTGTCCTCTTCCTATACTTCATTTCCTTGGAGCATGCGTAGGTGATGGCACTTGGGAGCACATGGAGTCAGTAATAAGCATTTCCTCGGGTTGGTGCATATGTGCATCATAAGGTAGGCCAGCCAGTTGCCGTTGGACGACCCCTTGCTGCTTTCCTACGCTGCGCCTAGGTGTGCGCAATGACTGCGCTGATCTACGAGTCAGCAAACAAGACGATGTTCAGGACAAGGAGAATTGGTACGGCACCCGCTCACCGCTCGCCACAGGACACTGTTGCTCGAACACGACGTCCAGACAGCCTGGCCGTTACGTGATGTATCATGTACTCAACCCACTGCCCGGTTTGCATCAATGCCACCGCGTGCCCAAAGCCCAGGCCAGAAAATCAAGGCAAACTTGCTCGCAGATGACACCAGCTCCGATGGACTGGAGGCAGCAGGGCTCGCGCATCGGGCAGTGTTCCGATAGGCAGAAGGAGACCAGCAGAAGGAGACCAGCAGAAGGAGACCAGCAGAAGGAGACCAGCAGAAGGAGACCAGCAGAGACATGACGCCAGCAAGGGTGGCTAGAAGTGAAAAGATACTCGGCCGCCTCCAACGCGATTGATCGCCGCCCGGATAATGTAGGCACCCCAGAATCGCCAGGTGGTTTTACAGAGAATGTTTCCCCGTATGGCTCCGATGGTCATCGTCCGCTTGGTATCACCCTCTTTTGCGTACAAATTCTTGAACTCCAGGACAGTGGCAAAGCGTGCGAACAGTGGCGGGCGCTGAGGCCGTAGAATCGGCTCCGGAGTCCGGACTTGTTGGCACGACCTGGGCTCCGGAGTGGGCAAAACTTGAAGAGCGCGCCGTGCGACGATGCAGCAGCCGCCGCCGCCCCCTCCGCGACGCAGAGTCTTCAGACAGGCCAGCCTCATATCGGCGTGCTCAAGAATCATCTGAGACCCACCGACATCAGCTCAGCTCGTCGGCCCAACTGATAGATGCGCGTGGCTTGGAGACATCGGCCGCCCAGTTGCGTCTGCCAATGCTCGATGAGTCTCAGCCCTGCGCCATTGCAAATCAGATGAGTGGTACAGTCCGACAGCGCGTGGGGATCGGACCAAGAATAACCTCGGCATGTTGGAACGTGAGTCGCGACCCGAAGGCGTGGGCAGGAAGACACGTTTGCTGGAGCCGGACCCAACACCCATATACATAAGTGAGTGACCTGGTCGAGATTCCCTTTTCCGTTCCGGCCGTCGCAGGATGTTGGCCGTTGAGATCCAACCTGGAAAGTTGAGCATGCCAGTCAGAGAGCAGTAGGGAAGTGTGGCGGCCTTTACTAGAATTACCAACTGAAATGTGACATTGCGGTATTTCTGGAATAGGACCTGCCACCTGCCACGCCGGGAGCCGGCAACATTGAACTCCATGGGCCCCTTCAGCCCCCTTCCCCACCGTGATACGGTAGGTACTAGGTAGGGCCTCATCTCAAATACGAATCTTGCCCGAGCGCAAGGGTCTTAATAGCCTTTCTACTACCTAGATACTAGCCGCTCGCATAACCCATGATGGGTAAGCGTCGTATTATATGTATGAATCTGGACATGCGCCGCTCGTGTTGGTGATTCTATCAATATGCGCCGTCAGCATGTGTCAGTGGAAGGTGTTTCGAAGTCGCTGCCAATGAGGAAAAAACATGCCGAGTTCTGACACAATGGGGGCTGTTTCAATGCTGAAGCAGAGGCTCACTCACACATGTGCGACAGGCCATGCCATGACAAGCCACGACAGGGCAGCTGCATAATCTTCGACCTGGCAACGAGATCGGTCCAGATGCCAGATGGGTTTGAGTTGACAGACTGCAGCTGAAAGGGCCCGACGGAACATAAGCCTGCCTGTCTCTGTCTCATGCGAACATCCTACCCAGGTGCCAGTCATTCACTTCGAGAGGCACTGCTCGATGATGCTGGCGACGGTAAACATTCAACATCCATGGTAGCCCGAAGCCTAACAAGAATGACAGCTAGAGGCTACCGTAGATACTGGGTAATCTCAATCCGAGTCCCCCTGTCTAGCGCTGGTGGCTTGCGTGCGAAAAAGAGCCTCACCAGCCTCAAGTGGCTTCTTATCGACATCCTCTCTCATCAAGCCACATTGAGATGCGGCTGGTGCTCTATTTGTCACGCACAAGCCACTCACGCTAGACAGGGGGACTCGGATCGAAATTACCCAGTATCTACGGTACTTACCGGGCTGTCGGGCTCAGGTACACCCGCCACCACCAACGCGTCTGCACACGCCAAAAAGGGCGCTTAGATAGCGAGTCATGGCACGTGCATGGGTCAACAATTAAGGTATGAAGGGAGGCCGAGAATGGTCAGTAACTGCCCTTTCGCTTGCTCGTCCAGTCGCCCACCGCCCATCGCCCGACGCATACCAAATCTGACAGGAGGCATGTTGGCATTGGCGTCTTGACCCTTGGCAACATTCTTTAGGTACACGACTCCAAGCAACAACAAGAGGAACTATTGACACGCTGCACCCCGGCGCTCATTTAAACGCGGCCAACCTTCAACTTAGTGGTACTCTTTCGCTTTTGGTCCCGCAACATCTGCGCATTCGTAGTCGGCGTGTCAGCAGCAGAATCTCAACCAGCAGCAAAGACGAACAAAACTCGTGATGGTGGATGAGTGGTGGATGCCCAGGTGATCATGATGGAAAAGACTTCGTCTGCAACGTCACTTCCAACGAGTGTTGGTTGGCTCAGGTGGTGGGCTGGTGGTCGATAGTGGTCGCCGTAGTGGCAGTTGCCAGGTAGCCTACTTCGTGCTACTGTGCCTACGATCGGTCATCGCGCAGACTGCAGTAGCGGTGGCCGGTGGCGTGCCACCCCTGAAGAATACTCTGGAGAATACTACTACTAGAAAGAAGAGATACGGGCAAGGGCCACCATGCAGCTGCCATGGCGGCATCGTCGCGGCCGAACCTGACCGAATTTGGTCATATTATTCTTGTGACGGCGCAGCATCACCAGGCATCCCAGTCATGCTTATCTCCAATTGGTCCGTGGTTGCCCGGGGTCACTTGGCCTCCCCAGACAGTCCAGCATTCCATCCTCCACCGGGCTCGCCGTAGAGGTTCTACTGTAGAACGACTGGAACGCAAGGGGCAACTTGGAAGGGTTGATGATGGATCATGGGGCAGTCGCAGCGCGGTGTCACCGTGCGTGGCGAACAGACAGGCTACAGCGATGCGAAAGAAGGGAAAGAAGGAGCGTCAGGAGTCGATACCACGTCGAATACGGAAACGGCAACACCCTACCCACTGATCACCACGAGACCCTCCATGGACCCTCTATAGACCCTCTATGGACCCTCCAGGACCCGAAAGAGTCCCCAGTGTTTACGTAGTGCCGGTGTCGTTCCTTCTCTCGGTGCTGACTACGGTACTACTGTGACTGAATGCGCCGTCGATCTCCATTCTCCAGGGCTGCCGCTGCCACTCCTGCCGCGCAGATAAAACCAACCGTGGTTCGCGCCTACCCATCACCATTCTCCATTGCCCGGCCAATCTGTACATCACCATCCTGACAGCCTGACCATCCCAATTCGGTCTCCTCTTAATAATACCCCTTCTTCCCGCCCTCACTCGTTCCTCGTTCTTGTTGTTGTCTTACCTTACGTCGTCCAGCCTCTCGTTTCGTGGCCATACGTAATACCAATACCACTTCAGAAGTTCAGTCTCGTTCCAAGGTTACTTCCCTTGTTGAGTCTCGCGCTGCCTGCTGCTTCAACCAACTTCTGTTGTCTCTCGCTGAGCAGAAGATCCTCACTGTCGACTTTACTGTAACAACTGCTCTGCCTGTGTGCTCTGTGCTACACCACAACCTCTCTTCCATCCCTACCCCAGATATTACCGACCACCATGTTCTCCAAGGTCCTGTCCACCACGGCCGTGGTTCTAGCTGCCACCAACCTGGCCTCCGCCCAGACCTTCAGCTCATGCAACCCCCTGGAGAAGAGTGAGTCCCATATATGCTTCGAGACACCCACAGCTGAGGCATACTGACGCAATGATACAGCTGGCTGCCCTGACGAGCCTGCTGTGGGCAGGGAGAACACCAAGACCATCGACTTCACCAAGGGCGAGAGCGACTTTTTTACAGCCGCCCAGGCAACCACCATTGACTACACCACCGACGGCGCTGTCTTCACCATCAACACTGAGACCGAGGCCCCCACTATCCAGAGTTCCGACTACATCTTCTTCGGCAAGATTGACCTCACCGTCATCGCTGCCAAGGGGCAGGGTGTCGTCACCAGCTTCGTTCTGCAGTCGGCCGACCTGGACGAGATTGACTGGGAGTGGCTCGGCGGCGATGTCACTCAGGTGCAGTCTAACTACTTTGGCAAGGGGAACACCACCACCTACGACCGAGGCGCATACCACAGCGTCAACGCCCCCCAGACCGAGGAACACACCTACACCATCGATTGGACCAAGGACTATGTCCACTGGTATGTCGACGGCACCCAGGTCCGCGAGCTGCTGTACGCCGATGCCGTGGATGGCAAGAATTTCCCCCAGACTCCCTGCCAGATCAAGCTTGGTACCTGGGTCGCCGGCAGCTCCACTGCTGCCCCTGGCACCGTGGAGTGGGCTGGTGGTTTGACCGACTTCTCCCAGGCACCTTTCAAGGCTTACTACAAGTCCATCACCATCCAAGACTACAGCAATAATGTCGCCGGTGCCAAGAGCTACTCCTGGCCCGCTGGTTCCGACGGTTCGTACGGTAGCATCGACGTCCTCACCACGGACGGCAAGACGAGCAGCAGTGAGGAGGTTAACTCCATCACGACCAAGTCCATCCCAACCTCGACTGCGTCTGGCCCATCGTCAACTGGAAGCTCGGGTTCTTTGGAATCTTCCTCGGACTCTTCCTCGGACGCTTCCTCCACCACCGCCACAGTGCCCACCACCATGGTGACCGGCATTACTCTGGCCACGGGCACCTCGAGTCCGGATTCGGAATCGGACTCTAACAACGCGGCCGCACAGACGGGATCGTCGACTTCTAGTGGCTCGGTCTCCCAGAGCAGCAGCGGCTCATCACCCACTTCCACGGTTGTCCAGGTGGCCGGTGCTCTGAAGACGGGCTTGAGCGGTGCCGTTCTGGGTGCTGGTCTCGCCGCAGCTCTTTTCCTGTAGACGGGATATGGCGAATGGGTTGCTGTCAACCGGATCATCTCCACGAACCGGGTGTTTCATTTCTCGAAGATCCTTTACCCACGACTCGAATTCGACCCGGTTTCGGAGTATACACTGAACCAATCTCAACCTGGGACAACAGCGAACTGGTAATTTTCAACACATAGCATTGCTTATAATTATGCCCGGTCCAACGGCGGATTACCCATTGGCACGAGAGGCTCGACGATGAACGAGGTGCTGCTACTGATTTTTATCTTTTTTGGCGAATGGGAGGGCCATCTGACGATTGCATGTTGTTTGAGCAGCGAAGCACGAATGTCCACGGGGCGTTAAGAGTGTGTACTCAAGCTTGGTGACCATGTTATAGGGGCTGGGGAGCATTTCGAGGAGCTGCAGCATGGCTTCAATGCAACGGATGATACCACAGTGTAGTTAGATACAATATACCACATAATTACTTACTTTTTGGTATTGGTTGTCGTGCGTTGCGGAGGCCGGCACTGGTGTCACACGTCCCACGTGGAGAATCTCCATCAAGATTCTAGCAGGACACGAAAACATGTACTAGCACACGTTGGCAGGCTGCATCTGTTCCCCGAGAGGTCGTACATGCCGATTCCGCAGGTACATGCCGGCGACAGGATTCAGGATTTCAAGGGTCCAACGGTGGCAGATGGCCAAATGCAGGCCTCGTCCCTATCAGGCAGCGATCGTCAGGTACCATCGTGTTGCACGCAGTAGTGCCGCGGGAAGGATCTCTTTTCAAGTTTTCAGGTCGTAAAGTAGCAACATCGATGTCTGCTCACCTCTCAGGCTGACAGCGACGGGATGGCTGTTCATTTGCGCGTGCCCCGCCGACGTCCCGACTATCGCGGCCGGATGTCCCCCTCGTCTGTGGCGGGAGCCGAGGTTCGTGGAATTGGTAAAAATGATGGAGATGGTGGGCATATGTCTCATTTGGGTTTTCCCATCCGTTTTCGATGGTGTCCACTGTCCAACCTAGCTCCCTTCTGACCATGTGGGCAGTGGACTTTGGGGTCTGCGACAGTCGACTGACCATGACGAGATGTCATTTCTTTTCTCTCGGATACGAGAGACCGAGCGGCTAACTCGAGTGAGTCTAGAGGGCAACTAGATATGTCACGAGGGGTGATAACCTGGATATGTACGGATTTCGGCGGTCTTGAGCTTCCTCGTGCTGCGTTCGCCGTTGGCAGAGTTGGCTCTTGGATCTGAGGCTTTGACCCGTGAATACAAGCCAAGCGAATGCGACAGCGCGTCGAGGAACTTAGCGGTAACACCACTGTGCCACATCGCGTGTTGCGTTGCTTGCCTACGACATCAATTGTGTCACAACTTACGCAGTACAACCTGCATGTTCACCTCCTTTTCCCACGGCATCGCCATCCCATGGCAACTTTGGGCTGGAAACCGATCCTAAACCTCGTATTGAGGTACTTGCTCTAAGCATATGCTACGTGCTCACCGTACATGTATCCTTAGACCCATGCAGGACGTCTTTTTGTACCGATGCATGCAATCCTGGGCTTGCTCGGTGCGCTCTGCCAGGATACGGGTGGCATGGATCATCATGTATGTTCAGTTGTTCGCTCCATAGGACCTTGAAACGTGCACTGGCGAGAGTCGGGATGCTAGCTATTTCAGGCTCTTGCTGTCGACTTCTCGGCGGCGGCTCCCTCAACAAGCACCTGGTCGTATTTGGTCATCAGTCCTGGAACATAGGCCAACGTTGACCTAGTCTGAGCTGGGCCGTAGAGAAAGCGGTATGCCTCCTATTCCACGAGTGGCTTTTCCGGTTCTGAAACCTAATGGCTAGGTTGACATCCATCCCTGACCGCTCTCGGGGGAAAAGAACACACTTAATTAGACCTTGACTTACAGAGACTTGCCTAAATTGAAGAATCGTGGCGGACTTTCGTGTCTGTCTAGGGGTGCGTCACTTATGATTAGCGAGTAAAGGTACTTCAACGCGAACTTGAACGCCGGAACATGGTCTCCTCAAGGTCGGGGCTATCATGATAGACTTAACAAGAAGCTTGAAGAACCCAGTGGAAGCATATTGGGCAAGGGTGTCGGGGATAGGGCGTAGGGGGCAGGGAGCGGGAGGGAAATACATCACAGGACCAAAAAAAAACCCAGGAAAAAGAGAAAAAAAGAACACGGTTGGAAACCCAGAGTCAAGCCTATCTAGACAAGGGGCCAGAAGGCCCGCAAGGGAAGAAGGTTGGGCCCTAGAATCTGTGTACAGAGATGAACAGTGCAATAGACTTACTTGGCTGAATGATGTCTTGCTCCAGTGTGCCTCGAAACCTGGGGCTATATCTGTGGATGGTCTTTGCAATTATACCACTAGACCACTACCTATGATAGGACAACGTGCTTGAGATGCTACAAGTACGGTCTCCCAGTTGGCGCTGTTAGTAACTTGTCGAGTGATGTCAAATTCCTAGGCACCGCCCAAGTTTGGTAGCTTAGGGGCAGATGGGCGCCTGAGGGTCTGGCAATGGGAACTCCTTGTTTCGTGGGTTTGGCGAGTATCCAGCATAGTCTAGTTGGTCATACAACGCGTTTGGCTCAGTCTCGTTCCAATGCGATTGCCAGAAAGGAACGTTATTCTACGTGGCAGTAGCAGTATCAGACTGGAACTCGCCCTAATATCGCACTGAAGACAATGCCACGAACGGCGTTCTTCTCACATCGTGTTCAGGTAAGTTTACCATCCCCCTTGGATGTGTCAGTGGTCTGCGTAAGGTGGCCTCCTTTCTTTCATACTCTGCTCGTTGTACCCTGCGCCCCTTTTGCTGTCAACCCACCATATTGGATAATCGCCACATAAGCTGTACATGATCAACGTAGGTACATATGTCACCGCCATAGCTGCCTAAGCAACCTATCCATGAAGGTGAAAAAGGTAAAGGAGGCATTGTCGGTAAGGGTCATTACATCAGGACTCAAGGCTTGATTAAGTCACATAGCCTTGAGTATAAAGTTCTGAGATAGTCTGCCTGCTGATAACATGTCTCTAAATATGCGTCCAGCGAGGCCGTGCTCACCTGGCGGCTAGACAAGATCCTGTCTCATACGTCTTAGGTCGCAGGCTACACATGCAAGGTTACATATGCCTGCCGAAGCCAAGGCCTTTTCAACATCTCAAGACACGATACAGCAACGAAATCTGGTGAGCACTGGTTCTTTAGGGGCTTATATAATACTATGGACCAAGTGAACTCCGAAGGCTCCCTTCCCAGCTCACGGTAACCGCGAAAGCTTGCCAGCCGTCTTCCGCCTCACAATCCGAACTCCAAGCGCCGCTTCTCCGACGCTGAGTTGCACAACTGAGCTTCGAATCTCTAACCCCTTTTTTCGCAACCCTGTTTCGCACGCCGCCGCGCCATCGGGCTGGTAACGTTGCAACTGGGGAGTCTCATGGGCATGACCTCTGCGCCTCAATGAAGTAATATCTTGACATGCGACGTTGTGCGGTTTGTCACGGAACTTGACGAGCGCATGCTTGATGAGTTTAATGCCTGATTTGGAAAGAATAAGTTCGAACTCGTCCTGGCGACCCCCACGAGCTGCCGGAGTTTGGCCATCAGCGGTATTGTGTCGTACAGTCCAGAAGCAGGGCTAGTCATCAGTACTGTTAAAGAGCATACAAAGACAGGCTGAGCGCGCGGGCGGTGGGAGGTCCAAAGCATGGCGAATTTGTTTTTATGGGCGAAACGCTTCCCGGAATACTGAACCTCTTCTAACCCAACCTTTGTGACGGAAGGCTTATGAGCTGAGTCAAAACGTGTCCTCGATGCTTCCATAAACCACCGGGAGTTGTGTTCTGAGTATGGATCATAATACAAGCTATAAGTCTCGGGGAACTGGTGGGCATGTTTTCACTTCGAATAGTCCAATTAGAATAGCCTTGGGATGGAAGTTTTGAATGATATGCCTATGGAAGGCTCGAAGAACTGACCCCCTATGGCATGCTCTCTTTCATACTGGCCGCCCACATTATTGCGAACGATGCTGTCAGCAGCACCGAGCAAGTCGAAAAGACTTTGTTGAAGTTATCGCTTTCCCCCGCAAGCATCAGAGACACGACGACGAAAACGTTCAGCGGCACGCGCATGATGCTGTAGACCTTGGCGCGATCACTATCACCGACCAGGCGTCCCTTCAAGTAGCCGATGCACGGCCAATACATGCCGACGCAAGCTTCGAACAGGCAGAACAGCCAGAACGCGGCGTCCTCCGTCTTGGGTCCCGCAAGCTTCATGAAGCAGAAGTTGGCAGCAAGCATGATGCCGACGAGAAGCCGGGAGTACTTGACGACCCGTCTTTGCATGACGATGTTGAAGACGAGAGCTGCCGCCGTGGAAGAGGCCATGAAGCTGGAGAAGATAAAGCCGTATGGAAGGTCTCCGCTGGACTTCTGGACAGACTCGAGAGCCGGGGTCCAGAAGAAGACAAAGAGGTACATGGAGCCCTCGAACATAGTTGACACAAAGACAAGAGCCATGATGGAGGGTTGTTTGAAGACGGACCAGAGATTGGGCGACTTGGGGGCCCCCGAAGCCTCGGGCGACGCCTCGGCGCCGTAATTCTCAGCCTGTTGAATCGTCAGCACGATATTCCCTTGGAGGCCTTAGGATCCGACATACCCAGTGGGACCAGATGATGATGAGTGCGGACCACAACAAGACGCCACTCAACAGGAAAGGGGTCTTTCTCGAGCCGGTGAGGCGTACGAGGACCTCACTCATGACGCCACTAACAATGGCGGTGAAACTGTTGACTGTGCTCGTAGCAGCGTATGTCCGGGACAAGTCACAGCCGTTCTCAACGAGTTTACGCTCGCGGAAGTTGGTGACCATCCAGCTGTCGAAGACGCTGAAGAGGATGCTCGTGCTTATGCCGCCGAGGACCCGGCCTAGAAAGAGGAGAGGTACAACGGAAGTGATGGTCAGGAAGCAGGATATGGAGTACAAGACGCAATAGGTCATGCAGGCCAATTTGCGGCCGTACTTGTCGGCAAAGACACCGACAAAGTAAGCACTGATGGCACTCGAGACGAAGCCTGTGGTGGAGAGGGTTGTGGCCAGGCTCGAGGAGAGCCCATGCTCGTCTCTATACAGTGAGTAGAGGTATGGACCCTACCAGACACGCGTTTAGTCTGATGATATGCAGGATGCTATCGGTATAGAAGGCAACGGAGGGAGGCTCACCTGCAACCAGTCAGCGGCCATGACGAGAGCATAGGCGCGATACCAGTTCTTGTCGGGATGCTCATCATGGCGTGAGACGGGCTGTTTCCGGGCCTCGGCTTGCCGCTTCGACTCGTTGCGCCCGACGGGCTGGGAGACCAGCAGTAGGGCACAAAGCGCGATGAGAGCACAGAAGCTGGTCTGGTAGTAGTAGCTCATGATGATGCTGGTGATGGCGAAAGTGATGATACAGACTACACCGGCGAAACAACTACACGTAAGGAAGGTATCAAGCTGGGCATGCAAACCACAGAGGCTGGGTCGTCCGAGAAAGAGATATATATAATATCATTGTGATTTCACGTCTGTACACAAAGGCCATGTCTCATTCCGATCACCTGTCGTTGACACTTAGCCGGAGTCTTATATTGAGACAACTGGAGGGTCGAGCGTCGCGGCTGGGACAAGGCGCGTTCGAGAAGACGGCTGAATGTGTTCCATTTCGACTGGTTGAGTCGTCGACGGCAAGGATGTACAGATCGAGCAGCATATGGGGAAATGCTGGCGGAGATTGGGGTTATGTATTAACAAATACATCTCAACTGGATAGTGAAGGTCAGGTCTGATGGGAATAACACGAAAGCATGACTGATATTGGCGCTGTAGCTCGGGCCGGCAGGGCTTTTCTACAGCGCATAGACAGTCCCAGTGTAGTGCTGTGACCTGCTGTGACCTGCTGTGACGTCCCAACTCTATGCTCACATGCTGACATGATTGTGAATCAATAATGTTGTCAACATACCAGGGATACATCGGCACTTCAGCTGGGCGCACAAACAAGACAAAGCGCCCGGATCCGAGCAACTGGAACAGCCAACTGGAACACGGCACCGAGGCAGACCTTGAAGACCTGGATCATAGACCTGGACCTGGACTAAACCGCGTAGAGGCAAGCTGGACACTCTTCCAGGTTCCGATACTCGGCAGCGCACTGGAGGATTTTAGACTTTGCCAACCTTGACCTTGGAACATTCAATCTCGGATCTCTAATCTATAATCTCTGGATTCTGAATTCTGCATTCTGTATTCACGTGCATTCATCTGTTCTCTTCTATAGGTACCTGCCCAGGTATCATCACCTCGAGCCCTTTCTTTCCCTGCACCCCGCCTTCGCCTTCAATTGTTCAGCCAGCGGAATCCACCATCGATCGCACTGCTTATCCCACTGCATATCACTATCACTATCCTGTCCCCAGTCACTGGTCACTGGTCACTGGTCACTGGTCACTGGTCAGGCGTCATCACCCCAGGCCAGCCAGGTCACAGGCAGGCAGGCAGGCAGGCAAGAGGTCGTCACACAGATAGACCCCAAGCTGAGACACACATATCAAGCGTCACAGACTACAGACCACAGACTACAGTGGCGGTGAGGCATAAGCAGAGGCAGGCAAGACGCAAGCCGCAAGCATGAACTCCTCGTCGGCGTCGGCATCCGCATCTACCACCACCCAATCAAAGCGCCCTGACCACAACCGCCACGACACCAGCGACTCCCAAGTCAGCGACCATGCATCCCATGTGCAGCACCGACCGAAGCCCCAGAAGCACGTCGTAGGAGCCGGTGGACGCTTGCACCCTCGTACCAACTCGTCCAAGGCCTTGCCCAAATACCACGGCGCGGCCACAGCAGCCCGCCCAAACCACCCAAACCACCCAAACCGACGACAACCATCCCCCTCCCCCGAAAGGTCGCCTATGCTCCCCCAGGCCCAGACCCATCGTCGCGCCACTTCCGACCTGAAGCTGCCCAAGGTGCCCTACGACGACGACCTCAACGCCCTCGACGCGCTCGACGCCAACACTGTCCTCAACTCTGCCCTGAAGAAGAACCACTCGCACTCGAGCCTGTCGACCAAACGCAATCGCTCCCACGTCGACATCGCCAAGCGCAACAAGTCGGCCGCCAACATCAGGCGCTCCTCCTCCCACAAGGACGTTCACAGGTTGAAAGGCCCCAAGAGCCAGGTCCACTTCGATCTGGGCAACGACGGCCAGCAGGAAGACGAATGGGTCGACGCCAGCGCATCCGCATCGCCGTATATGTCAAGACGTAGCTCTGTTAACCACAGCAGCGCGTCCCCCGCCAAACCACCCCCAAGCAAGGAGGCCGTTAGTGAGGACAAGTCGCGACCGAATACACCCGAGGACCATCCGCTCTCTGACGAACAGGACGAACAAGACGACCGCGACGATCAGGACGAACAAGACGAACCAGACGAACGGGATCCCTCGCCCAGCCGCGAGGTTGCTGAGCACAATAGCTACATCACTTCTAGATTATTGCGGCGTACACCCTCCCACAGCGCACCACCTCAGATGTCTGCCGAAACCGCCTCCGTCCCACCCCATGCCGTGTCGCCTGCATCTCAGACGAGCCATGGCCCACCAAGCCTCTATGGAACTCCCAAGACGAGCACATTTGTGGGCAGCGGACCCGAGGAGCTCACGTCTCGCTTCGTTAATGGCGCTGCCGTGGACGTGGGTGCAAATGGAGAGACCGGATCCTATTTCACACCTATACGTGCAGAGGGTTCCCGCAGCGAAAGTGCACGCTGGCCACGATCGCTCGGCAGTCTGAGTCGGGAACATCGCGACCCGGCTAGTGGCGAGGAGGATGATAGTGCCCTGGCACCCCGGACGAGGAGAGTAGCACAGAGAGCCGCGCCTGCAGGACAGTCTCGCACCCAGCAGAAGCTGAATCTGCAACGCGCAAGCTCCACCATCGAGCCGGCACAGGCAGGAGGTGGCGTCGGCGTGGTTGGCGCAAGCCCTCTAGTAGGCGGCACTGATTACGATAATCGCGACCCCCGAATAGGAAAGCTTCTGGAGCGAACGGGCATGGAATACATGGTGGTCCGACGATATCAGAATCCCATCGCTCGATCGATAGCGCGTCTGTCGCAGCTGCCCAGTGTCAACAAGAACCAGCGAATACAGAAACCCAACGGGGTCAACGGCGCCCCACACAGCAAGAAGCTATCCGAAGGACGACTCGCTGTAAGCCAAAGCCTTGTAGACATGGCCAGATCGAGACCTGTGACACCGCGACGGTCGACCTCGATCAGGACGCCGCATGGGGCGAGCTCTAGCTTCGATGCCAATGAAGACGGGCCTCACGATCGAATGAGCGGGTCGATTTATGTAGACGGAAACAACGACGGTGTGGCCGCGATTCTACGGAATCTTTGGGATAAGAACATGGACCTGGGCGCGAGTCAGGATTGAAGTACAATAGGAGGGTTTGGTGTTTTGTTTCTACTTGGCCCGCGGGCTTTCCAGGATGCCCAGGGCGTGACGGAGTAAAGCGAGGCGTTTTTGACGATACCTACCACGCAATTACCACTTAATACTTGTTGTAAATACATGATGATTTCAACGAATATTTTGCCCCGGGACCAAGAATCGATCCGGTCTCCCGTTCTGCAAAGCCCAGTCTACCTGGTGAAGCACGGCCAACAGTCATCGTGCTGAATCTTGCGTTCCAAGGGTCAATAGTGAGAGACTGAACGGCCCTAGGAGCAGGGTCAAAATGGCTAGTCTGGCCTCACCCAGTCGCAATAGTCGATAGGGGAGACAGGTTGGCCATAGATACCACGTCAACACCGCTTCCTCATCTGAAGACTCATGGCGGCGTGTCACAGGACTTCGAGTCGGTACTCGGTGTTCCAGCGCGGGTGGTTATGCGTGAGATTTTCTCGAGCAATGCTTGCAGGCATGGGTAGAATCACAGGAGGAGCCTACCGGAAGATGGTCGTAGATCATGAGGGGTGTATGGGCCTAGGGGGTTTGTATGTAGCCCCTCGCCTTTGGTGAGCAGTCGGGAATGGATGTGTGAGAAATGTTTATATGTATTGAGTACTCGTATCAGGTGCTGTTTCCCTTCCTATCGACACGTTGCGTTTTCCCTCTGCCTTGTCCACCTCTGGGCACAATTCTAAGCCGCCAGCCTAGCAGAAGCTTGGCTGTTCTGTGTGCATCATCCAGGGGTAATAGGGGTAATGGCTAAAGGGTATGCGTGAACTGAGGGTGAATCAATACCACCGTTCGTAATCCACCCTGCCTCACCTACCCTGATTCCAGACAATTCCATGAGCACTGTGCCTCTGTTCAGACCAATCTTGGCAGTCTTGTCCCCGTTCCTCCCACCATCACTGCGGAGTGCTTCGCCAACTCAAACCATATCGACCTCTTTGACCTCTTTTTCCTCTTTTTTGGACATCAACCACGCGATAAAGCGGCATACCTGATACCAACCGCCAAAGATCAGCTCTATCCCGACCGAGATCCAGAACCCCACCATGGCCCAGAACCAGAAAGTCGGATCCCAGCCATGCGCGGAGAGCCAGGTCCCGATGACGGAGGCCACCCAGGAGAGGCAGCCGGCCATCCACGGCATTGAACGCGGGACTTCGGTGGCGTACGCAGCGATCATCAGTGCGCCGGTGAAAAGCATGAAAAGGCCGCTGAAAATGAGGATTGCAACCTCCTTGCCGTAGTCGCCGGTCCCGCAGGAGAGAGCGCTGGAGCTCAGGTACACTGCGACCATGCACATGATGTGGACTGATAGCACGCAAATGAATACCGCGACATCGGTAACGAATGCTTCACTGGGTTGCTTGTGCTTGGCCTTTTCGGACGCCATTGTTGTGATTTTTTGGTCGTGCCGGTCTTGAATTTGAGTTGTCAAGAGGTACGTGAGTAGGTTGGGTGGCGTGATATTCCAGACGTTATTTTCAAGAAGTTGTCCACAGAAGCCGGGATTAAGTACGAACGTCCAAGCATAATTCAAAACGTATAGATATAAAAGAGGTATACAAGGGACTCGGTAGACGTTCCTCGAGGTCTGACATCGATCTCGATGCCATGCCATCAACTTGCAAGTACGTTGCAACAGGCGGCAGCCTCTTCGTAATAGAAGAGTCAAAAACCTGGAGATGACGGCAAGCTCGCCCCGAAGTAGGTAGGTACGAGGAAGGAGGGATGGAAGGACCTCTTCCAGTCGCACGTAACTTGGTAGGAATAGCAATGAGGAAGTCATGGCTGGACATCTTGGGCGAGGACGAGCTTGACGGACTTGGGCAGTGGGATGGCAAGCGGTACATGTAGGATGTAGGCAAGCGGTGATAGGTAGCCTACCACATCGTCTCCTTCTTCTTGTTGTATTGTCTCACACCAACCGGCTTTCTTTTCACCTCGTTCATTCGCGTACTTGAGTATACGGTGAAGTAGCGCCGATGATTCCATTCGGACGTGTGTATCGAGCTCTATCGATGGTTCTAGTCATCGGGGTTCCCGTGGTCTTGGTCTTGCTCTTGCTCACTTTAAGGTTCAGTGGTAGACCATCAATGATACATTACACTCCCCCGTGCGCAACTACGGAGAGAGCAGCTGTCAAGGTTGACCCAAGCAAAAGACGCTGCAGACTTCCATTGCCAGAATCAGTTTTTCCCTACTCTGAAAAGGTGTCACAGAGGATACTTTCCACTGCCGCCGCTTCATTCCCATACTTGTGGCCCTCTGGTTCAGGACGATGGAGAGTCGCTTCGTCCTGCTGATAGGCCTGGGATGTTCGACTGCCCGGTTGCGCCTTTCATTGACTGATGCCATCCCCGCACACAGATGCCTTCTAGAAAAGAAAAAGAAACGTGATGTATCTCGGGTTTCACAAGTTGGAGGGCGCCCCCACGGTGAAATATCAGCAGCCCGCGACGTGAGGCTTGGCGGCACATCCCGATTGGCAGTTGCTCGTGTGTGAAGCTTTGCGATGGGTCCCTATAGGCGGGTGCCTTATAGGTGGGTGCGGGAGCGCTTATTGTAATTTGTGTCAAGCTTCTGTTTGCATCGAGGAACTTTTCAACTTTCACGACGTAGAGAAGTTTGGACGCGTCGCCAGTCTTGGGTCCGGCATGGGTTGGTTGGGTCTCGTTTCCAGAAACACGACTGATCATACTCGATCAGACGTGACGCGTGTGTTCATCAGCGAAGAGACAGCAAAAGAGAGCCCGTGGGGTGGAACACCCTTGTCTACCTGACCGTGGGGGTTCTTGCTGCAGGTTCACGTCCTTCTACCGACGATGCGGTGACGTTCAAGTTGTCGTGTCCAATGAGGGAATAGTCGGTGACATAATCCATTGGTTCGGCAAATGGCATCCATTGGGCAGCCGGCGTCTGCGTGTCACTTTGACACTTTTAATAGATAGGTAGGTAGGCTCAGAAAGGAGGGGCACTGACTTGCAGGTGGGCAGGTTGCAGGTTGCAGCTTGGAAATGCCCGTCATGTCGCGGAGGGATGTCATGCCCGTTCTCGAAACTTGGGATGGCATCAAACAGCGTGTCACCAGCTCATATGCTACCCGGGTATCAGGGTATCTGGGTATCAACCACTCAGCCTTGTACAGTCGAGAGTCCACAGTCAATATCGTCTTGATAACGGAATGGGGCCCGGGTAAGAGGGTCAAAGTCCCGATCTGCCGTCTCTGCCATCTCCGCCTCTGAGATGATATGATGTAAACAAATATAAGGCAAGGTAATAGGGATTCCCCAAATACCCCAAATGTCAAACACACTGGGGGTTCTTACTAATGACTCGGGAGGGACGAGCCATTACGTTACAGGTACTCGCAGCCCTAGCCGCATTCCGTCAAGGGTGAACACTGAAGGGGTCTTTTCTGTTTGGTAATGTTTGGTAATGGCAGCGCGTCTGGTCCAGGCTGACCCTGCCGGGCCTGCCCACAAGTTACAACCCTACACAACCCTACACAACGTGGCCGTGGGGCGTAGGCACCTTGAAGGGCATGCCGGCTGGGCTACTAGGGGTAGGCTGGGCACCAGTGACCACCAGTGACCACCGTCCAATGTCCATGCAATGTCCATGCAATGTCCCCAGTATTGCCCGAAACTCTCTCTCATATTCCTGACAATACATTTGCTGTCACTCTCCATGTGAACAAGATAAGACGGCCGTCGTTATCAACTGCTCCATCGTAATTCGTTCGTCTCGGTCTGCCAGTCTGGCAACTCCCGCACCGCCATGTCATTGCCGGCCAGTTCCCGGAAATATCACATATCCTCACTCACATCACCACTCACATCACCGAGGTATAGTCGCAGCCATCTGCGCTACCCTGACAGAACACCCTGACAGAACTGAATCTTGCGGTAAAGCATCAACGGTCCAACGTTGTCAGAGGACTGTGAAGTCACCTAGCCCCGCACTCCATTCTAAGGTTCTTGACTCTTGAGTCGGGTTGTCCCCCCTGCTCCTATCTCCTGTCAAGCCCGCGGGCCGCCCAGCAACCTCGTCACCGACCGACTTCTTCCCATTGTTGCGCGCCCTGTCCATCTACAAGTGCCGATTTCATCGTCTGTTTCTCGCTCTACTCACCCTCGTCTGCGTGTTCGATAGTACTCTCTTCCACCTCCACTCTCCCGCTCGCCTTGTTGCTGAACACGCCGTCGAGTACAGCGTGCCCAAATGACGACGATAAGCCAAGCTTATCTGATCCTGGTCTCGATCATCACCTGAGTTGCCAGGTTGCCATACCTCCTACTGTACCTCGACTATCATCTCAGATCTGCAGCCTGGCCCTGTGGGAACTTGGAAGTCGGAATTCCGGGATACACGTGCAGATTGGGACTGGGACTCCTGCATATCCAACCCGCTCTACCGGCTCTACCGCCCGCGAGACCATATCCCAGACCATATCTACGCCTGGCCACCATCCGCCACCCGACATTCGACATCTTGCCTCATATAGTCTTATCTCGATAAGCATTACCGTCCTCCACTGTCACTGTCGCAGCACGGGACTGGTGAAGCACGCGAGCAGTTGTGCGCGCCGCCTGCCTTCTCCGCCTGAGTTGCGAACCACTGACAAAGCTTATCACCCGGCTTCCCTATCAAACCTCACCTGGAAGTGCCCGACTTGAGCAGATCGGAGGGCATCCGGCCATAGACAACCCAATACGCCCCAGCCTATCGGGGAGTCCACAGACGGGCCGTGGATCGGCCTCTGGCCGCACCCAATACCATCATCAGCCTCGCCCTCCACGGGTATCTAGTACTTCGAGTGACCTCTTCCTCGAGCCATGTCCAACCCAAACACGTTTCCGCGGACGGTTCCCATTGCCATTGCCCCCAAACCCTCACAGCTGAACTATAGCCACCATAGCCACCTCAGTAGCAAGGAGGCTTATATGAGTAATATGAATGGCAATGAATCGGGCTCGGACTCCGCCTTGAGTGGCGTCGAGACGCCCTGTGAAGCCTGTGTTCACGCCAGATCTCAATGCCTCGTGAGCGATGACGAAGGAAGCTGTCTTTCTTGCCAGGCCCGCGGTGTCGAGTGTTCTTTGAGCCAGAGCCCTCAATCGCGAAAAAGAAAGCTGGTGCGTGAATCCGGTGACGAAAGCCATGGCCTACGAGGGTAAGTGCTCACCGATACTTCCGTTGACCCCCAAATCCCAAATCCCCCCTTGTCGCCCGCCTGCAGGCTTGACCACACGCTTCAGCAACGGCCTGCTGACATGTGATTGGCCACATCAGCTCGCCCGGTCGTTCTGATAACAGAAGACTGCGGCAGAACCCGCCGAGTCTGTCAAGTACCGGCGCCAGCGGCTCTCTGATCGAGGACATGGCCAATTTTGGAGGTCCTACTATGCTAAAACGCACACTCGGCCTCCAGAAGGACCGCTACAGCCAATATATTGGTCCCACGACTGACTTTGAGCCTTCCCTGATCAATCTGTCTCCCTTCGACCCCCAGGATGAGAGTCTTCTGGCTCGGGGCGTCCTCAGGAAGGTCAGCGACCATGACACCTTCTTGATGTTGCCCGACTTTGCCACGCCCGGTCATGCGCAACAGTTCGACGACGTCGAAGCCATTGAGCGGCTTGTAGCACCGCATGGTCGCAGCTTGCTCGACCTTTACTTCGAGGTCGTACACCCTGGTTTCCCCATCATCCAGGAGAATGTCTTGTTCGAGAAGTATGAGCGGGACTACCGCGAGTTCTCGCCACCGCTCTTGGCCGCTGTGTATATCCTGGCTATCAACTGGTGGGACCACTCGGAAGAACTGTCCAAGTATCAACGGCCGAACGTGCGCGAGCTGGAGCGGCTGATCAGATCCTCCCTGGCCGATGCCATGTGGCGACCGAAGCTCTCGACCGTTCAGGCCGGACTGCTCCTCTCGCAGCGGCCCGAGGGTGACCAATGGGCCCCAACTGCTCAGCTGGTAGCCATCGCCCAGGAGCTGGGGTTGCACCTCGACTGCACCCACTGGAAAATTCCGCCTTGGGAGAAGGGTCTTCGCAAGAGGTTAGCTTGGGCTTTGTACATGCAGGACAAATGGGGAGCTCTGGTCCATGGCCGGCCATCACATATATTCGGCTCCAATTGGGTCGTGCAACCCCTGGTCCCCAGCGACTTTCCAGAAGCCGAGTGCGACGACAATGACATCGAAGGCCAAGCCGAGATTGAGAGGGGCCGCGCGCTGTTCGTGCAGATGGTGGTCCTGTCGCAGGTACTCGCCGAGATCCTCGAGACCTTCTACACGCTTCAGGCCATGCAGGACGTGACCAATGCTGGGCCTCAGGGTACTCATCTGGTCTTGTCCTTGGCGAAGCCGATCCAGCTCAAGCTGAAGGAGTGGTATGCCGCCCTTCCAACTGCCATCCGTATGGACTCTTCTTTCCAGACCAACAACATCTCGTCGAGTCGCTTGTCGAGTATCGGATATCTCCACCTGGGCTACTTCGCCACGGAAATCACCCTCCATCGCCGCATCATACGTTCGCTGGCCGCGGATTCCCAGGCCGTCGACCCCTACGTCCAGCACATCTGCCGAAGCGCTGCCAAAGCCCGTTTGATATCGGCCATGGACTTTGTTAACCGCTTGACGCCTCAACACGTCCGGGGGTTCTGGTTCTTCGCGTCCAAGACCAACTTCGCGCTGATCGGCACGTTTGGCTCCCTCCTGTGGGCTACTTCGCCAGGCCGCGAGGAGGCGGAATGGTACCGACGGCGGCTCGGAGAGTATCGATGGACGCTGAGTGTCAGCAGTAAGCCAGGCGAGGGCCACCGTCTAACCGAGTTCGCCGTTGGCATGCTCGATATATCCACCGGTTTGCTCAAGAAGCTCCCCGAGAAGCCGGAATTGAGCAGCAACGGCAGCACGACCGAATTCGATGCTGGACGGCGACAGAGTCTCCTGGCCATGGGCATCGGCCATATTCCACGAGAGCCGTATGGCGAATTCGCCAGCGCTGATATCAGCGGTACGCAAAGCCCGGGAAGCTTCATCGATAGCAGCGACGACGAGTATGAGGCGTTTGCTCCGACGGCTGGGATGGCTTCCATGGGAGATCAGTGAAGCTGGTGAGAATGCCCTGCCGTCACCTTTTTACGGAAAGGGCAGAATGCAGAACACACGTGAGGGCAAGGTCACGCCATAGGCACGGAATCTCACGAGTGCCTTGCGTCATCACGACTGTCTGGGCTAGTCATATTCCTGCTGCCTAAGAGTTTCCCCGTTGTTATTGCTGTCTTTAATACCCCATTAGAGTGTCTTGATTTTGGTGTGAACTTGCTCGAGGCGCCATGAGGGATATATGTTCACTGCAACAGGGAGTCGTTATGTAGTAAGAGTACTCCATACAGACTATCGAGCAACTGTTCTGCGTTCTCTCAGAAGATATGATACATGTCTATTTGATCCAGAAATACATAGTATATTCAGCGGCAGCCGGCTAGGAAGACAAGTACCGATACTGATGCATTGATGCTCATGGGCAGCCGTCACCCCCGCCGACGTCTCGTGACTAGGCCAGAAGGTCATCCACAACACATACGTTGGAACAAGCTGCGCAGCAGGCTCCGCCGTGTTATTATATGCGAGATCGATCCATTGAATCTGCATCTCTGCCGATCCGCCACCTGCCATCTCTCCACTCCAGACTCCACCGTCGCTCCAGGCATTGAACAGGATGGTCAGGGGATCGGTCGGGACTTGGAATTGTATCGAAGCAACTTTGTTTCCGTTGACGTACCAGTCACTCGAGCCCGGGCTCCAGTCATACCGATGCTCCTGTCAGTCGGTCCAGGGCGTGGCCAGAGTGGTCACGTGGGTCGCATCGGGGACCACCTCTCCGTCGACCGTACCGGGCTGGTTGGTGTACTGGGCTATGTTCGTCGCTGTATCGGTCCTGATCTCCAGGTCGGCCTCCTGCACGGGGGCGCCTCCAAGGTACGTGGACATCGACGTGACCGCGCCGCCGTCGCCCTGCGTCCGTGCCAACATCCGTACGGACAGGTACTGGTACTGGGGAGACTTGGACTCGAACTCGGCAGTCGACTGATAGTCCGACTGCCGCAGAGTCCTCATCGTGAGGTGGGTCCTCGACGCCGGGCTGGCGTCGGTGTCCGCCTCTATGTAGACGTTGTTCGGCGAATTGACCCTGTACACAGGGCCTCCACTGGTAGGCCACGTCTGTATGCCCCAGGTGTCGGTCCATTCGGCGGTTGAGAAGTAGGCGTTGGTCAACGGGGCGCCGGCGTCTTGGTCCCGGCCGTCGATGGGGGCTGGGACCGCAGCCCCAGCCATGTCTCGGAAATCGAAGAACTTACGATGATCGAAGAAGTTCGTGGAGGTTGCTTCGGCTTTATAGCAGTCACACGTTGCGTCCGACGTTGCGTTCGCGCCGAGAGGGGCACATCGTGTCAAGCCTGCAAAGACTGCCCATGATGTTACCACGGTGGTGAAGAGAGATTGGGATCGAGCCATGTTTGTTGAATCTGAAGGGTCTTCTTATAAAGGCTGTCTCTGGCGATACAGGCTGAAGACCGGAACCCAACATCATGGGAACTGGACCTACCATACTTATATGTTGAACTTGGACCCGTTTGGTCTCCATGTTGGTCCCATAGACGAACCCAACGTCGTATCCTGAAACAAAGAACGCTCAGAGTAGAAGATCAGACTCAGCTCACTTTCGTCAAAAGGTGCATTTCGCGATCCTTCAATACTCCTTCACTCCCCGTTGGAAAGACCTGGTCATGTAGGTAGTACAGGATCCATTGAGGCTCTTACATAGCCTTAAGCAGTGAGAAGGCAGCGTGGCTCAAGCCCGGTGTATTGTACGAAGATGATCATGCCCGTTTCATAAGATCCTGGGGGGTCGAAAGGAGGTACCGGTAGTCAATGTGTCTTCGCCGCAACACGCAGTAATGAAGTCGTCTAAAGATCATGTACGTTTTGTCTAAACTCCATAGAAGCTACCAGGTGTCCAGGATGGTGATGGTTAGCGGATCCACATGACGGGGACCTTTTGGGTCCGTACTTTGCTTGTTTTCAAAACACGCCAACCTTTGATCTATAATTATCTGCAATGGTGTATAGAACTTTACGCGATGGCCCAGCATGTGGAACCGCTAACCATTACCACGCTGCTGCCTGGACTCCTATATGCATCACCCCATGTAACCTCATAGCCAATCTGGAAGGTTGCGCGCCTGGCTTTCATTTCTCTGAATCCCACTGCTGCCTGCAGACCCGAGAACATGGGTGTGACTCTCGAGGCACTTTACATGGGGCTAACTTTGCGTTTCGGTTGCAAGGTTACCTCGCTCATTGGGACTCACATACTAAGAGGCAATCATCGGGGGTTGTGGGACTGGAGTAACCCATTGTTACGGTGGGCATAATACGCCTACCAAGCTGTCTCTTCACTCTACAATGAGAGGAGTTCGTGGGCTCTATTGCACTATCCAGGGGTAAGTAAGGACGTATGCAAGAATTGCACCTGGCCAGCCACCCCCTAGCTCATATAAGACGATCCTTCGTACGGACTAATCTGTGCTAGAAGGTTTCATTGGAAGAACGCCTATGTCCAGAGCCCCTTGAATAGCAAGAGTTGCTCTTACTGGGTACACTGAACCCTCATAAGTCTCCGTACACTCGTCATCTACCTTACCAAGCGAAAGCGCGTTCATTATAAATGGAATAAGCACGCTGGAATAAGCATCAAAAATGACTTCATAGCTACGAGCTGCTTATCCGGTATTCTTATTGCAGTATTTTAGTTGTTTACGGGTGATGTGAAATCTTATCAACATCAATGCGCGTACGGAGACATACGAGGGCTGAGTGTATGTCGGTTGAGTACATGCTCTATCGCAGTAGACGCAGTGCGGCCCATCCCAAGTTCTCAGACAAGTCAGTATAAACGTCATGCGGACCGGCGCCTGTAACTCGTTCAACACATATGCGGTCTGAATCTGATAAAACCGAAGAGGAAGTGACTCACTGTCGGGAGAGTGGTATATAACGAGCCGGTTATTGATGGCATGGCCAGTGCTGGGTTGTCACGAGTGGGACTACAATGGAAACCGGAGAACAGAGCCGCGGGATGAAAAAGTCATACATAGCTTCCAAGGCTGAACCTTTGAGTTGAACGAAACGAGGTATGTCGAGGATCGGTGACCGCCTAGGGTCATGGGTAAATGTGAGGTCAATGATGAACAACTCACGATGACCCGGGAATTCACTCACGGGGCAACCGCAACTTGTCGCCAGGAGCGAAGAGCGAAGCGCTTCCGTCGTGCACCTGCGCGAGGAAGGAAGGAAACATCTCGTCCCATCATACCATTACCAAGTAAGTAGCTTCAGTGCCAACAGTGAGCCCAGTCGCACTTTCTCTTTTTCTCGCCCCGTCCGATACAGCCGTCGCAACCCTGGGTTTGGGTAACCTGGCACTTCTCTGTTGATTCATGCCCGACGATGCGTTCTGCGCTATGGGAGTTCGGCAGCAAAACATCATCTTCAAGACATCGCTCTGGTTCTGTTATGGCGACTCCACACCTGGCACGGCAAGTTTCATGCCAAACGGCGGCGGAAGGCAATGGAGACGACAACCTAGCACTGCGTATCGGCTCGATCTTCATCATTCTCTGTATTTCTTCTGCAGCATGCACATTCCCCATCCTGGCTGCTAGACTTCCGGGACTACGGATCCCTCCGGTCATCTTGTTCGGTGTGAGGCACTTTGGCACCGGTGTTCTCATCGCCACCGCTTTCGTCCACCTGCTACCGACGGCTTTCAGACTTCTGGGCGATCCCTGCCTCTCCTCCTTCTGGACGGAAGATTATCCTGCGGTATGGAAACCTCTGTTTCTGAATCCCGAAGCCCCCGTTATCAAGCCCCCTTCTGCTTTTGTTAGCCCTGTACTGATTGACGGCTCGATAGTAAGTGAATGTGCCCCGCGCTGCGGTGCCTTCGGGAATGAGAACTGCCTCTGACATATGTTCGAACGTCTAGCATGCCTGGAGCTATCGCGCTCGTGGGAATCTTTTTCGTGACGACGGTGGAGATGTTGTTGCATCCCGCCCGCAGGGATTTACCGGAGCCAGCGAGTGAAGACACCGGAGGTTCAGGGGGAGCTGCCTCGGGGGGTAACGTCGAACATGGCCAGCTAGTCAACAGCAGTGGCGTCACTGTCACCTCGGACCAGAAACGCAAGAAACAAGCTATACACTGCTGTCTGCTGGAAATGGGGATCTTATTCCACAGCTTATTTATTGGCATGGCGCTGAGCGTAACCATTGGTGGCAACGCATTTGTCGTCCTACTCATCGCAATAGCCTTTCATCGTAAGTACCCCTTTGGACTACACCCGGGTTTGGCCGTAGGACTGAGATTCAGAATACAGAGACATTCGAGGGTCTCGCACTGGGAGCAAGGATAGCCGCAGTCGAATGGCCGCACAATAGCCTACAGCCTTGGTATATGGCGGTAGCCTTTGGCTGCACGTAAGTATTACTGTTCTCTTGTCAGTCCTTTCATGCGCTCACACTTGCACAGTGCTCCAATCGGTCAAGCCATCGGTTTGGCCACGCGGTCAGCTTACAGCCCCGAGTCGGAAGTAGGCTTGATATTGGTGGGAGTAATGAATGCACTTTCATCCGGCTTCCTGATTTTTGCCTCCCTCGTCGAGCTTCTAGCAGAGGATCTCCTTACCGACGAGAGCTGGCGTGTGTTGCGAGGGAAACGCCGCATGTGTGCATTCCTCCTGGTCATCGGCGGCGCCTTTGCTATGAGCCTCGTTGCTGCCTGGGCTTGAACTGGGAAGCCCTGTGAATCACCTGGGTATGTCGGTCGTACTTAGGTTACTCATTGCCTCATCTACTCATGCGGAGCTGATGGACCTACCTCGGATAGGGAGGATAATCATATACTTCATAGAAGACTTATCTGAATGGTTTGTGCCGATTGGTCTCACTTGTCGGAAGACCCTCGTGCCCAGGTGACTTGTCATTTCACCATCTACGCTTCTTTCCGCCCTCGCAGGAGACCGGGAAATTCCATGACGCCGAGCTGCCGGTGTACGCCGTCGGCGGTACGGCATATGCGTGGACCGTAATGTACAACATATTGGCTGCCGTCCCCGTGTTTTGTGCCAAGCTCGGCTGTGACTTGCTAGCGGTGACCGAGAGTGAAACGTATGAGTCAGTCGGCGAAGACCGGGTGTTGCATGGGTGTGTGCGGAGGCCCAGATGATGCCGGGCTTCCTGGTCTGTGATTAGTGGTTGTGGAAGACGAGAGACCTTTGGAATAGGAAGCGATGACAACACGATCACGGAGCAGTAAAAATATATTACCTTACCGTATCGTCAGATAACACTGGCAGTCGTCATAGATTCCGATCCCACTATTCCATACGGCACTAAGGTACCCTCTTGTCAACCTGTGACTGCTCTATCGTGCGGCCAGTCGTCGCCTTGTGAGTTCATGTTCACTTCCTCGGTCACACTCGTGATCCGAGACTACTCTGTTGCATCAAGAAGAGCATGGAAATAGTGAATCACAGCCCGCACCGCTCTGTCATACACAAGACAGGCTGAGTTGCTGGGCAGTCATAATAAGCTGCAACGATAAGGGGTATCTTCACTATCTTCACCTCTCCCGGCCGCCGCGGTGACCGGCGTGCCCCGAACCCCACCCATGCCTCCAGCGGAGTCCTATCTCGCCCGAATCTCTCAACGCGACTACTGTGTTGCACATCGTGGCGTCTCACAGCGGCTCACAGCGTCCTTACAGCTTTGTTCGTTTTGAGAGGGCTCTTCTCAACGCTCGTTCTGGCAGTTCCGGCCCAGTATCACTCACGTATTGCAGCGTAGCCACCACCGTCCCCATCACTTTACACCACTCCTGCAACCGCCAACATGACCGTAGACAAAGCGGCGCCGTTTGTGATCCCGACGATCGACGTTGCACCGTATCTGCAGGACCCATCGTCGGCGGCCTCGGCCCGAGTCGTCGAAGCCGCCCGGGAGGCCTGCATCACCAGCGGCTTCTTCCAGATAGTCAACCACGGCATCGCGAAAGAGCTACAGCAGTCCGTGCTGAAGTCCAGTGAGGCCTTCTTCGCGCTGCCCTTGGAAGAGAAGAGAAAGCTGCTGCACCCAACCCTGAAGAATAGGGGATACGAGCTCATCGGCTCTCAGGCCTTACAGGAGGGCGCCCTGCCGGATCTGAAGGAGGTGACATCCCGCCTCGATCCTGCAAAGCTTCTTTCTGTCAACCTGACCTGATGGCCACTAATGCATGATGACCGTCAGGCGTTCTACGTCGGGCAGCACATTCCGCAGGACGATGAGCGGTCAAGAAAGCATCCCCATCTGATTGGGCCCAACATCTTCCCGCCAGCGTTTCCAGACGAGGTCATGAAGGTGCCGACAGAGGCCTACTACCGGGAGCTCTTCGGCCTCTCATGTAAGGTCATGGAGGTTCTGGCCAAGGGTCTGCCATACGGGGACGACATCTTCGTGCCGTTCACCTCGAACGACCCTGTCTGCTCCATCAGACTGCTGCACTACCCTCCCCAGAAATCGACCGACGCACGACAGCTTGGCGCAGGCGCCCACACGGATTTCGGTCAGTCCGCTCGCTGCCTTGTCAGCCCCAACCCTCTTCCGTGGGAATGACTGAGGTGCTAACACAAGCTACAGGTGCGATCACGCTGTTGTGGCAGGACATGTCCGGGGGGCTCGAGGTCTACAACCGCGCCACCGACGAATGGATCCCGGTAGACCCCAACCCGGATAGCTACGTGGTCAACATCGGCGACATGCTCTCCATGTGGACCAAGAACGAATACAAATCCACTGTGCACCGCGTCACCAACAAGAGCAGCGGCGACCGGTACTCGGTGCCCTTCTTCTTTGACGGCAACACCGATGTCAAACTCGACCCGTTCGACGGCAGCGAGCCGATCGGTGGGAAGGCCCTGACGGCCGAGGAGCACATGTTGGAACGGTTCGGCACTACGTATGGGCGGGTCGAGAAAGCGACCGCCGGCTGATCTCGACATGTCCGAGGGAGAAGCTCAAGAGCGCCATATGTTTCCGGTACACTATAAGGAGTGCCCCGATGCCGGTGATGTTGGAAGCAGCCGCCTCGACCAAGGAAAGGGCAGCTTGGCAAGGCCTGAGAGGTTGGCCGTGTAATAGGTACAGTAAGCGTCATGTGCCGAGTCTTGTGCTTCCTGGGTTGTCGGATATGTTATGGATTCTCCCAAAGGCCCATTCTTGAAGAAACGGTAATGACACCGTGAGGTAGGAGACAGGGCGGTCGACAAGGCCAAGCATGATTTGCCCATGTGCGTGGTTGGTCTGAATGGGTCGGTTTACTATGTACCGCACAGTTTAGCAGTCGAGACAAACATTGTGAGCGCGATTCCCATTGACCGGATTAATGTACATCCCCGAGCTTTCAATAGCCAGGGCTCCATCATAGGAAGTTTCTGAAGCCGTAGCCATCGTTCTCGACGCCAATCGAGCCCTGCTTCGGATCAAGGCCTGCCCGACGAGCCTCCTCGTCCATCCTCTCGAACTTCTTATTTTCCCAGCCAAGATGTGTCCGCAGGGCCAAGGCCAAGAGGGCATTCAGAAACATAAAGCCGGCGCAGATGCTCATGCCCTCGACGAAATAAGGCGCATTACGTGTCGGGAACACGCGAGTCCCCAGCAGTGGCCCACACTGCCCGATGACGTTGAGTAGTACTATACTAGCACCCCTCTTGGAATCACTGCCCTGGTTATTGACGGTCCAGGGGAGAATGTTGGAGATGGCTGGAAACACACCAGCAGCGGCGAGGAAGACACCAAAGTATCGCACCCCAACGCTCTTGCATGTCGCCAAGAGGACGTATCCAATGCCGGCGACGAGCGAGAGGCCAATGATCATCAACCCACGCTGGCGAGTTCTGTCGGCAATCCAGGTGGTGCCGATGCATACCAAGAACGAGAGGAAGTAGGGCGGCGCACTTAGGCCCTGGGCGTTGATGGCTGTGAAGCCCATGTTCTGGAGGATCGACGGCAGGAACACGGGCAGACTGCTGAACGAGACTATCTTGCGTGGTTAGCCAGTTGACGCTTGATCATGGCGCAAAACCCACCGTTGCAGCTGAAGTACATCAGAGGCGGTATCCAGGTTTTGATGTCCATTAGTGACATGACAATGTCCTTGAAATTCACGTGTCCGATGCGTGAAGCTCCTTCACTGCCAGTCTGTTGAATGGCTCGATTCTTGGCAACCTCCCTCTCCCCAGGGCGCAGAAAGCGCGCCGTGTCAGGCGAGTCTGGCAGGTATCTATAGGCGATGAAGGCCAGCAGAATGGAAGGTATTCCTTCCACGATGAAGAGAACCCTCCAGTTCGCGATAACCGGGTGGCCAGAGGTAATGCCGTACGCCAGAGCTCCCGCAAAGGTGGTGGCGAGGGGTGCGGCAGAGAGGAAGAGGCCGCAGCGGAAACCAAGTTCGTGTCGCTTATAGAAGAATGAGAGCAAGTAGGGGATACCGGGCCCGTACCCTGCCTCGGCCGCGGCCATGAAGAACCGGCATGCCATCAGACCCTGCCAGTTGAATGCCGCGGCTTGCAGTGTTGAAGCCAGACCCCTAGGCACAGTCTGAGTACTGGGAGTGCATCCCATCCTGTGGGGGTGTACTTACCACACAAGTACGCAACTAAAGGCCCAGATGTGTCTAGCCAGGGAGTCAGAATAGAGGCCCGAATAGGTTTCTGGTGGGTTGGGAGAACGCACGGAGGTATTGCCTTCCACATCAGCGCACACCACTCGAAGAGGACTACAGAATGTTATTCGAGCTCAGATGGGGTACAGGCGGCTATCGAGGACGGTATACTGACTATAGGGTATGTAGAATATGGTCAACAACCACTTTGGCGCTGTGTCAGCGAGCCTGCCAGTCGGATCGAGGACTGAGATCGCACCTGATACTGTTCGTCGTCGAACCCGAGGTCCTTGCCCCTACATCAAGAAAGACCAAAGTCAGTATGCGTTGAAAAACCCGCGATGGCAATATTCACGTACATTCCCGCGGTCTGCGCATTCCCAATGTTGGATCGATCCAGGAAAGCAACGAGGTCTGGTCTCTGGTCAGCACCGTGCCGGGAAATGAGGACTGCGGTACACTCACATAGGCCCATGACCAAGGGGATCAAGACTCGGTCTATCTTGTTCCGGACTTGCTTCTCGATAAGAGGGTCAATCTGGACATCTGGCTCGGACTGCGATGGCTTCTCCCCGGGCTCTTGGGCCGCCTCGTCCATGCTGGTGATATCCATGCGGGCGATGGCGATGGCGATGGCGATGGCTATGTCTTGAGTGCCAACGCCTGGCAAATGCGAACCTGTTGAATTTGGAGATGGGAGATGCGAGATGGAGAATGGAGATTGGAGACTGGAGATTGGGCGGGCGCCGCTGGAACTCTAAATACTTAGTAAAGGCAAACCCGAGGAGGCGGAGGGGCTCGGGGGTCTCTTATACATATGTACTATGTCATTCCCATGGAACCTCCGCAGTTGGGGATTAGGTAGGTGAGGTAGTCAGTCTGCAATAGGTAAGTAGCGGGGAATGGTGACAATAACCTATAACCTACCCTACCCTACCCCACACCGCCGCAGAGCTGCAGCGGAGGCATCCCCGGACCCCAAGTCCGGGGAACACCCACTGTGTGGCTAAGTAATAGGGGGGTTTGCCAAGTATGCCTCAAATTCATGGCTACTACCGGAAGTTCAGCCAGGATGGATTCATCCTTGGCCCAACCTGGAACGCTATGTCTGGAATAGAACTAATCATGTGACAAGTCGTGGATTCCATCACCTCAATATGACTGTTCATTTCCCTACGCCGCACAGGGTTTCTTAGCAGTGCCAAGCAGCAGTTATCGGCCTAGAAATACCTACCACACATATCATGCGAAGATGCCGTCTGGTCTATGATACAGTGACACAGGAAAACTATTAATGTACGGGCCTTGTCATACCGTCTGTAGTCACCAGAAGGCCCGCAGCGGTTTCGGTGAAGGTATCGAACTCCTGCCCAGCCCCTTTTCTATGACCTACTAACCATGTCCCCGGATTACTCTCTACGGTTCGGTCGCCAAATTACACGTAGTAGTTGATTCCCTCGCGGCGATTGCCAGTGAAAGTCATACATGTAGTATCCCTAGGCGAATTGTAGAATTGAGGGCTCGTGTGAAAGGTCTCCGCAAAAGGTCTCCGGACAAACCTATTGTAGTCGTGCTAGCACTTGATGCTCAACTGGTGGACTCGACACTTGGCGTCGACCGCAACCATCACAGAGCCAACTCGATTTTCTCTTGTATTTTTGTCCAAAAGTTCGTCCTTCATTCATTCATTCTTCAGTTTCGATGATGCACTGCCTAGACCATCCCTTGTTCCTATGTCCCACGTGAGATATGACAGGAAAGCTCTCTTTGTCCACAACTTCGACACTGCGCTGAAACAAAGCGCACTGCCTCTTCCAGAGTAGACAAAAAGGCAGAAAGACAACATGAAGTATATATATAGTATGAGGAGAAACGGCGCAAGGCAGTCGCTCCAGTCGGCAAACCCCTAGAGACTATCGACGCAAGCGTACCATAATGGAAGGAGACCACACAGGATACGAGTCGGAACGCCGAAACCTGGAGCGCAACTTTAAAGGGAAGACGGACAAGATCAAGAGACAGTACGAGCTATTCTGGCAGCAGGCGACGGCCAAGGCGGACGTCGACGCATACCTGAACGCCGTCGCGGACCATGACTACCCGAAGCTTCCCAAATGGATCTCCAAGGTGACTCCGTTCACACACTGGAAGGGCCCCTGCTTCGCCGAGAGCGATCGAGCACTACTGATCGGGAACCGGGCCTCTTTCGACACGGTCCAGTACGACAAGCCGGAGCAAGCCGGCATGTCCATGATCCACCTCCTGTGCATACCCAAGACCGGCATCTTCAACGGCGTGGGCCTGGACAGCGGCAGTGTCTCCATCATCGACCACATGGTGCAGCTCTTCAAGAGTGCCTGGACGGACGCCGAGACGCGGCGGGGCGTGCTCTGCCACCAGCGAGAGGCCATCGAGCGCCGCAACCAGGAGAATCCGGACGAGGAGGCCCATGCTACGGCCATGGAGCACTACGGCGAGCTGGAAGACATGATCGACGATCTCGGCCCTGACGACTTCCACTTCGGACTGCACCTCTGGCCGGACCACAGCGTTGGCCACCTGCATCTCCACGTCATTGCGGCTCCGTGGGCCTGTCGCCAGTACAGCACGTCGCACCATGACAAGAAGACCAAGGACGCATTCGAAGTGCGTGACTACATCAAGAGCGTCGCCAATGCCTAGATAGACGGTGGAGTATAATTGATTCGCTGACATGTCCTGTATTTGTGCGTCGTAACCAAGATGATGCATTTGTTCAGTGATATTTCTTGCCGTGCGTTTCGGGGGTTCTGTCCCTGGCGAGTTCGGAAGTGTCCTGCATACCTCACATACTAGACCGCGTTACATGAATGGCCGAATTACCCCCATGCTTTGTGTTGTACCCATGACATCTGGGCGTACCTTTGATCGGCACCAAACCTTTCGAGCTGTGGTGAGGCCTCATCATATAGCCTGAAAGCGACGTGATAAAGCTTTTAAGCGAGGAGTTGCACCACCCCCTGGACGAGTGGCGTAAGCTTACCGAATCATCCCTCAGAGTTTCTCCTTTGCCTTGTTTGCCTCCCGAACCGACTGCATACTCCTCAACAGCGCGTACATGGTCTGCAACTTGGGCATCTCCACGCCGGCCCTCCTCGCGATCCTGATGGGGTTTCCCAGGATCACCTCCAGCTCCATGGGCCGGCCTGCCTCCCAATCGAGCAGCATACTCGGCTTGGCACCGGGATTCCTCTCGGTGCTCTTGATGATCTTGTCGGGCTTGGCCACGCTCGCGGGCAGTGGCGTCCCCAGGACCTTGGGTGCAGCGTTCCAAACCTCGTTCATGATGCCCGTGATGTGTTTTCGTAGCTCCGGGTCGGTCAGCTGGTCTGCGTTGCCGCGGCCGCCGGAGACGACGGCGGTGGGGTTGAAGGCTGCGTTGATACACAGCTTGTGCCATCGGATGGTCTGCAACTCGAGTTCCGTGTGGGTTTCGACGTCGCGGATGCCGCCGTGGGTTGTCCACCAATGCGACAGATGTTGCATGCATTGGTGACCTCGCCGTGTAAGCTCGTGCGTATCCTGCGACTGGCCGGCGGGTGCGCCTAGTCCATAACTGTAGGGACCGAGGCTGATCCTCGTCCACCTGTTCTGCCGTATAACGCCCTGCTTGATCTGTTCGGCGCTGATGATGGTCACGGCGCTGACGATGGGATTCAGTGGGAAGCGGTTGCGATACGGTTCTTCGACGCCAACGCCATTCTGGATCAAGACAATGCAGGTGTTGGCGGATACGAGCGGCGCGATCAATGCGGCATCGTCAGTCCTGTCCGGCAGCGCCTTGGTGGTGACGACGATGTAGTCCCATCCGGCACTCGGCGCGGGCTGCGAAGGGGGGTGTGTCGAGGAGGGCGAGTTCGGCACGGCTGCAGACACGGAAGGGAAGACGGCATAGGGTGTGAAGGTGTAGTCGCCGAAGGTGTGGGTTTGCAGCGACACGCCCGAGGCTGCAATGGTCGCGTAGTTGGATCGGGCCGTGAGCGAGGTGTAGATGTTTTGCGAGGGCTACAAAAAGGCGGGCCATCAGCCACGAGACACGAGACACCAGACACCAGACAGCCTGACTACCTAGGTAGATTGAACGTACTTGGTGCAACCGTGAGGCGTAGAAACAGCCGACGGCGCCGGCGCCGACGAACAGGATGTGTACCGGCACTGGCCTTGACCGGGGCCGCTTAGCTGGGACTGGGTGCGTGTGAGGGACCGGCGTCGTCAGGACTCGGAACTCACTGGCTTCTCGACGCCATGGTCAATGGTCAGTCATGCAGATTCTGGTGGCTGCTTGGCTACCTCTCACCGGGTGGGAAGCGGTCAGGTCAGGTCCAGGTGGATGGATGACAACAGTTGACGGCGGCGGTCTAAAGGTTCCATTCCGACGATGACCGCCAAGCTATGAGGGAGGAGCTCGGGCCGCGTGTCTCCTTCGAAGTTCTCCCGTCCCCATCCCCAACCATCCTGCCACCGTGCCATCTTAGGTATATACCCACGTACCTCTAATGCCTATGCAGTAGGTCCACTACATATATATAGTTGACGTTGAGAGTGCAGTGCAATCATATGAGGGGTGTTGTCTGACTCTGGGTGTCTTAGTATCGACTCCTAGGTATACTAACGTTACTTCTCCCTGGGCTGTTACTCGACCAGGCTGCCTACATAGATCATAGATTTCATCAAAAGCTTGCTTCCATCAAGCTTTCGGGCACATCGCTAGCTTGTCATGTGCAGAATGACAACCATGATCGCGACCGGCACCACGCCAAGCTTCGAACCCCCTCTCCCACTGCACGCTGCAGAACTCGTCTGAGCTGCAGTGCTCCTCTATAAGCTGAACATCTCCTCCCCATCGTGCATCGATCCGTCAAGCCTGCCTGCCTACTTACTCCTCGCCGACTTCTCGCGGATCGCGGCCGAAGGTGTTCGAAAGCCGCCCATCGCATCTGACGACATGCCTATGGTGCGACTGCCGCACGTTACACAGGCTTGACCAGAGGCCCGGCAGAGGCAAGGCATGTACGGGTGCGGCGTCCGAGGCATCGTCCAACGGCCCCGACGGGTCTGCGGATCCGGCAGGCCCCATCACCGCCAGCATCGGCACCGGATGTCGTGAGGAGCCTCCTGATTCCGTACCAGGGACGACGCAGACGCAGACTCGTTGTTGCCTCTTGCTGAGCGGCGTCGTCTCTCGACGTTCCGAGTCCGGCCATGACTTGGCGTGAGAAGAAGCCCCTCGCCGCTCGGCCATGGGCCCTGTGGGCTGTCATGGCATGTCCCAGCCACGCTTTGGTCTCACGTCAGCCACAGATTACCACTGCAGACATGCAAACAAGCCTTGGGTGCATCAGTCCCGTTGCTTCCGGTGTCATGGTGACCCGTACTGGCCTTGGGGACCGCGCCACTGGTCAGGACTCAGCACCGGGCCATGCTGCATGTAGGTCGAGTGCTTATCTCTCTCGTCTCGCCCAGACCTCCGCGGGGATTTAGCTGGTCAGCTCGACCGTCTAGATGCGGCCGATGGTGACAGCATGATAGCCTCATCGTGATGGCTGCAAGCAGCACCCCGGGAACTGAGTCGACCACGCTGGCTCCTCACACTTCTCCGGGACAGCCTCAACAAATGCTGCCCACCCAAGTGCCGAGTGCCTTGAACGGTGGCTTTACGGATGACCTACTGCCAAGCGACAACAACGTATTGGCACAGCCGGCCAGTGCCGTCGGCATCTCTTGGCTAGATGTAGATGTAGATATAGATCACATCCTTGACCGGCCGCATTAGTTTCGCATTGGGCCTACCGGCTCGTCATGGCATATCTGAACTGGCTCATCTACGATAGAGTCATCCCACCTGTCTGTCTGTAGGAACCAGTTTCGTAGCATGTTGGCCAGTGTGCTTCGCAAGCCATGACTGCGCTACGGCTACAAGGAAATCACATGCTGGTGTTGATTGGCGTCGAGCAGCTGAGCACGCATTCCGTTATCGCAAGTCCTGGTTCCCGGTCAAGACCATCCGTCGTCATCCTGTATCCTGATGGCGCGCGTGTGGTTGGCGTGAGACCACCAACCCCGCAAGATCTACCCCCCCCCCACGACGCAGCTTATCTCACGGCTAGAAAAATACCCCGGGCTGCCAACGACTGCTGGTGGAGGGCTGGAACTCACCAGCGGCGAACCTCATGCTGGTGCGTGGCGACGACCATAGAGGGACGGGCACTGTGTTGTTACTGACGCGCAAGAGGTACCAACCGGCCCGGTGTTATGGTTCCCCCTGCCGCATAAGGGGCGGCAGGTGATTGCTCATGTACCTAGCTGCCGTGTTGCCGGCCGTGGCAGTGTACCTGTCGTCGGGTACGTACCGGGGTGTGACTCGAAGAGGAGTGTACCGGCCGAGTGCACTGTGAAACTTGTCGGAACTTAATGGGGAGGCTTGGGGCGGCTATCTGGAATCGATTGTCAAGCTAACCGTGCTCGCGTCCAACTGCTGGATACGATGCGGTCGCTCTTTCGACTCGTCGAGCTGGCCGTCCCTGAGCCTAGACCTGCCACTCACTCACATACTCACAATACCTCGGAACACACAGTACGCAACGCGCTGGGAGAGAAGCTCCCGGCCACTTCGAGTATGCATCATGTATTGACGGAGAACAGCACTAGTGCCCATCGAGAGCTCACGGGGCAGTCCAGCCTTGCGCTATCTACCCTCTTGCAAGCCGTATGGGTGCATCTCCGCTCCGCTAGATGCCAAGCAGAGATATCCGCTCAAGGAAAAACGGTCTGGTGCAGCGGGGTGCTTACATCTGGGAGCTTGTCCCTTGGGCTGAATCGCGGGGGCTGTGGAACAGAAGATACGCCCACTTTCAGACTCGGTGAAGTAGCTCGCTCCATTGTGTTAGCTTTGCCAGCAGCTACACAACCATTCCCGTCCGAAGTCCGATCTCGACCACGAATAGAAGATGGACTCGTGATGCCTTCTGGTTACGGCAGAAACACCCAATTACTTGCCATTGCGATAGTCTAGTCTAGACATTCTGTTCCTTGGATCCGTATCCCGCTTGCACTTGGTGATAGAAGGTGTCCTCACCATGTGATATGGTGCTACGGGCCGCAAGCCTCCATTGGGCAGCTAGTTGTTTCCGTGCCTCGTGCAAACCCAACTCTGTATGAGCTTGCCGATTTCATCTGGGATCAAGTCAAAATGCAAAGAGGACGTTGGGATATGTAACCTCTACTGATTCCCGAATCTTCAACGAAGTGCAAAACGACCTCTCAGATCGGGCGCCCAGCAACGGGTATAAGCATTGATCTCTGCCAGGAGCGAAAACGTTCGTGCCAATTGATTTGTTTGACGAAACGCCGATAATACGTAGAAGCGTATTGACTGGCATGTTTTGGTGCTGTATAGAACGAACAATGGATGTGTGGACCTACCTTGATACCATCTGCGCTATTCATTCATGTGACCGCAGCCGAGTTGGGAAGGGGGTTTGCTCAAGGCGCTGGACTAGTGCAAGCCTGGTCCCAGGTTCAGCTGTGGTACTGACGCAAGCCTCGTGACATATTCTGCATCACGCCGGAGCGTGGCGTAAGAAGCAAATAGAGGAGGTAGGTCAAGAAGAAAACACCAATGTCCACAAACCACTTATGGTTATCCGACACACGGAGCGGAGTGCCCTACGAGCCTGCTCGTGCAGCAGCCTTGCTGTCGTCGGAGGTGGCACGCCGACTAAAGCCCTGCATGGGACTCGGCAGTGCCATTAGGTGAGGATGAAGAATATGGAAAGAGAAGCCCTGATGAAGTTGGACATGGCAAGCTGAGGTAGAACTGAGCTACCCGTACATGTTATTCGCCGAAAGCGGGGAAGCCGTGACTACTGCAAGGTTGATGCCTCGATGAGGACACCACTAGAGCAGGGTAGGCGAAGAGGAGCTTCAACCAATGAAGCAAGACGAAGAACGCCGAGCTGGAGAGGGAGAGCCGGGGGCGGGTAGGGTTCATCAATATGCTTGACGAAATCCGAGCTTGTAAGAGCTACGGTCCGTGTGGGGGCTTGATTCCAGTTCACCCAGTGGCAGGTGGAGGGGAGTATACGGCAAACAGTGCTTTCGCGTGATGAGGTGCCAAACCGCGACCCTGCCGCGGTTGAAACGACCCGTAAGAAATGCCCCCAGCATGGACGCCTCTATCCAGGGTGTCGTCGGGACCACTGTTCCCGTCGGGACCACTGTTCCGACGCCTTGCTACTCCGGGGATGTACAGGCGGCTGATGAGACCACTTTCTCCTGTAAACATAGGTTGTGTTCAACAAGGCAAGGAAAGAGTTGCCATTGCTAGCCGGAGCCGCAGCAGTGAGGTTTTTCGCGTTTCCTCCGTAGTCGCGAACGCGGTTGCGGATGTCCAAACTGGGTAGCCGGTCTACCACACCACGCCACACATACCCAGCGCGATCGTGTCCAGAGCTCAAGGGTAGGCCTTATTTGGCACCAGACGACGACAAAACCTGTGTTCTGTTGGAGGCACAAACAAGTGCGTGGCTGCGTGTGACTTCAGATGGCGCATGCTTCTAGAATCCAGCTGGAAGCGCAGGAGGAAACCCGGTGCTCTGGGTCCTCGGTCGGGTGTACCCCAATTCTCACATTGTGGGCTACCAATTGGTCGACAATTCAGCTGAGGCTCTAGATGTGCCAGCCGTCATGTCTAAGCCATAGGTTGCTCGTTCCTGATTGTCGGGACAGAGGCGATGCTTGGCGTTTCTAGGCGTCCCGATATCAGACGACGGAAGTGCCCAGTTCGGCGTCATAGGCCGTTGGCTCCAGACCCGCATCGTGTAAGCCGGTTGGAAAGTCCATGCGTGCTGGCGGTATCCATATCCACTGTTCCCTTTGAATGGGTGCAGTCAGAGCGTCAACGGCACCGAGCTTGGCCCTCGACATTGGCTGGCTCAAAAGTGGCCGCAGCTATCCCTCGAGGTAGGGGGGTTGTCAGGCTCGCATGGGTGTATATGCGCAACTAGCGAAGCGGCCGGCTGGTGGGCTCGGAGCTGTTGGGCAACCTCGAATAGGTCGTGGAGAGCCCAACCAATCCACGTCGCCAGGTAGGTCTAGAATGATGGGGGCGCTGCCAGGCGGCCAGAGAAGCTCAATCAATTTATGAAATCCCACGTCGGTTTGGATGAGCTTTCCGGTTCGGACGATGTGCAGAGTGTGAGTTTCCATGGACGCCTTGGAAGCCTGGAAGCTCGAAATGCGACCGGATTGTCGCAAAGACCCGTACATAATGATGAGAGGTGACGGCATGTGTGCAGGGCTTCTGCAGGGCTGCGAATCATGGCAGATCCCTTTCGGGCAGAGGCCGAGCAAGCGAACCATGTCATCTGAGGCAAGGCTGATGCGAGCCAGTCACACCAGCACCGACACACACAGAGGAAACCGGCCAGGCGGATCAGGCGTTGCAGTTGCAGTACAGGCGCCGAAGACGAGGGAATGGAACATCAGAAAGGTACGGAACCAGAAATCCAGAAATAGGACACTTGGGAGGTATGTCGGGGCATTTCGGAGTGCCTGGCAAACTCGGTATCTGTGCACGCAGAGGGCGAGCGAGTGTGCGCGAGAGTAGCGATGAGAAAACAACCGAAGCACATGCTGAGCGAGGGTCGTGGTGGAGGGTGTTTGGCGTCGGCGTCGGCGTTGACCATGACCATGACCATGACCACTGCCCATTGGCCATTGACCGCTGGACGATTGGTGGTTAGACCTATCTGCCTTGGGTGTTGAGGGCAGCGCGGGTGACAATGCAGCATGCAGAGGTCGTTATGTGTGGATGGCGATGATAGTGGCGGTGGTGGTGGTGACGGTGGTGGTTGTGGTGGTGACGACAGAAGCCAGAATGGACAGAAAGAAACGTGCCAGAAACGTGACTGGTTGTGGGTGGCCCTCGGCTGGACTGGGCCCAGCATGAAAATTTTCATGCCATCGTGACTTGTGCAAAATGAGGATGGGGAAATTGAAGATTGGAGAATTGGAGAATTGGGGAATGAGGTGGGAACGGAGACGGAAAACGAACAAGACCGGAAACGGAGAGGCATGGGAAACGTAACATTAAACGGTGTGGAGACTTAGGCAGTAGGCAGTGGGCAGTCGGGGATCCGTACGATGACGGTTTTGTCACGGAAGACTAGATGGCTGATTTCAACGCACACCGTGTGACCCCAGCCTTGTGTACGAAGTACATGTATCTCGTCAAGGTAGAGGCTGTCATCTACTCAGGACTCAGTACTCCTGAGGCCATCGATGTTGCTTGACAGCGCCTAGAGCGGCTGTCTTCTAATTAAATCCCCTGTTACTGAAGGTCCCTGTCCTGTTGCCGATAGGGCCGCAATGAGAGGGTGATAAACAACGTCAATGAACCGCATCGGGACATGGCAACATGCAGTGATGCAATCAACAGACTGGGGCCTAAGCTCACGTGCATATGAGCAAGCCAGAGGGGCTGTTTACAGCACCCAAAGTACATGTAGACAACCACCAACATACATGGGTACATGTAGCCCATCACATCCACATATACTCGTATATAAGATACTTGTAGCAATAATAAGCGTTGAGAATCAGCGGGACCATCCCGTCTTGGTATGTCCACGATGCCACGAAGGACGGACCCCAATCAACATTGAAGACAATGACACGACTGCCCAAGACCACGACCTCTGGGCAAGCCGGTTTAGGCTAGGATACGCGTCGACCAGGCGGCCAAAGTCTTGGACGACAACGGGAGGGAAAGGCGAGGCAAGCTAGGCACTGTAGGCATGTAGCACCCAGCAGGTAACGCGATTCCACCGTATACACTCATCTGATGAACCTCCCACACACAGACAAACCCCCTCTCTCTATAGATTTACCAGTGCGTTTTCTGTGTACGAGCTTCACCAACGTGTGGGCGATGGTAGAGTCAGGCCGATCCATGGGCAGGTGACGACCTTGGCGATGTATCTCGTCAGACGGTCAGCAGTCGAGTGCGACTCGCGAGCCTCTGTTCCCCTATCCCCTATGAGAGGACGGCGGGGGCTCTCAAGCCTCTTGCAGACACTGGAATCTGGTGCTTCAAGTCTCGAGTGGCACGGCTGACAAGTGCCTTGAGGCAGTACTGGCTTGGCTGTGAAATGTGCCAAACACCCAACAGTTGCGAGCGAATGGAGGCCGGCCGTGCCGTTCCACCGTCCTTCCAAGCCTGCAAGTCTCAAGCCAAACCGTGTCATCTGTATCGAGTCTGTCGACACGAGAGTCCTTGGCGGCCAAGCTTTGCAGATGAGACGGGTAGCACTCATCACGGCAATTGAGGGTGAGAATGAAGCATGACGAGGTGAGTGAGTGGCCGACTGATGACTTGCTGTCTGAATATCTGACTGCATGTACTTGGCTTAGCTCGTGTCCCCGGGGCGGCAGCGGCAGCGGCAGCGGCAGCGGCAGCGGCGGCGGTGGTGGTGGTGGTGGTGGCACGGCGGTCAGCATGCATCTGGGTCGGGAGGAATTGGCCAAGCTCCCAGGCGTCGTTGCCGTGGCACAAAACCGGTGCGCTGATGTTTCATGACCCCCGCGTGATTCGTCGACCGTCTCCAAAGAAGGCGACGAAAGTACTGTACAGGTACCATTGCAGCATGCATCGAGTCCTGTGACTAGAGTGAGGACCGACGGGATCGAGGTTGGACGGACGGCGCGATCGATCTCTCATTTTATCGAGTCTCGACACCGGACACAGAGAGAATGAAAGGCACTGTACCTAGGTAATCCCAGTCAGCCCAAGACAACAGATGGAGTATCAAGCATGAAGTTTGAACCATTGCACCAACCACACAACAACGAGTCTCTCTATATCGACCACCCCTACCTTACGGCACTGGTATTGCATACCAGTGCCAAGGCTGTTGACGCAGTATGACCAGATCGTATAACGTGCCCAAGTAATAAATGATAAGATGCTGAGTAGTGAGTGAGATGACTGAGATCATAGATGGGACCTATGTGCCAAATACCATATGCAGTCAGACGGGCAGGGCCCCGCGAGCCGAGCGGCGGGGGAATGACCAGGGCACAGATGAGAGCAAGGTTCCTGAAGCTTGACTGACCTCCCGTGGGCGATGATCATCCTATTACCGCATCTCCCACTCAAAGGATCGCGTGGGTTTCGGCACGCCGTATCTGGTACTGGCGATGCGACGATGCAATGGAATGTCATACACGCGCGTGCAGTAGGGCAGTAGGGCCGGGGACGGAACGGAACGACCAACATTTATACCGTCGGCGCACCGTATCGCACAATCAAGTACGGTCCTTGGTAGTGGTGGTCATTCTCATGCTGATTATCATCCTCATCCTCATCCTCGCCCTCGCCCTCGTCCTCATCATCCATACGTACATGTATGATGTATCATCCCACGCGCCCGTGTCTCTGCTACAACTACCGGTACGCAGTACCCAGTACTAATAACAAGCATTCCACCATGGCAGCATCCATTGCGGCACGGGATCCTGGCGCGAAGCTGTGGGTGATCCCGCAGCCCGCTCATCGCCCGCCTACTAGCTCCCATGCTCCGTGCTCCGTGCCCCGTGCCCCTTGCTCTCGAGTCTTGACTCTTGAGTCTTGAGTCTCTACCTGTTCTGCCTGTTCGGTCCTCAGTTGTTCCCATAACGTGAAGCCAACAAGTAATCCCAGTCGAGTGGCAAAGCTAGGAAGTGCAGCCGGCGACTAGTTGATAGAGGAGGGCGTGGGATGTCCTACAAGCTTCCCAAGCCTCCCAAGCCTCCCGAGCTTCCAAGCTTCCAAGCTTTCAGGCTTCCGCTATGAGCTCTTGGTATGTCTTGGGACTGTTGGGTCTATCGTACACGCACTACACTACACAGTACAGTGTTTTGGCAAATACATATTCCAAATGGACAATCATGGCCACCCCCTGGGCGCTGTGCCCGTTTGAGCATCTCCTGTCTCGATCTGGTAGACCGCAGACCGCAGACCGCAGACAGAGCGTATCTAGGTAAGTAGACGGCGACCGCATCCCATCATCCATGGGCCATGGCGAGCCCGCTGCCCGCTGCCCGCTGCCCCCCATCCCCCATCACCATCCCCCCCATGGGCCATCATCATCCCCCCCATTTGCCCGCCAGGCTACAGCTACCGTTTCCGCCGTAGCAGATGTCAGTGGCCCAGACGAGGCGTGCTGCTGGCCGGGCTGGGCCATCCCACTCCAGAAGTCGTCGGTCGTCACTCGGAAGTTGGAACTTGGGTGTAAGTTGTAAGAGAGAAGTCTTAAAACCTCGCACGCTCCCCCGGCCGAAATGGACCTGGACCTGGACCTGGACCATCACCATCAGCAATCCTTCAACCAACAAGTTCCCTCGTTCCCAAGTTCCCTCGCACTCCTCTCGAGCTTGAAGCTTCCATTCAGACTACTGATTGCAACCATCAACTTGCAACTTGGAATATACAATTATACTCTACCCACCTGCACCGGCACCAGCACCTGCACCCACCAAGGTCCGTTAGTGTCAAGTGAGCAGCCGTTGCCAGTTGGGGCCCGGACGTTCTGCCCGGTTAGGAATTGCTGTTAGCTGTTACTGTTACGTCGACATTATCAGTAGCCGCACAGCAGTGACAGCGCATGCACCCGGTCCAGTCCAACAGACGAACCTACACTACAGCCCTGGAGACTGCAAACCACAGGCCACAGGCTACAGGCTACAGGCTACAGGCTACAGGCTACAGGCTACAGGCTACAGGCTACAGGCTACAGGCTACAGGCTACAGGCTACAGGCTACAGCCAGGTACCATTGAGCCAGTCCCTCCTCCCCACCTTCACCGACGGCCGACTGCCCGGGCTTGCAAACCCAATTCGCCGCCTGTTCGCCTGTTCGCCTGTTCGCCTGTTCGCGTATGCTGCTCTGACAGCTCGCGATCCGCCATCGCCGCCGACTAAAAACGGACTCAAAGTTTTCTAGTCTTCTCTCTTCCTCCTTCCCGTCTTCCTCTTTCCGCTCTTGAGCCTTGCCGGCATTATTACCCAGGGGCCGACCGAACAGATCTCCACTCTACTGCTTTGGTGCGTTTCGTTGCGCTGCTGCAATACACCTGCGCCTGCGCCTGCACCTGCACCTTGTCACTCACTGTCCCTTTCTCTCACCGGGCCCTGGGAACTGGAGATCCATCCCGCTCCTCCGGACACGACTCGGCTCCTGCGACTGCGTCTTTACACACGCGTACACACCCTTGGCAATGCGTGCATAGAAGGCCAGAAAGGCTTTCTCGCTTCTGCGCTTTGTTATTGTTAGTTGCCGTCTGGCCCATTCGTTACTGGTTGCTGTACCTACTCGGGCCTTTGTCGCCGCGCGCTTGGCGCCCTCTCTTCCGCCCCGGCCGCCCCCAAGAAAGCTGCCTCTCAACACAACCTAAGTACCGTAGCAGTGCTCACTGCTCACTGGAGCGCGTGTCCGAGGTCAGAGCCTACGCCACAGGTCCTTTGAGACCTTGGAATCTACTGGACGCCACCCCGTTGAGGCCCTCGAGTCGCCCAGTCGTCAACTCTGCACCTCGCCGGCTCTCTGCTCTCTGCTCAGCAGTTATTAAGCACCATGTTAATTGACGGCGAGAAATGGGCCTGCGAGGCCTGTGTTCGCGGGCATAGGGTCAGCAACTGTCAGCATTCAGGTAAGCGTTCAATTGTCGTTATTCGATTGTCGTCATTTCAATTGTCTTCCTCGGCGCATGGCCTGTTTGCGAGCCCGTGTCTCATCAATTGTCAATGGCCGCCGTGGGGCAAGAGAACTAGGTATAAGACAGCAAAAGCAAAAGCAAAAGCCGTTGGACCTCGCTCGTGCATTGTGCAACCATCAAGAGGCCGGTCGCTAATATGCTCGCCCAATCTGCACAGATCGGCCCCTCCAGCACATCAACAAGAAAGGCCGGCCCGTGTCGCAATGCCACCACTGCCGCTCCATGCGCAAGTCGCGCTCGTCCCACATCAAATGCGACTGCGGCGAGAAGACACACAAGTGCGCCCACCTGCAACAAACCCTCGAGGGACACAAGGGTGAGCTCTACGTACCTTAAGACCTTGAAACCAGAGATGCCGAGACAGAGTCTGACCTAGAGTTCCGCCTCTTACAGAGAGCTGCTGCTGCAATCATGGCGGCCGTTGCTCGTGCTCGCACAGGAAAGAGCCGTCGCTCGACACCGTACCCGAGTCCGAGTCCGACCTGGAGAGCAGCTACCCGGCTAAGCCCAAGCCCATCAGCCGCCGCCGGCGGGCCAACACGGGCCACTCGGAGCCCATCCTGAGCTTCGACGAGAACGGCCACCACAAGCCCGCCCACAAGCCCACCAAGGCCTCGCAGAAGTGCGGTCCTTATACCCTGTCCCGCGGGTCTTCGATGCACAGCATGAGCAGCGCGAGCAGCAGTCTAGGCATTCCATCTGCCGACGGCCTGGCCCAACGTGGCAAGACAGGCGCCCGCTCCCGAACCGCTACCGCGTCGTCGGGATCGGAGCGGGAGACGCGCATGACCGAGTCTCCCCAGGCATCCCCTTCGATGGAGGGCGACTCGACCTTTCAGCAGCTCAATGGCCAGCTGCCGCCGCTGGACCTGTCTGGCATCCAGTACCCCGAGTACTCGCCGGCCTTTGATCTGTTCGGCGTACTTTCGGACCACGAGGCGCCCATGTTCAGCGCCGGCCTGAGCGCCGCCTCGGTCGACTGGACCCAGTACGACGGCCTGGAGCTCAAGGGGGAGGACTTTGCTCCTTCGAGCTTCGGCCAGGCCCAGTCGTACAAGGGGTTTGATCTCGCGGGCTCGGTGGAGCCGACGCTGACGTCCAACTCGGGCGATGTGTCGGAAACCGAAGACTGGGCGCCGACGTTCGGCAATGCGCAGCTCGAGGGTTTCCGCAGTGGCCCCGCGAGTGGCTACCTCGACCTGTCGCAGAACCAGACGACCATGTTGACCAGCGCCGACCTGGGCACGCTCGACTTTGACCAGTTCAAAGGCACGGCCGACGCGAGCAAGTACCTGTCCAACCCTTCGGTGGTGGACGAGGCCAGCCCGGCATTCCCTCTCGACGACACGTACTGGAACATGAGCAACTTCAACGACGGGATCACGGAATCTCCCGACCTTGTGGCCTCCTGCCTGTGGGCTACTTGACGACCCCGATGAGCGGTCTCGGCAGGGGCTACCTTTATACGTTTCTCAGCAATGCTAGCTGTCAGGATGACTTGGTTCGATTTCGCACGGCATCTTGTTTCTTCATGATACCATGACGCGTCACGAAAATTTGGAAGCTCTTTCCAAGCTTCACGTATACCCCCTGGGTCATCTATTTCCATTTCGGTTCTTTCTTGATGCTCGACGTTCCCAGTTAGGATAATCATCTTCGCGTACGGATATAGGCGCGTTTGTAAAAAGGGCCACGAATGAGATTTCTCCTTGTTCGGCGGTAGACTATCAAGGGGAGGTTCTGGGGCGTTCGGACTTGTTTTAGTGGTGGAGGGGAGGAGTGGAGGAGTGAAGGAGGAGGCGGGCGGCTACTTGGACACATTTCCTCCTTTCTCAACGACCGTACATATATTCTCCTGAGCGCTTTCGGCTTTTCTCAGACTCTTAGATCAGACCCTCGACGGGCTGCGAAAGTAGAAGGCGTCGCCCGCGACTCCTGCGTTGCATATACTAGACGTAGAGGCCCGGCAAGGGCATTTGTACATAGACAGGGAACGGCAATCAATCCGGGGTTGCCTGTTTGTGTGAGGTCGCTCGCTGCCCACTGGCATTGTGTGTAATTGTCTCGCGTAACCTGGAAGTCAGTGCCCATTCCCCTGTCCTGCCTGTGACTGGAGGATGGAGTGAACAGCCGAATAGCGACATAGCGACATGGCGACGTAGCGTTCGTGTCGATCCTCGGCGCCTCGGTCAAGAGGTGGGATTCTGGAAATGACGGCCCACTCCAGGCGCGTCCGTCTTCGTCTCATATGACATAGCTCGCACGCGGCACGAGCGAGGAAAATTTTCAGACTTTTCCAGCCGATGTCGCGGCGGCAGTTATTAGTGCAGGCAGGGCCAGCTCGGCGTGCATTGCAGTCGGTCATTCCAAGTGGCAGGTCAAGCCAAAAATATAAAGTCTTGCAGGGGATTTTGCTGGGGCGGGTCCTCGAGACGGAAGATTGACTCGGTCAAGGAGACACCAAGATCAATAGCCGCGCGACGGCTCCAGGAACCAGCAGAGCCACCCGAGCGAGCCAAGTGAACCGCCAGCCATGGCGCGAATGGGGGGACCGAGGGGATACCGGATACCTGCTTCCCATGTCGTCGCGGCTCATCCTGATTCTGTCGGGTCGCCGTCGTATGTTGTTATAGAGATGAGGCAGGGCAAGACATGGAAGGGTGCCAAGCGGTGGTCCTCCAAATATATTTATATATTTATGTGCCTGATTCAGACCACACGCGGTTGACAGCCAGGAATGGCCTGACGGCGCGGTGGCCTGATGTGGAACGAGAACAACACACATGGTCAGGAGAGAGACAGAACACCAGCCAGCAGTCGGTGAATGTGCTTCGTGCCTCGCTGCGACGCTACGATGCTGTCGAGAACTTGCCCTTTCCGGCGTCACAGGCCTGGTGATTGGGTGAGAAGGTGCATGAACGCCTGCCGGCTGAATGCATCCCATTGCTTTACATCGTCTACTCCCAATTATGTCTGCATGTTACCCGGTCTTGCAGACTTGCAGCACCTTGCACGACCTGAACTCAATTGAATATTTCACAATGGCCACTACTAGACTTTATCATACTTGACGCCGGGTCTCAAAGACCGAGGAACCAGGCGACCATGTCAGCGTGCCTTTATCGGATAACACCTCTCGAGTCTCGACTGGAGAGCCTTGGCGGAAACTTTCGACATGTGAGACCGTCTTCACGGCCCGCCGGCTGTGGTCAAACATCTGACTGCCCACATGTGTTCCATCTCACCCCAAAACTCCATTGCTGGAGATGCACGCATCGAGTGCTGTATTACTATTATTATTATACTATGGTACAGGAAACTGCAGTCGGTCATATATCCATGGTCATTGAGGCATCCAGGGCGACTCTGCCTCTCCTCCCTACTCCACCCGAGATGCAGGTTTTACAGACCCAGGAAACGCTGCGTAAATGGGGAGAATATACGTAGCATACGACGGCGCCTATGTGCTGGATTCGCCTATATCCCGACGCGGACGTGAGCTCGGAAATTTCCTACGTCATAAATCCTAGGAGCGACAGCCTCACCACTTCCATGTTGCTTCCAGCGGACCACCATGCAGATGCCGAATAAGCTGGCAATCATACAGGCCAGGCCGCGGGCCTCAGGCTGCCATGCCAGGCAGTCGCTCGAGTGAGCAACCCCTGCGCCCACTCCCAGTCTCCGACCTCAATATTAGCATTTAACAGAGCCAGCCGAGCCCGTAAGTCCACCACCAACATCGTACAACAGACTTGGCGAGCGCGTGCTTCCGCCACGACCCTCGGAAACCACCACAAAGACCAGTGGTTGTGCAAGTTGCCAGTCAGCCAGGTGGCCGGCTCTCACTCGGCGCTTTGTCAGCTGACACATGGTCGGGTCGCTGACGAGTGACTTTTGAGACAAAATAATATACAATGCCGCTACTCTCCCCAAACGGGTGTTCCAGCGAAGAGTTTGGCGGTAGCCATCAGACCCGTCACCAACATGGGTTGGATTGCGGCTACGAGGTTGCTGTCGGGCCGACGAACAATTAAGGAGCAAAACGTGCAGGTCTGGGCTGGGGCGGCACAACCCTACCGCGCTGTGGCCAGACGCCCTTCGGCGAGAATGTTGAGGTATCCTCCGCGAGTAAGAGCGCGAGCATCAAAACCGACGTCGGCATGGTTCTCGCTTGGTCTCACGGCTTTGGCGTCTGCATTATTGCCCGGCTTGTCGGCTTCGACCTTGGTGGCTGTGGCGAGATCAGCTAGATGTTGTAGACTCTGACTAGCCGCAGCCTGAGCGGTCGAGGGTCGAATGTGCTCAGCAATGCGGTCCCTGATGAACGCGTCCCATGTCGATGGGGCAAGATTAGAATCCAACAGCTGGCTCAGCTGTGGAGTCGCCTCCTCACGCGTCGTCTCAACGCTGGCCAATTCCAACAGCGTCAACGTGGTCAGGCAAAAGAAGTGATGGTTCAGAGGGCTGAGCAAAGACGTGTTGTCGAGAAGCAGTCTCACAGACTCTTTGCAGGGCCACAGGATATCCGTTGACCTGGCATTGGTCTGGAAAAGGTATGCGAGTAATCGGCAATGCCAATACACCATATGAAGTATGGGGTGGTCTTCTGGGTTGATGTTTGGCGGAAGAACTTCGCGAAAGAGCTCAATGGACAAGTTGAAAAACGAGTTCAGGATCGGGGCGGCTCCCGAACTGGGAGCCAGGGCCTGGGGAGGGGCGAGGGCAACCGGAGCAAAATGTCCCAGTATATTGGACAGTCCTATTCAAACTAGTTATCAACTTGCTGTTTGCCACGATGCTATGATGGGAGGGGAACTCACGAGCCAGCTGATACACGTTCTCACCGAGGAGCGCCTTCAGGCTCGGTAAAATGACCACGCTGTCGTTTGGGATCAACAACGGGGTGGCAGTCGCAATGGCATTCCATCGGTCCAACATGATCAGAGTCCACCATGCACGGATGGCCACATTCTCGCCTGAATCATGGTCCAGCTCGACATCTGCGCTTGCCTCTAGGCCGGACATGTGAAGCCTCATTGAGTACGCCAAGCCCACGGCTCGCCCCAGTACCGATGCTTTCGAGGGGCCTCCGTGTTCGCCCTTCAGTGACGAGGGGCCGTAGTTATCCGTAGCGATGGCTGCCAGGACCAGCGTCTGAAGGTGTACGAGGTTCGTAGTGGAAGTGCGCGGGCTCGGATCAGCTTCCCATTCCGTGACCATGCGAGTAGCAGAGCCGACATCGCCATTCGTGTAGAGACCGGGCACCGAGACAAATGACTGCATGGTGCCGTATAGCGCCTCGATGAACGCATCGCGCAGTGTTGACGGGCATTGCGCCAATTGGGCCTCGACCCGCGCCTTCGTCCCGGCAAGAACGGGAAAACACTCGTGTACCATGTGAAGGTAGCTCGTGAAGGCACTTTCATCGATTTCTCGGAGTGCACCGTTATGGTTGAGGTCGAGTGGCACCGCATCCATCACGGCAGCCGGCCGCGACGGCATGGCAGTATCCGTCTTGGGCAGGGGCTGCGGTGCCAGTCCGTTGGCCGAATACGGCGCTGCTCGGGGCGCGCTGGAAGGCGTCTGAAGAGGTTGTATAGCCCGGGGCTCGGAACTCCACGTGGCCTGGCGCGACTCCGTGGTGGGAGTCCCAAAATCGCCGCCAGATATGCTCGAGTACGGTCTCTTGCTGTTGGTTTCGTCATTGTTTGCCGGTGGTGTAAAGAGATCAGCAGATTCTCGCCTAGCTCCACTAAGAAGTTCGGTGAGAGTATTAACATTGCCTCCCTCGCTGGCTAGCTTTCCTTCTATATGGTGTATTCGATCAGCAAGTTCCTTGATGTATCCCTTGGACGGACCGCGTTTCTGAGGTATCCTACTGAACAGGCACGTGATAGAGGACCGACGGCAGTTGGAGCAGGGTTCTTGGCCATTTTCCGACACAGCATCACACTTGACCTTCTTCCGACGGCATTCGTCACAGGCGCGCGACACTTTGGATCGTTTTCGCGGTGGGGTGCTGTCTGAAAGAGCCTGGGCATGAGCAGCATACTGCTGGGCCAGGTGGTCCATGGTGGTCTGCGGTTGCAGGTGAGGTTGGTGTTGATGAGTCTGAGGTTGAAGCTGTGACTGGTGAGCTGGCTGTAAGGGCGGTGGGTGCTGCTGCTGCTGGCGGTGATGATGCTGCTGTTCAGTTGGAATGTACTGGTGACGAGTAGGCTGTTCATGATGCTCGTGTAATGGTTGCTGGTAGTGGTTGGTGGGTTGCTGATGAGGAGACATGGACGGATCGCCATGTAGTATGTGTCGGTCATCGTGATGGTTCGGCATTGGGGCATCCGGCAACTGGTTTTCCTGATGATTCTGCAGAGTGACGTGCTGCGGGTGGTCTCCCTCGTCCTGTTGCATCGGGTCGTGCTGGAGCTGGTTCTCCTGTGGTTGTTGCATCGGATCGTGCTGGATCTGGTCCTCCTGTAGTTGCTGCACTGGGTCGTGTGACAGCTGGTCGTCCTGGTGTTGATGTTGCCGCATCCCGTCGTATGACAGCTGGTCGTCCTGGAGTTGATGTTGCCGCGTCGGGTCGTGTGGCAGCTGGTCTTCCTGGTGTTGCTGCATCGCGTCGTGCTGGAGCTGGTCCTCTTGTTGCATCGGGTCATGGCCGTGCTGCTGAAGCTGTGGATGATGGGATTCATGTTGCTCCATGACATTGCGCAGGTTCGGGTCGTCGTTCGGGTCGTCGTTCGGGTCGTCGTTCGGGTCGTCGTTCGGGTCGAGCATGGCAGGCATGCCCTGACTCAGGTCTTGGCTTAGCTGGGCGACCAGTTGTAACTGTTCCACGCTGCTCGTGGACGGGCGGAGGCCTTGTTGGCGAGATGTCGGGGGCTCGGGGCCGAGCACTTCGGGCTGGCCATGGTCATCGGATGGCTGTTCGTGCTGCTGGTCAGGGTGAGTACTGGCGTAGTAGGCGGCGGCATCTTGGGCTTCGGCTTCGATGCTAGGCGATTGATACTGCGAAACATCATCGTCGCCTTGGACGGGTGGTTTTATGTCGTCGAGCATAGGGCCTACAGCTGGCATGGCGGCCAAGCTGCGCGAGCTCAATGAAGGGCTTCGCCTGTCGATCCACGAGGCGTCAGAAAGGACGCACACGCAGCTAGGTTCGTGTAGAGTGAAGGGTTAGGTGAGAAGCTTTGCACGGCAAAAGACAATGGTGGTGGTATTGATTCGAAGCCTGCAACTGGAGATATTAGACTACATGGTGATGGTACAGCAGACAGAACCTGCATAGGACGCCGATTGAGCTGGGAACAGTCCGACATGGGGTGTGTTGCCTCGACATTCTGAGGCACAGAATGCGACGGACACGGCAGAGATGGCGCAAATGGGACTGGGGCCAATGGTGACAGTGATAGGTTGTGAGGTGGGTTGTGAGGTGCGGGTGAGCTCTGGTGGTGATGAAGGTGGTGATGCTGATGTCAAGTTGTGATGGTTTCATGGTTTCATGCGACAGGAAGCGGCAGGAACGCACCTCTGTATGGGTTCCCCTAGTTAGGTACCTGATATGGGGATGGAAAATAGATGAGGTCTCTCCGGCGGGATTCTGCCAAAAGGCGGAAGAGGAAGAACTCCAACGGCCGACGCGTCTTTCTTAATGGATTTGATCGACCTCGGGACGGCGGTTTCGGGCAAAAGTTTCGACTTTTCGGCAGCAGACGAGAAGAAGCGAAGCGGATGAGGAAAAAGGATTTTGCTTTTCTAGGTAGGTGTGGCGCGCGCCGGGCCCACCTACAAAATCCTACAGAACCCAATCCAGCCGTGCACGGTGCATGTCATGTACTGCCCTGTACAGATTCAGGTCAGTCTCCTCTCGGACAATACGTCAACCAGCAGGATCTTGATCAGGCAACATTCCGATTCGACACCGCCAAACACGTGTGTAGGTACAAGGTGTGTAGGGACATGCTTCGACTCCGAGTGCCATTTATTTTAGTTCGTTCCCCGATCCCCTCGCATGGCCTCTATATTGACCATATAGTGAGGTCCATCGGAACCAATAGGCCGCCATCACTGGAGTATTACACATAATGTGAAATGCATCGTCCCAAGCCTGCCCGGAGCCTCGCGACAATGACACGATGTATAGGCCAGTTGCATTCGTCGTGTGGCACAATCGGTTGCTGACAATGATGACGAACACGGACCTTGCACTCACGATGCAGGGCCTGTAGCCTCTGTATCGTCCGTGAGCTTGTGCGTGTCTTTCCTCTTTCCCCACTGGAGAAGTTGTTGTCAGTCCTTGCCATCTTCAAGTCTTCGGCGGCGAAAGTACAGTTGTACTTCATAATCCTGAAGTCGAACCTCCGACGAAAGAGAAAACAGCCTCCGAGACATGGAAAGGAAACGGAGCGTTCAAGCGGTAAGGCTACTTACGAATCCCTTGCCGTAGCTCACCAATATCTCGTCCCCTTTTGCGATGCCTGGGCCATCCCCTTTTTTCACTGCGTTTTTAGATGCCGGCAGCACGAACACGGCCATGCAAATCTGGCGGCTTCGCACATCCCACGATTCTCTGAACTCGGCATTGGGCCGCTCCGCAATGCCACGATAGTCGTTGACGAACCGCGCTTCGTTGCCTGCCTTCTCGGCGTCGACGGCCAGACCCGCATCCCGGTCTAGTCATAGGTCGTAGTCGGAATTCTCATGCACCTTGGTGTCTGATGAATGAATAATGCCATAGTATGGCACTATGAGCGACCCCGGCGAGAGATGCCGCGCCGCAAAAAGTCCGGCCTGCCCCTTTGCCGGATGTGAGGGTGTGTTTATCAAGGTAATCTTCACAAGGGGAGAAGGGCCCCTGGGGAGGTGGGAGGGGATCTCGGTAGCGAGGTCTACGGGTCTCGTTCTGAGGGAACTGTGTTGTGCTTCTGTGATATGAGGCGAAGAAGAGGCCTGTGAGAGGTAGGGTATGGATGCTGGCCAGTTCTTCGGTGCTGCGTCCTTGCCCATTTTCAAGTGTGGCTACGGTATATCCTCAGCCGTAGCAGCTCATGGGTGGCCAGATACCGTGTACAAGGCTTCATTGATGGATGTATAATGCGGGCAGTCGAGCGGAGTGGAGGGGAAACCGGTCGGGTGCCGACAGAGACTGGAGTGACTGGCTAGGCCGAGATCCGCGCGCGGGCAGGCACCCACCCGCCCCGGGCCCCGCCGTCAGCTGATCCCCGGGCCGATCTTTGCTGCGGTTTGCTAGACTCATGATCTTGTTCCTGTAGCCCTCGGCGCCTCCAGTTCTGAGTTCCGGCAGTCCGGGTACCCCAAAGTTGGCGTCCTTCGTTTCTAGGTGTACGGCCTTACAACTCAAAGGGCTGCGCAAGGAAGATGCATATGCTGTACGGGACGAGACTCCTCGTTCGTGTGCTCGCTTTGTCGCATACATCACATATTTTTGCGTAGCCCAATACCATCCCCCCCATAGAAGTCGGACACCCCCACTAGTCGGCCAGCCAAATTGTGGGGTCACCACCAAAACACCCCCTTATTCACCCACCCACGAATGAAACTATTCAGATCAGAGATTTATGGCAATATTATCATTTGAAAGTACTGAAGCCGCTTATGCCGTACAATCATGCGGGCACCCGAATGACTCGCCCCGAACGGGTGTGCCTAGGTTCCTGTACAGCCTCTAAAACCTCCTCTTCAGCCGAGTCTTTGTCTTCGTCCTCTGAATCCTCTGAATCTACAACTATAACTTCTGCTTTACCCGTAAGGGCACCAGGGGTGATAGTACCACCCGTACTTAGTATCCGTGTGACTGTTCTGAATTTCTTGTTAGGATTAGTGACCTTTTTTCGCTTTTTAGACCGTACCTGTTCCAGTTCAGCCTCCAGAGCCTTGATCTTCCTATCCTTGATCACAAGCTCGGTCTCCTTAGCCTTGAACGCGTTCGCTATCTTCTTATACTTCAGCCTGGTTCTTGGAGATCTTTTTTTGCTGAAATCTATGATCTTGCAGCTCGTAGTAGGCGTTTGCTGGTCTTCTGGTTCAGAGCTTTCAGGGGTATCAAGCTCAGGGGTCTTCCTCTTGTCTTCTTGTATCTCTGGGTGTTTTAAGCACTTCTTGCGGCTGATAGGATAATATCCAGTGACTCTGAAGCCAGAGAGGATATTTTGCTTTGTAAAGGCCGCAGTTCTGGCCTTGCTATAGCACCGGATGAAGTTGATCTTATCAACAGGCGAGGCATCCGTCAAGGAACTCAGCTCAGAGAGGAATTTCTGGTAGTATGCCTTCAGGACATTATAAGGACCGTTATTCAGGAGTTGCATGCCGTGACTAGTATGCGCAGGAAAGAAACAGAGCAATATATTATTGAGAAAACATATAGTCATAAATTCGTTCTATCAACACACATTAGACCATATTAAATAGGGGAAAATTAAAAGAAGTCTATTTAAAATAAAGAAATTTTGTATATATACAGGAATGTGGCTCTTGTGGCCATCCAGTATTAAAAGGATAGCCTTAGACTGGTCTCCTTTTTGTTCTTCGTCTGCCTGTGGGAGGAAAATATCCTCTAGCCACTTGCAGGCTATAACATTCGAAGTCTAGCCGTTCTCTGAGCATATATAGTGCCAATTTGCGGTCTTTTGAAACTCGTTGACGAATCACTGTACATGGAGGTTTTTTCCCTTAAAGATAATACCTGGTTTGAAGATTTTTCTAGTTGCTGAGATGGTCTCAAAGAAGAAGGTCCAGCTACGGCCCTATGGGCTCTTCAGGAAGGCTTTTGTGACGGCCTACACAGACCTTCCCACATGACAAGTAGATACTTCCTAATAGGGGAAGGATCTGACCAGAGGATCCCCTTAAAGGGGCAACCTCCCACTATACCTATCTCTCTCTCTCTTTCTTTCCTCTCTAGTCTTGATATTCTCGTCAATAGAGTAATAGCTGCTTGCTGCCGGCCATGTTTCAGCTCTTCAGTACGCTCGCCGTGACAGCTTTCTTAGTAATAAAACTACCTAAAACTAGGGAATCGATGCCTATAAATCTTATGAGACTTTTTTAGAATTAAAGGGGTAAATATAACAACCAAAACCCGCCCTAATGCTGCCTTTATTGATGTTATAGGTGTTCTTTGGCTTCATTCAGCCGTAATCTTTAAGAATTTTAAAGAATCAGTTAACTGACTTGGGCGTGAACCCCTTGAAGCGTGCTGCTTCTATTCTTTTGCCGATTTTCGTCTTGAATTTGGGGTTGCGGCGCTTGAAGGCTGCCATGAAGGTGTCTCTTAGGAGGCCCACATCTCCCTTCTTCTTTAACAGCTTCTTGACGATCTCACAAACCAAGGAGTGCAAAAGGGCTAGGCCGAGCTTTTCCTATAGTAGAATCCACTTGATTATAGTCTTTTCCTGGGCAAGGGATAGTCTCTGTTGCTGTGTGTGGGCTTTGGTTCTGGTAGCCTTGCCGTTGAGTCGATTAGACAGCGTTTGGTGCGGAATACCGTGTTTTTGACCGGCTTTTTGCACAGATATGCCCTCATCTGTCACGGCGAGCGTATTAAGGAGCTGGGACATGGCCGGCAGCAAGCAGCTATTACTCTATTGACGAGAATATCAAGACTAGAGAGGAAAGAAAGAGAGAGAGAGAGAGATAGGTACAGTGGGAGGTTGTCCCTTTAAGGGGATCCTTTGGTCAGATCCTTCCCCTATTGGGAAGTATCCGCTTGTCATGTGGGAAGGTCTGTGCAGGCCGTCACATCATCTGTGATATCTAAGATAGCCAAAGCCATCTGATCCTCCGTATATGAATAGGGAGGCATTTTGGGCGATTATACGATGCTGCAGTGCATACAGAACAAGGCTTTAGGAGAGCCATGAAAATCTTTATTTGGGGTACCAAAAGCGGGGTAATAGCTCCTCAATTATGTAAACTGGGAGGGGTAAATTTAGCATTGGGGAAAACCTCAAGATCAGGGCTATCTAGAGCACGAAATACATTCTGAATAGCTTCAATATCAGGCTGAATCTGTATAAGTGAACATGTGGGAGTTTTGGTGGTGATGGTGGGGTTTGGCTGGCCGACTAGTGGGGGTGGCCGACTTCTATGGGGGGGATGGTACACATTTCCATGCCCGGGCGGCGTCAGCATCGGCGTTCGGCATCGGCATCGGAGCGCCCACCTGCATGGGATGATTGAGATGTAGACGCACGGGATGTGACGTCACGCAATCGATGTGGCAACTCAAATCATAATTCATATAAATCATGGTCCACCAGGCCGTCCGTACCTTATCCTGTGTACGGAGTGTGTCCCGGCCACTGCGCGGTGAGACATTAACTAAGTAGGTATGATGCCCTGACGATAGCCACGAGGGACGAGAGACGAGAGCATGGCCATCCGTCAGCACGAACACGAACAGCCCGAACGCCTGTCTTTGGGTATTATAATAATTCAATTCTACTGACAAGTTACAACTGTATAGACTACAGTACGGTCGGATGGCTGCGGCAGGATTGCGGGCGGTGGAGAGGTAGGAAAAGGAGCCCAGAACTCAGGAGCTTTGCCTCCTCACGACGGCTAGCAGGGGACCCTAGCTGCCTACTAGTCACTGGCTGACTGGGTGATCATTGGATGCCGTGAGTCCGTGGCCCCACAGGCGGGAAAAGAATGGAAGGACGAAACTGGCCCCGCAAACTTCCCGACTAAGAACTTAACACCAGCTTTAAAATGACGTAATCAAGCACTCAAGGTACCAGATAGCTTCGGATTTATTTACATCTTTTTTCAATTCTGTCGTGATTCTCTGCTATTGTTAAGCGCTGTCTATGTGAATATATATCCGTGATGTGGCTATGGCGGTTGAGGTCTAGTTTCATTTCATTTTTCTTTTGCCTGCCCCGTCCACAACACTAGAAGCCGGACGCTAGAGAAGGCCTTGAGGCTTGAAGAGTCAAGACAGTCCACACTGTCGTGCTCCAGTTTCCAGTCTCCGGTCCCGCCACTGTGGTTTTGCTCGTCGAGTCAGGCGGCAGGGTGGAAGGCGAGATCAAGCAACTCGGAGCTGGTGACAGGGGTAGGTAAATGTTATGGTGTTCCCGTCTCGGTTACCACACACGTGGATGCTATATACGCGACACAAGCATATATTGTGCGTCTATGCTGTATGGATTTATACATATCCATGAGTAGCAGCCCCCCGCTAGGCACATACATCCCCCATGTACTTCCAAGCCATTCAGTGTTCATCGTCAATGTTGATAGAGGTTATTTGCCGTCGCGCTTGGCCCCCTCAAACTCTTGCCCATCCCGATTCCCCAATTCGACCTAACCTAACCATCTACATACCTGATATGCCCATGTACCCAGTAGGCGTCTGGTCTAATAACCCATCAATACTTTTCGTCGCAAGTTCAACGAACCGCGAGCGTGGTCTCGCCGACGGTCGAGTTCGACGCCCCTTGTCACATGCACCCCTACTTACCTCAGACCTGGGCACCTTCTATACCTTACCGCTCAGCCTGGTCCAACCTACGTGCCTTCTTCGTGCCTACACCCCTAGGTAGGTAGCTAGCAGCACATCGTCAACCTCTTGGTCTTCAGCCTCCAGCTGTCGCGGCGTTGCACTTGGCCAACGTAGCGCACGAGTCTGGACAGCGGACAGTGGACGGGCAGTGGACACTGGACACTGGAGAGTCAACCACAGTGGACAGCAGCCCCCCAAGAAACCCCTGTGGATGATCGACGATCTACCCGATCAAGCAGCGATCACCGCTCATCATCAACCACCTCGAGACTCGCGTCTCTTGCTTCTCCACTGTCAACGCTATTTTCGTTTTCGATTCGACATCCACCGACTGGGTGCGCAGGCAGGCAGGGTACTACCGCTATCAGAAACCGCATTCTCTTCCTCCCTCCTTTCTACTGCCTATTCCATCTGGCCCCGAACTCGCCCACAAATTTGCATCCATACGCTCCTCCTCGAGCGCCGAATCAGAGCCTGCAGTGTTGCTGCCGCTGCTGCTGCTGCTGCTGCCAGCACCCATCTGCGACGCCGAATCTTAGGCAGCACCCAGACAGCCAGATCGGAGATCGGAATGTGGGTGGCGAGTCGTCACGAGCTCACCTAACCCGGTCTCTTCTCCTCCGCCGTGTGGCGGTCGGTCTGTCGATTGCCTGCGCCGCTGAACACAGAGCCAAACTCGACTTCTAGGTCGTCCGTCCCCTGTTCACCATAACGATGGACTCTGGTGAGGCCGAGACGGAGCAGCCGCAATCACAGCTGCACCCGCCTCATCCCAGCCTTCATCCCAGCCTTCATCCCAGCCCTCATCCCAGCTTCGACGACCCTCAGCACGAGACGATACAATCCACACAATCTACCGACGAAGACTCTCAGACGCCCCTCGGCCAGTCGCACGCGTCGGCTTGCCATGACGAGTCGCCCCAAGACGACCCAACACCTATCAATGGCGCGCCTGCGAGGCCCAGTTCAAAGCCAACATCTGCCCACGAACTCCACTCTTACATGCCCGCCGACGCTCAGCACGGCCGGACCCCCAGCACCATCTCCTCGTGGAGCACCAACTCGGATCGCCAACTCGGTCATGGTGGCAGCACCAGCAGTGACGCAGAGCCTTGCGATAGGGTATTTCCCATTCGCTCTGTTGTTAGCGTCGACGAGTCGCAACCCACGCCTTGGGTGTTGGCGCGCAATTCCGCCGATTTCGAGTACTTCCCACGCCAAGATACGACCTGGAATGGCCGCCGCCCCAGCAATCCCCGTGTGGTAACCGACTCGTCCGCCGGGGTACGACGGGTCGAGACACTACCTCCATCGTCTGCAGGCGTGGGATCGCCTACCGACAGGGTTGTCTCTAGCCGGTCAAAGAGACACCACACTGTCTCCGAGTCCAGGATCGGGAGTCCGTTGCCAGACGGCGAGCGGCTTGCCTCCGCCGGACCTCCACCGATGTTCAACGACACAGCCTCGGACGCCTCGGACCGGACGGGGCCGAGCAGGCATCTGGCTGATGGCGATAGTGAGGCTGGTGTCTCCACTGGGCGTGCCACTCCCGCTGATCTTAACGAGGACTTGGTCACCGTGCGCTTTCAGCACGTCCTGACTGAGGATGGCCACGCCGTCATCACCGGCCGGGACAGCACTATGCAGCGATGTGAGGATGAACCAATCCACACCCCGGGCGCTGTGCAAGCCTTCGGTCTCCTCGTCGTGCTCAGGGAGGACCATGGTGGCCGCTTTTCTGTACGGACGGTGAGCGAAAACTCGGGACGAATCATCGGCTTTTCACCTCAACAACTCTTCAAGTTGAACAGCTTTACGGAAATCTTCAGCGAAGAACAGGCGGAAAATTTGCTTGATCATATCGACTTCATCCGTGATGACGAGGCAGACCCCGTCTCTAATGGGCCGGATGTCTTCAGTATATCCGTGCGCCCGCCAAAGCAAAGAACCATCAAGCTGTGGTGTGCCATGCATATCAACGACAGCCATCCTGACCTCATTCTTTGCGAGTTCGAACTCGAAGATGATGCCCAGCACCCCCTGCGCCCGCCCGACGAAAATTCATCAGACGAGCCCGAAGACACGCTCTACCAACAGCCCACCGCAGAAGAGCTCCATGAGAGTACAGAGGTTGGCAGCAGGCCCCTTAGGGTGCTCAGGAGCGCGCGCAAGAGGCGTGGAGAGGCCGGGGCCATGCAGGTCTTCGATGTCATGTCTCAGGTCCAGGAACAGCTCGCAAATGCCCCCAACCTCGAAAAGTTCCTCAAGATCTTGGTCGGCATTGTCAAGGAGCTCACAGGCTTCCACCGAGTCATGGTCTACCAGTTCGATTCGGCCTTCAACGGGAAAGTCGTAACTGAACTAGTCGATCCCGCCGCGACACGAGATCTATACCACGGCCTACACTTTCCTGCATCTGATATTCCGAAGCAAGCCCGCGAGCTGTACAAGCTTAACAAGGTAAGGCTCCTGTACGACCGGGATCTCGAGTCGGCAAGGTTGGTGTGCCGTACCCTTGAAGACCTCGAGACACCACTCGATCTGAGCCACGCTTACCTCCGAGCCATGTCTCCTATCCACCTCAAGTACCTTGCGAATATGGCTGTTCGGTCCTCCATGTCCATATCAATCAACGCCTTCGGTGAGCTATGGGGACTCATCACGTGCCACGGCTACGGCAGAAGAGGCATGCGCGTGCCCTTTCCCATCAGAAAGATGTGTCGACTGGTGGGGGATACAGCATCGCGAAACATCGAGCGACTCTCCTACGCCTCCCGCCTGCAGGCGAGAAAGCTCATCAACACGATGCCGACAGACAAGAATCCTTCGGGCTACATCATCGCCTCGTCCGACGATCTTCTGACGCTCTTTGACGCCGACTTCGGCATGCTCTCTATTCGAGGCGAGACCAAGATTCTGGGGAAGATAGAGCAGTCCCAAGAAGCACTTGCCATGCTCGAATATCTGCGCCTGAGAAGCTACACTTCGGTGCTGACCACGCAAGACCTTCGGCAGGATTTCCCGGACCTCCGCTACCCTCCAGGTTTCGCTGTCATTGCGGGCCTACTGTACGTGCCCCTCAGCGTGGGTGGCAACGATTTCATAGTCTTCTTTCGCAAGGGTCAAATCAGAGAGGTAAAATGGGCGGGCAACCCCTACGACAAGGTCATAAAAGAAGGCACGGCACAATACCTTGAGCCACGGTCGAGCTTCAAGGTCTGGCACGAGACCGTCGTTGGCAAATGTAGAGAATGGACTGAGGAGCAGGTCGAGACTGCTGCTGTCCTCTGTCTAGTCTACGGTAAGCCATCTAGCTGGCTCCTGGCTCCTGTCCCCATTCGTGATGGTAGCTCGACATGACTGACCTTATCCACCATAGGCAAATTCATCGAGGTCTGGCGACAAAAGGAAGCCGCCCTGCAGAATAGCCGACTGACCCGACTACTGTTGGCCAATTCTGCGCATGAGGTGCGCACGCCCCTCAATGCCATCATCAACTACTTGGAGATTGCCTTGGAAGGGTCGCTTGATCACGAGACGCGAGAAAATCTGGCGAGGTCCCACTCGGCTTCCAAGTCTCTCATATATGTCATCAACGACCTACTGGACCTCACCAAGACCGAAGAGGGACAAAACCTGATTAAAGACGAGATTTTGGATCTGCCAGCGTGTATCCGTGAGGCGACGGAGGCATTCCAGGTGGATGCTAAACGGAAAGGCATAGCGTACGATGTTATCGAGCACCCGGGCCTTCCCCAATACGTCCATGGTGATTTCCGCCGAGTGAGGCAAGCGGTCTCCAATCTGACCGCCAACGCGATGCAACATACGACGGCAGGATCCATCAAGGTGGAGGCCTATGTCATCGAAGTGCTCGAATCCCGCGTGCGGGTCGAGATCGCAGTGCACGACACGGGCCGTGGCATGAGCAATGAGAAATTGGACAACCTCTTTCAGGACCTGGAGCAGGTCAGCAGTGCCGATCTCGGCGATCCTACGGCTCTTGACGAAGAGGTCGAGAAGCCGGGAAACGAGCGCACCCTGGGCCTCGGGCTTGCCGTGGTTGCGAGAATAGTGCGAAATATGGACGGCCAATTGCGGCTGAAATCCCAAGAAGGGAAGGGGTCGAGGTTTGTCATACAGCTTCCGTTCGAAATACCATCGGGAAAGTCGCTGGAAAAGCTAGCCGCGAGCGACGACTCGGTCGATTCCAAGGCGACGTCGACGCTTGCTTCGGTCACCAAAGCTCCGCCGCCCGCGGAAGAAGGCGAGGTCCTGCTGGTCGATCGGGGTAGCGCCAACGCTGTCGGCCGTCAGCTCAGCGAGAAGAGAAGCTTCGACGAGACAACAAGTATGAGCAGTGCGATGACCGGTGCCAGCGTTGGTGTTCGGAGCAACATGAGCGATGCAGAGCGTCTGATCGACGCCATTCAGACTCCGCTATCTCTGGGAGACCCAGACGAGGAATCTCTCGACATCGAGCGCCGGAACTCCGGTGTAGGACATCATCGTCGAATGAATACTAGCACCACATCGCTACCTGGACCCGATGCGATACAGCCCCCACCTGCCATCCACACGAGTGACCCAGAGCGGCCTCTGCACTTGCGACGGTCGACTACGATTCCAGCCAAGCCTCGAGGTGACGCCGACTCGCCTGGGCAGCTGTATGTCAAGGACACCAAGACGCCCATCATGCCTGTCAAGGTGCCCGATGAATACTTGGAGCAGCCAACGGCACCCCAGACAGGTACGTCGTCCCGAGTCCTGTTCGAGATTCCCGACAAGTCCAGCCCTGGCAGCGCAACGACAGGCAAGCATGAGCCGTCATCTGCCACGGACTCGGGCAAGTTGCGGGTTCTCGTGGCCGAGGATGATCCGATTAACATGAAGATACTGAAGAAGCGGCTGGAGAAGGCCGGGCACGCCGTCACGCACGCTACCAACGGCGAGGTCTGTGCCATCGTCTACAAAGAGAAGCCGGCCGCTTTCGACATCATCCTCATGGACATGCAGGTAAGTAGCGGCGCACCGTGGCAGCCGTGGGTATTGGGTAGCAGGCTGACCCCCTTTTCTAGATGCCGATCGTCGATGGTCTCTCTAGCACCAAGATGATCAGGGCGTTCGAACGGTCGGACGAGTGCTCGGCATTCTCTTCCTTGGCCAGCAGCCACGGGGGAGTCCCGATCTTTGCCGTGTCGGCGTCCCTTGTGGAGAAGGAGAAGCCAATCTATGTCGAAGCCGGGTTTGATGGCTGGATTCTGAAGCCGATCGATTTCAAGCGCCTCAACGTCCTGTTGGAGGGGATTACCAAAGACGATGTTCGCGAGCAATGTCTCTACGAGACAGGAGAATGGGAACGAGGTGGTTGGTTCACGCGCAGGTCACCTTCCAAGTCGTTCAAGACTATACACAAAGATTGACTACTTTAATCATTCGAGGGACATGACTCGGAAAGGACCCAGCGTGGCCTCGCGATGACGGGGCGCGTCCCGGGGTCCCGCGGCGGAGCAAACTAGGTCCAGTCGGCAGGTTTGCGACTTTGTGGTGTCGGCACGCGTACCGACCGTTTACTTGTTTAATCATGCATCATAGACCACGAGAGTTGGTCCCATTCGGGCAGGGACATGGCGACACGCTAGCGCTCTAGACGGAGCGGGCATCGAGTATCCCCTGGGTGCGGATCAACATGTACAAAAGCGCAGTTCTCACGAGGCTCGGCAGCTCTTTGGCCAATGTTCGTATACGAAACCAGGTAATGTAGGAGCGCAGGTTAGCGTCACGGCGTCTTCTTTTCTTTGGCGGAGGGCATGGAATACTGGTGTTCACCGCACAGATGCCGACATTGGCGTATCTGTACTCTTTGGGCGGTGGAAGGGGCAAGCAAGAGGGGCGACCATGTCAAAAGTACACGCATTGCATGGAGTTACTGGGGGGGTACTGGATTCATGATACCGGTTCGGGCAGGGCAGGGTACGGCAATACCCGGAAGGTGAATACTAGCTCGCCGGACTCACATGGGCCCCAAGCATGGGCTGCTTCGTATGCAGACGCGGAGACTACAAGACCTACCTACACATGGGAAGCCCAGCGGCGGTTTACCTGCGCTGGGGAGTTGAAGAAGACGTGCCGTCGGGGTGACGGCATATATATATATATATATATATATGTATATAGATTATTCACGGATAGAAGGCACTGGCTGGGAGGCTGGCTGGCTGCGTTGCAATGGAAGACGAGTGTTGCGCCCTCATACTAGGCTTGGTGTTTCGCGGGACCGTCAATCATGACTGTTGAATTGCGTCTTCTATCTACATGTGATTCATTACATACGTATCAACCCATCCTATATGTCGTCGCCATGCCATAACCCAGTTGACACGACAGGTATCGTCAAGATGCTTAACCTTAGGGCCAACCAAGGAGCCCAGCCAAATCAATAACCCTTGTCTGCGCCGAGTGCCGTGTCCTGGATGCCGCTGTGTGTATACGTTTTTATAAATGCCGTGATAAATGCCCCGGAGCCCACACCGGGGCGGGTCCCCGGTGCGGGTGTGTCGTGAAGGGGTTTTCCCAGCAGGAAGCCCGTGTGTCCATCCGTCTCACGCCGCATGCGCATGCAGCCGACGGTAGAGCGCAGACGGGCGATGTCGTCATCCTGCGCCCCTGCACGGTAAAGGAGGTGTCGTGTCTTGTCGTGCACAAGCCGGTGTCATACTATGTCGTCCGAGGACCCGGAACTGCTCGTCGTGGTGACGGTGCCCTGGTGGCGGGCGATGTGCACCAGGCGGTAGATGCCGAAGGCGATGAGGGCGAGTATGATGAAGAGGATGACGATGATGATGGCGATGACGTCGTTCTCTTTGACCATGGTGGCGGTGGCTGGTGGTGCGCCCGGATTGCGGGCGACGGGGTGTGAGGTGAGGGGGGAGCGGAGCGGAGAAGATGGATGGGAGTACCGGAAGCTCGAGCTGAGGAGCTGGAGTAGGAATGCGGCTGCTGTGGAATGGCGTTGGGTTTATGGTCTCACTCGGATAGGATGCCCCTGCGAATGATTGGTATATCTTGGCAGACGGGCAGGTCGAAAAGACAGATAGAGGTAGATGGATGGTTGGATGTGCCTAGATATTGCGAGACTGGAAGACAGACAGGCAGAGGGGGGTGGGTAGACAGGTAGGTAGGTAGGTAGAGCGATGTAGTAAGCAAGTCGATGATGGGTTCTGGCAAGTCCAGACTCGAGATTGTAGAGGTAGGTAGATGGTAGATGGTAGATGTGTGTGGTGGTGACGAAGATGCGATAGAAAACATCCAAAAGTGCAGCGTAGGTAGGTTGGTCGGTCACACCTTATAAGTGCTGGTTGCCGTGCCATTTCCGGCAAGTAAATAGCGAGGCTGGTGCGGAAACGCGACAAATGCGCAAGGCTGGCACCTGATGATGACACCCTTGGCCCTGCAGGATCACCCGGGACAGGCGTCTTTTCAGCGGGTCGAGCCCACCCCCAGCCTCCCCCTTCCCAAGTAAAGTTCTGTCCGTTCTGTCCCACGTGTCTGTGCTCTTTAGTCTCGACGTCGCGAGTTGAACAGCTTTAAACCAGAGCTGTCTTGTCCATGCCAACGCCTTGGAATTTGCACCTAATCCTATCTGGAAGCTTTCTGCCAAACCTACGCAGGTGCTACAAATCATGGTTAAGAGAGATCAACGTCAAGTCAAGCACGTGTGTGTGTGTGTGCGGTGCTATGGTACACTTCTTCTGCCCGCCGCCGTCCTCTGCCCTTACCACCCAACCCAGCGGCTGCCCTCTTTCACTCGTCCTTGATGCCGCCGTCGCCCGACGACATGACAATCTTGACGTGTCGCTCGTAGAAGTGAAGCATCTGTGTGTAGCCCATATGTCAGCAACTCGAGCCTGTAACTTGGGTGGAAGACATGGTCGTACCTTCTGGGGGCAGCGCTGGTAGATGACCTTGGTTTCGTGCTGCGTCTTGTGCCCGTTCTTCCACGTCAGGTACACTATAAGCTTGCCCGTGTTCTCGTCGTGGCACGCGTCGATGGATTCCACGTCGTCCTCCCACGACCCCTGCGGCGGCTTCCACGCGCGCGCGTTGGCAGGTGGTGTGGCCGACGCCGGGTGGCCGTCGTTGCGCCTTCGCTTTGTTCCGTTTGTCGGCGTGCCCGTTGACGGTCGCCCGCGCTTCTTGGTCTTCAACGCCGTCTGCGCCTCGGCCAGAACTTGTTCGCGCCCGCCCAGCTTGGCCAAGTACTCTTCCAGTACCTCGGCAGCATTCTCCCTGGACGGTGAACAGACATGAGACGGCCGCTTCTGCTGAGATACACAAAACACGGAAGGGAAACGTACCTGAGGTTGTCGTCATCCTCCCACGTCTGGTCGGCCTTCTTGTCGTAGCCTTCCCACTTGACCTTGTATTTCAAGGAGCCCTGCATCGGCCAGTAAGCGTCTGATTATGCGCGTCGGGGTACCGAACGTGTGCGCGCAGTTTTGGTAGCTACTTACGTCCGCATCGACGACGTGGGAGATGATCTTCTCGACGATGTATCTAATGGGGCGCATGAGCAACATGTCGACTTTCGGCAGCTGGCGCGGAAACGTACTCGTCCTCATCCAGGTTCTCTTCATCGCCGTCGCCATCTCCATCTTCATCGGCAGCAACATCATCCCCATTCGCCACGTCCCCGGCGACAATGTCGGGCATTCCGTCGTCGACCTGGTTGGCGTCGGCGTCGGCGGCGCTGACGGCAGCCGAGGTTTTGGCGCGCTTGGAAGCTGCGGCTACGGTGACATCGACATCACCGAGGTCCGACTTCTCGTCGTCACTTATCGCTTCGCAGTGTGTCAGCTTTCGCGAGTTGGATTGAGTCGAGCGCCATGGTCGGCAAAAGGACAGGCGCGACGGGGTGTTGCGCAAATGATGGCGGCGCTGTAGGAGAAGAGCAGAGAGCAGAGAGCAGGAGGAATAGTTGGAGGACGAGGCCGGGCGAGCGGAAGCAGACGCAGACGCGCAGAACGCAGAATAACCTACCTGGTGGCATCTTGGATATGAAGACTCGTCGATTGCAATTGCTTGAGGCAGGGCGATCAATGCGCGGAAGCGTCGCTCGAGGAACAATTGCGGGTGATGGAGGTTTCGTGGCAACGCGCTCGTTTTCGCGACAAATTGAGGCGGCAAACGGGGGGGCGGGCGAAAGAACATTGAAGAGCTGTGGTGAAGCTTCAATTAGTAGGTAGCGGCTCCAGTCCGGTGCATTCGCCTGGCCCGAGCTTCAATGTTTAAATGCTGACCTGGGAGGTCCTTCCCATCAGCCACATGCACGCAGTGTACCTAGTACCTACCTAGGTACGGCCATGCAATGCACAGCCACCTCGCAGGTCACTTTACCTTAGTACACAGTCATGCGTGCAAGGGGATAGGGGGATTGGGGGGTTGATGCCCCTTTTCGCCTGCCAACTTGCAGGTGCCGTGTTTACAAAGACAAAGAGTTCTCCCCCTTTGTCCGTCCCGACCTCGAAGAGCTTCCATCTGCTCCCAGGTGAAGCAGGTGGTCTATCATACATACAATTATACAATTAAGGATGGAACTGCTTAGATAGCCTGATAGGTGTATGTTACAACTTCATTAGCGCGTTTGTAAGGAGGCTGGAGAGGATCTCCAGTACGGTTTCGAAACCCCGAAATCATGTTCGCTCTGTGATAGTCATATGACGATCACCGATGTAGGTGACAGTGTTTACGAGAAGACCATCTTGTCGCAGTAGTACTTTTGAAATCTTGGTTTGTATTAGAATTAATAGCGTTTTTGAGCAAGAGAGAAGTACCATTTAGACATGATTGTGGCGGGTGAACATGATCTCTGGCATGATCTCGAGATTGAAACCGATCTCAAAATGAACTATTTATTATTAAAAATAAAATAAATATTCGTATAACTCGCTTATTAAGCGGGTTATATACTTAATACTTTACTTATATAACTATTTATTTTTCTTATATAATTCTACTTTTTACTTTATTTTTATAAGCGATATATACGAAGATTTATTTTACTTTATTAAAGGAATTTATGAGATTCTAGAAGGGTCACAAGTCTTGGGGGTGTGAGCGGTCGATGCAAATGTTGTTGTCATTCTCAAGTATGCTCGGCAGGGCTAATCTACAGCTAAATACCATACTGCACCATGCCAGGGTGGATCCACTGTTCCCTTGACAGCCCTCTAGTGGGTACTGCACCTAAGGGCACTATATCTGGGATCCAACATCTGACAGAATTTATTAAAAATATTAGCATAATTTGAACACAAAGTCTTTTAAACTTGGGTTTTAATTTATTTTAACTATATTATAATACTAAGAACGAAAAAATACTATAATTTTAACTATATATAGATAATACGAGGTCGTATAATAATGGTTTAAATTTTTATTTAAAACAGGATTTTAAAATGAAACATATCGGATCATCAGAGTCAGAATATGGGGGTGATGATCGGTCTATTGCGTTGCGTTTTTCTATCCATGGGTCTGGGGGATCAATCTAGTACTAAATACACACCAAAATACAAAGGTGTACCCATCTATTGATCCTCCAGCCAAAGATCCCTTGTCTATCACCCATGAAAGCCACCTTTCCTGGTGCTTCCATCCCTTTATTCTGCCAAGGTGCCTGCCTGACCCCTTGTCAGCTGGCAGCCTCCCTGACTGCCACCATACTGCCACCACAATCCTCACAAAACATGATTTTGAAAATAGAACATGATCTCGAAAAGGGGAAGACAGTCTTGTTGGATACACGGATGTTGATTGATTCTATTGATTGTTCTGCTCTGCGCAGAGATTGATCGTCTGTCTTCTTGGTGGGTCAGATGCCCTGTGCGTCTCTGCCCCACTGGAGATCTTCCAGTGTCTATCTCCGGCTCCCATTCAACAGGTCTCGAGCCCGGGAACATGCTCGTGGACTACGACTATTTTGTATGGGTGACACATCCTGAGACCGTCTTTCATTATGGCAATGGTCCCCCGTTTTGGACATAATGCCCTGTAGCCGAGACCCTACTGGAGACCATTTCTATGGGCCTTAGAACCGCGGTAATGTTACGGTATGAGGCGCCCATGTTGATGATCAACCCTTCAAATGTTGGTCGACCTTACAATTCAACTAGCGCCTGCCCAGCCCCCGCCCCGCCCCGCCCGCCACACTCCAGCTGCCCAGCTGCCACATCCGCTGTAACTAGGGCTGCTAGGTACTGTAACTACTGTAACTACCCTGTAAATGCGCTGAGGACATGGATTAGCCCCTGACTCCCGTCCCTGCCTCGGGTTGAACTTGAACATTGACCCCCGAGTTTTATTATACAGCCTACCAGACCTCCCGCCAGCCCATCTCCCCTATCTACCTGCTGCCTGTTTGCCCAACAGACGTGAGAGCGACACAGATGTTTGAGTAGGCGCGAGAGACAGAGAGCGAGTGAGAGCGCGCGGCACTGACCTAGTACTCACTTTGCAGCACGACCCAACGCAAGATCCGACGACTGCACGCCTCCCTTCCTGGATGACAGCCGAACCGGGGGAAGCTCCTTCGGGGCACTGCCAACGACCATCACCACCACCGCCACCATCGAGGCCATCGAAGACACCGCCTTCTTCCTCCCGCTCCCGCTCCCGCTCGCGCTCCTGCGCCGCAGTCACCTCCCCGACCGGCGAGACGCCAGCACCGACTCCACGATAGCCGACTGACTCGACTCGGTCCGGCCACTGCAGTCATGTCCGAACCAGAACCAGCCAATGGGCCCGTCGAGTCCCCGGCCGGTAACAAGGCAGGTGCCCCCAAGGATCGCAGTTGTCCCTTCTGCGGCCAGGCCTTCACGTCGTCGTCGCTTGGTAGGCATCTGGATCTCTACATCAAGGAGAAGAATCCGAAGCCTCCGGACCGCGTTCACGATGTCGACGCCATCCGCAAGATGCGTGGTACCATCACCAGGCGCCAGCCAAGGGGCTCGCTGGCGCGTCGAGACAGCTGCAATCCCGCCACGCCTGCCGCCTCGACCTCGTCCCGAAAGAGCCCGCCGCCCGACGCCAGTGCCGGAAGACCCTCCGGCCTCCCGAAGGAGAGCCATTTCGTCGTCGACCATCCAACTACCCCCAAGTATCCCTTCCAGCCGACGTGGGAGGCCACCGGCGTCATGAACGACATACCCGCGCGGAACGGCGACCCCAAGACCACCTGGGATGAGACCAACACCGGCCCGGAATCCTCTACCGCGCCGCCACACACGCAACCACCCGCGCAATCACACACGCAGCGCGCCCCGAGCAGAGCAGCCCAGAAGGTGCAGCTAGACACGAAGCACAAGTTGGCCGATGCCATGGACACCGCTCGAGCTGCCGAGTTGGCCCTGAGGGAGCTGCTCGGCTCCTGGAGAGCCGCAAAGTACGCCCACCCAGAATTTCCCCCTCTGCTATTGCCCTTGCCCTCGCCATTTGCCTTGCCACCCGTGCTGTATTATGTGCTAATTGGCTGCAATTTCAGACAGCAGATCGATATGAACTCGTTGCCCTTCGACTTCGATCTCCTTTCGCTCGACTTCCCTGCCCTCACCCTGCAGTGCCTCCAGGCTCCTCCTACCCTATTCTCGTCCACGCCCCACCCGACCTCGACGTCGTGGTCCATCAACCCACCCGCGCACAAGCAGTACGAGGCCTTGCAGATGTACTTCCAGGACGAGTTCCAGAAGTGGAGAGTCGCCTGCGCCATGGCCAATACCGCCGCCGCCGAAGACCTGTCGTACCCTCCATCCAATACCCACTTCCCCAGGAACGTCCGGGACGATGTGAACAAAGCGGAGAGAGCCGCCGCGTCGCTGGAGAAGCAGGTTAACGAGCATCTGCTGTCCACCTACCACGTCTGGGAGCAGCTCACCCCGCAGAGGCGGAGCGAGCTGTGGGGTCTCGAGCTCGCACGTGGCGTGGGAAGGAGACAGAAGGATGTTGAGAAGCTACGGCAGTCGCAGTACGCCACCAAGCAGGAGAATACAAATCTCAAGGCCCAGATTGAGCAGCTGAATCGTCTGCAACAGCCCAGGGAGTTCAGGTTGGTTCCGCCAGCCACCATCCCCATAGAGGAACCACTGCTAGCCTACATGTTGGGCATGGGCGCCGAGGGCCAGATTCAGGTCGTGGGTCTCAACGCCGAAGACCGTCATGTAGATCTGAACACCATGGTGTCCCGCGTCATCGACCGGTGGAAGACCGTCATTGTGTCGTCTAGGACTGGTGGCATGACCGGACAGAGGTCACTTGGACAGACGACACCGACCACCACACCGACCAGTGCCACCTCGGTCCCTGTCCCTGTCCAAGTCCCGGTCCCGGCTCCGCATCTCCAATCCCTGGGACAACAGCCGCAGCGGCAAGAACGTCGACAGAGGTCTCTGCCTTCAGCGGCGAGCGGCGCGAGTCATGAGTCTGCGTCGTCGTCGTCGTCGTCGTCGTTTGCAGCCAACACGGCAATGGAACCGTCTGCCACCAACGCCGAAAACAGTGATCAGGACGCCGACGCCGAAATGGAAGAGGACGACAGCTTCGCAGCAATAACCCCAGTCGCACCGGAGCCGCCCTCCCGGCAAGAGACGCTCGAGGTGGCTCGGGCAAGGGCTAACGGCCAGCGAGTCTCGGGCAGCACGGAAGCGCGATTTGGTCTTAATGGGGCTGGGACTAGTCGTGGGCCCATGATGCGGCCGCCGATTCCCAACATGAATGCGACGCCTACGATGCCAGGGCGAGCAGGCCACAACCAACATGGACATTTACATGGCGAGTACGGTGCGGTTGTCCAAGGCGTTGGGGGCGGCGATGCAATGTATATGGACTGATTATAGATCTTCGGCCGCCGTGTTGGGCGTACAAAAGGAAAAAGAACATGGGGCTCACTGAAGTTGGGCGGTCACCTTCAGGGTCATCGGGCGTCAAGCACGGCGCTCCGAGTAGCATTTCCCTCGCACGGTTATTCTCGATTTAAGAATGCACACATTGCTTGACAGCTTGTCATCTTATGGCTCTGTCGACAGACTCCCCGCGTGACAATGGCGCTGGGCGGCAGAAGTAGCCTCGAATCCCTCGACCCTTTATCGTTTGCTATACGTCGTTGTCGTGCCTGCCGGGGGTGCAGTTGTATTCTACCTCGCTAACACCCGTTGAGTGTCCAAGTATGTGGAGCAGCGTCGTCACAAAGCAGTGGGCAGGTCCTACTATTTCCAACCTGGCTGGACTCCTGGTCCCTTGTTATGTCTATGGCCCCTGATCAGAAACAGTATAAGCCAATGTAATTTTGAGGGACTCCAACTAGCGGGGCCCCTCCTAGAAAACACGAGCTTGAGCATGGCTTGATCATGACTGCGCCTGGCGAAATGGGTTCTCCTGTTGAGCAACTGCCAGCCTGTTTGAGGGGCAACAGCAGCCAGGGCTGTCTCTGTGTCCTGTCCCAGTGGCCAGAACAAGGGGCTGTCTACTCTCACGCAGTCCAACCTCTTTCATAAACGAAAAGCACTCGTTATAACTCTACTTGAGAGCAGGCCTAAGCAGCGTGCCTGGTATACGACGTGGGCGTTCTCGTTGCCGGGTACCATCCCCCCATAGAAGTCGGACACCCCCACTAGTCGGACAGCCAAACCCCACCATCACCACCCAAACTCCCACATGTTCACTTATACGCTTTCAGCCCAATATTGAAGTTCTTCAGAATGTAATTCGTGTTCTAGATAGCCCTGATCTTAAGCTTTCTCCCAATATAAAATTTACCCCGCGTTTCCTACCCCAAATGGCAAATTTGCGGTCTTGCACAGCTCTCTTGAAGCCTTGTTCTATATGTAACACAGCATTGTATAGCCGCCCAAAATGCCTCCCTATTTGTATACAGAGGGATCAGATGGCCAGTGCCATCTCAGATATCACCGATGAGGGCCTATCTTTACAAAAAAGCGCTCAAAAACACGGTATTCCGCCCCAAATGCTGTCTGATTGACTCAATGGCAAGCCTACCAAAACCAAAGCCTATACACAGCAACAGAGACTCTCTCCTGCGCAGGAAACGATTATAATCAAATGGATTTTATTGCAAGAAAAGCTAGGCCTAGCCCCTTCGCATTCCCTGGTCCGTGAGATCATGAAGAAGGTCTTGAAAGAAAGGGGGGGTGAGGCCCCCCTATGAGACACCTTCATGGCATCCTTCAAGCGCCGCAACCCCCAGATCAAGACCAAGATTGGCAAAAGGATGAAAGCAGCACGCTTTAAGGGCTTTACGCCCAAGTCAGTTAACTGGTTTTTCGAAATTCCTAAAGATTACGGCTGGGTGAAGCCAAAGAACACTTACAATATCGATAAGGGCGGTATCATGTCAGGTTCCGCTAGCTATATTTACCCTTTTAATTCCAGAAATTTTTAAATTAAATTTATAGGCATTGACTCTCTTGTACTGGGTAGTTCTGTTATCAAGAAGGCCTTCCTGAAGAGCCCTCAGGGCCGGAGCTGGGACCTCTTCCATTGAGACTATCTCAACAACTAGAAAAATCCTTAAACCAGGCATTATCTTTAAAGGGAAGGGCCTCCAAGCCCAGTGCTTTATCAAGGAGTTCTGAAAGACTGCTAATTGGCATTATATATGCTCAGAAAACGGCTGGACTTTGAATGACATCGCTTGCAAGTGCCTAGAGGATGTTTTCCTCCTACAGGCAGACGCAAAACGAGGAGGAGACCAGTCTGAGGCGATCCTTTTAATGCTGGATGGCCACAAGAGCCATATCTCCGTACGTATATAATTTTTCCTTATTTTATTTAGACTTTCTTTAATTCTTTCTATTTAATATGGTCTAATGCATGTTAATAGGACGAATCCATGACTATGTATTATTTCAACAATATCTTACTCTGTTTCTTCCCTACGCATACTAGTCACGGCATGCAACCCCTAGATAATGGGAGTTATAATGTCCTAAAGGCCTACTACCAAAATTTCCTCTCTGAATCGAATTCTCTAACAGATGCCTCACCTGTTGACAAGATCAACTTCATCCGCTGCTATAGCAAGGCGAGAACTTCTGCTTTCACTAAGCAAAACATTTTTTTGGGCTATAAGGTCACTAGATGTTATCCTATCAGCTATATGAAGTACTTATAGTACCCAGAGATACAAGAAGAGAAGAGAAAGACTGCTAAGCCTGATACCCCTGAAAGCTCTGAACCAGAGGACCAACGGACCCCTACTACGAGCCGCCAGATCATTAATTTCGACAAAGATAAGTCCCAAGGGACCAGGCTGAAGTACAGGAAGATAGCGAACGCGTTTGAGGCTAAGGAAACCAAAGTTGTTATCAAAGACAGGAAGATCAAGGCCCTAGAGGCTGTGAGATTTCAAAGTGTTCTATTAAGGAGAGGAATTCCAGCTACTCTGGAGCGGCCAGAGTGGCCCTATATATATCCAAGATACTAAAGGAAAGGACACGTGGCCTTATATGGGCCACGTATGTGACAGAGTCACGAATGGGGATGGTGATCCTGAAGGATGACTATGGATGGGCTAACGTAGCCCATAATCCAACAGAGGCTGAACTGGAGCGGCTACGGCTAAAGAAGCGCCAAAAGATCCCTAATCCTAATGGGAAGTTCAAAACGGTGACAGAGATACTATCTCATAGAGGTACCATTGGCCCTGCTGCACGCGCAGAGGTACAAGAAGAGATAGTTGTTGAGTCAGAGGACGAAAAGGAAGATGAGGATGACCCCCTTGATGAGGACGTTTTGGAGGCCATACAGGAGCCTCGCCTATCACGATCCGGGCAAGCCATTCGGGTGCCGGCTAGATATTACGCATGAGCAGCTTCAGCGCTTTCGAATGATAATTTCGCTGTATCTCTCTGACCTGAACGGCTTCATTCGTGTATAAGTAAATAAGGGGGTGTTTTGGTGGTGATGGTGGGGCTTGGCTGTCCGACTAGTGGGGGTGTCCGACTTCTATGGGAGGGATGGTATGTCGAAGACCGTGGGTGAGAGAATTACGTTGTCGCCGGATACTGCCTTATACCGACCTTGCTCCTCTCACCGTCGGAGTTGCCCCTGCGTATCTGACACGGATGTTGCGGTCAGGCTGTGCGGCCATGACAACAGACTGCCGCCACGGGCGGCTGGCGGGCGTAAGGGAGAACGATGTTGCCGATCAAGTAACCGCGGGGCAGCATCCAGTGCGTGCCTTAGGTGTGCACGGGGGATAATTGGGTATGGGTTGGGTACTTTACTATCGGGCCAACGGGCTCTACAACCACAGCGATGGCAGAGCCCTTGACGCTGGGCCATCGGTCGACGAAGAACGCGTCACCCTCTCCTACGGTTTCTCGGCCCTTGTTATCTAGCTCCCGTCCCAGTGATTGGTCAAGGAACAGATAAAGTTGCCGATTCTTGTTTCCGCTCTGCGTTATCATATGACTGCATTGCCCTGAATTAAGGATGAGTCTCACAAGGGGAGCGGTTCATGTCAGATCGCTTGGTTCTTGTCAACACAATAAGTGCAGCGATTACTATGAAGTGTCCAGCATGACCGACGAAGTTGTATTTCATAATATTGGTCGGTCTGTACCTGTCAACGTCGTCGATGATAGCACAGCTATCGGTCGACATGTACGACCACGTTTGCAATCCTCCGCCCCCTATTTCGGCTTTCTGTGTCTGAGCCCAACCATGACTCGATATATGAACTACCAGTCGTATCTCTAAGCTCCCGCTCTCAAAGTAAGTGTTGCAAAAGTGCACCTGCCTTCTACATACGTTGGCTGTTGCGTACGTCGCCCGTGGGTGTGCGTTCAATATGGGTTGGTATATTCGGCAACGGGTTTTCTCCATTCACAAACAAAATGGCGTCGCCCTTGTTGACATTTGGCATCCAAGACTTCCAACGCTCGTTCGTCTCCTGTCTTTATCCTCGTACGGGGTCTCCTTCCGCCTCAAGAACCCTTCGGGACGCGAACAATTCCGGTTGTGGGTAGGGTACTCTCCCATACTCGTCTCGCTCCGCGAGTACCCCGGGCTCGGGTGGACGGTCACAAACCGCGTTCCGTACTGGATTGCATGTCTTCCAGATGACCAGCTCCGGCATATGGTCCGGCTGCACAAGACCTGTGGACCTGCCGTTTGATTTGCCCCTAATGACCTGAGCTATTCATATTGTCGCTCCTGGAAGGACACCTGCCTTGGCCCCCAAGGGCAAGAGGGAGAACTTGACCGAATTCAGGTTCGACGCACCATCGGGCAACGCTGTGCCGAACCTCACCGCCCAGGGCGATCAGGCTCGCAATGCCGCTGTATGACGGGAGTTCTCACCCGCCTTCTCCGAGGAGGCTCTGGAGGCACAGGAGCCGCTGTTGCAGAAATGTCCCGACCTCATGGTCGCCAGGTGGCGCGAGATTGCGGCCCCCAGCGTCACCGAGCTACTCTACTTCATGAGGTTTGACATCGTGGCCAGACTCGCATTCGGCGAGCCCCTGGGCCTACTCTAAGATAACGAGCACTCGAGTTGGGTTGCGACAGCCTGTGAGACTGTACGAATATGTGATCTCCCGCTCATCGAACTTGCCCGGCAAGGTAGTTGGCACAGGCAGATCCTGCCTCTGGTCCAAATGATCGAGTTTGGCCCTCTTCCAAGAGTATGTTCGTTCTGATGGAGCCCAACTCCATCTCAAGACGCGCTTAAAACATGTCAACCACACTGTGTCCCGCGTCGACACCTAAGAGAAGGGTCAGACAAGCCCATCTGTGGAATATGGTACCCGCATCCGACGTCCTCATACTCGACAAGATACATATCAATGCTAAGGTGTTCATGACTACAGGGACAGAGATGGCAGGTGAGCCGCTGCTTCCCGGCAAGAAACAGTCATCACTGACTGCTTTACCTGCCTTGCTTGCTTGCTCACAGCTTTGAAGTACTTCGGGTCCCAATAAAACGAATACACTGACCGATGAGATCCGCGGGCGATTCAACAGTAGCGAGTATACCTCACTAGAGGCCCTCGCTGGCCTGGAGTACCTGAACGCATGTCAGACGGCAGAGGATGACACTCGTACACCCTACATCAATTAACGCTCACCTAGCAAGGCCCTCGGGGGGGAACTCCGAGTCCACTCACCGGTTTCGTCGGCCACCCCACGGGAAATAACACAGGGCGGCACGTTACAGTCGGGAAGTGCCTTCATGGGGGCACTCGTGTACCGGGCCCCATCTGCGACGTATCGTTCGCCTTCAGGCCAGTCCCATTTTCCAACCACTTACACTTCGAACCTGGAGCCGCGGAATAATTACAGTGAAGCTGATAATGGGTATCGTCTTAGAAGTCCCGAGGCGCACCAGCTCTTCATGGTTGGGGCCACGGAATTACGTCGGCGTGGACATGGCTTGGCACGAGATGAGACTGCTGCTCGCGGAACTGATGTTCAATTTCGATATTAAGTCGGATGTTGGCCCTGACTGGAGGGGCCAGAACGTATACGTCGGTCTCCTCTACTGGCGGCCATCGTGTGAGAAGAGTGTGAGCCGAGTGTAGGATCTGGAGTACATTACCGAGATGCTTGACCCGGTCTCACTCCTTCTCCCACACTGTAGCCGGTGGCCAATCCTCATAGTCAAGGGAACGGCTGCCACTCTCGTCATCGGGAAGCATCCAGGCTTCCGGGAGACAAGCCATCGTTTCTACCGTCGCGGCATGTCCGGCCGCAGCTTGGCGAGTTGGCGGTACGTCGACTCCTTCGCTTTCGTGGGCCACCGGATTAGGTACGGCCTAGATTCGAAGGGAGCTGGCGAGAGTACATTATTCATGCAATGGTCCTTCTGCCCCTGCCCATCGGGTTGCTTGGACCACCAGACGGCGAACATGGTGTTGTGGTAGATGCCGCGGACGCAGCAGATTCTCTCGAGGTAGACTGGCCGAGGTCGGCGCAAGCGCGTGTACCGGTCCACGTCGCCGTTGTAGGCGGCCATGGCGATGAGCAGATATTTTTGCACGGTGGGCAGGTCTGGTGGTAAGGGCTCGGAAGCAACTGCACCTCGAGTCGAGTGGCGTGGAGTCTGTTCGCGGCCCCGTCAGAGTCATGTTTGTCGATGCTCATGTCTTCGGTAACGTTAAAACATGTTGTCGTCGTAGCCCTGCTCATCCCACACACCCATGCTGACCAATTTGCCGTCTTCCTCCTCGTATTCGCAGTCGGCGTCTTTGAAGCCTTGTTTGACGTCAAGAATCCACCGTGCGCAAGTATCGCCGTTCAGATGTGCCGAATGTGGCTTATCCAGGTTGGTCGATAGCGTATAGTCATTCATAATGCTGTACCGCACGGTCCAAGACATGATATCTTCAAAGATAGCAAGGTTGCCACATTTTCGAGCCTCCTGGGCAATGTGCACATCCGGCAAGATATCGAGCTCATTATACAGCTGCGTATACAGCTGCGTATACCCAGCAACAGCACAGGCGCGGCCGACTTGATACACCATTTTCGGGTATCTTCGCGCCAGCTCACGGTACGTCTCCTGCAACGCCGTTTCGGGATGCCAGACACAATAGGGCACCTCGTCGTCCGGACATCCTTCGAAGCTGGCAATCACGTTGCTCATGATGCTGCGAGCGTTCAAGGCGCGATTGAAGACAGGCAAGGTCCCGCGTAGTTCCTCCCCCAAGCCGTAGTGGTAGCGTATACCGCGGATGAGGCAAAGGCGATACACTGGGTCACCAAGTGCCTGTTCCACTTCTCCGCCTCGGAGAGCGGCGAGACATGCCCTGCGGCTGCATTTGGCGGTTAGTAGTCTTTCATTTAGGCTGGCTTCGGTGGTGGTTGCCATCGGGTAAGAGGCTTGTTGACGCGGTCAACTGGAGTATATAGAGATCGGGACTCTGGTGAGCCGGTTTAGATATGTCGATAGAAGGCAGTCGGACCACATTACCTTCCGTAAGGAATGGTATTTATTAAGTATAAGTTATAAAAGTCGTCAAACCCAAATATTATTAAAATTACAGGAATAGGGTTAAAAGGCTAAACCTTAAATAAATACCTATCTTATAACTCCTGCTTTGTTAATTATAATACTTACCTTATATATTATCATTAGCCTTATATTAACTACAATTATTAGCCTTAACGTTAATCTAAATAAAAAGTTTATTAAAACTCGTAGTAATAACCTTTAATATATGTATTTATAATCTATTGTTAACGTTAAATATTATTCGCTTTTAAAAACCTCATTTTTCTATAAAAATAGCTAGAAATAAAATTGCTTTATACTTGAAACGATATCGGAATAAATAAACAAAAGTTTAATACCCAACGTTTAAGTAAAGGGCTAATAATTGATAATTAATGAATTTTAACGTAAATATCGTATAATAAATATTAACTATTAACCGTTAGCTGTATTATAACTATATTTATTACTACTTAGGTTTATATTTTAATATGTCTTAACTTTTATAATACGTAATTAAAACGTCGTATAATTTAACGCAGCTAATTCGATTAGCATATATATGAAACTTTTCGGTTTCAATATATTATAAAACCCGTTAACACTTATTATAATGCTATTTATATTCTTAATAATAAACATATTCTTTTAACAAACCCGCCTTAAATATACGATGATATTCAAAGCCGTTATAATCATCATAAACCTTCTTTATAAAACTAATAACAAGCCAATTAAATTTTTGTTTTACTAGTCTAGCTTTAAGCTAATATTATTCTTCGTCTTTATAACTAACAGTAAGGTTTACCGCCAGAAAGGACGTTTTCAGGCCTCGCTGTTAATTAATAAACGTATTGATTTAAATATATATAAAACCTTATTAATATTTATATAATAATTTATTTACAAAACTTATTAACGCTTATATCGGTCTTTATTTTATTTTGTATTAATAACGTTATTTGAAATATAGTATTGGTTAATATTTAAAAATTGTTAAAAATTTAAATTAAGTAAAGATTACTAATCTTTTTCTATCTTATTTTATACTGTAGATGCTTAACACGCGTTTTAACGTAATAATACTAAAAACAGAATCCGATAAGCCTTTTATAAATTTATTACTTATTATTTTACACGGTAAGTCATATAATCTTTTCTAAAACTATCGTCGATATATGTATATATATATATGTATTAATGCTTATAAAACCTTAGCCCCCTATAAAAATACACTGGTCTTAATAAATTTTATCGTAAAATTCATACTAATTACATATAAGTAGGTCGATCTAAAAAATACACAATTTTGAATCAATAATATTATCATAATAAAGCTTAACTTAATTAAACACTTTCATACTATTAAAGCTTTATACTAAACACTTTCATACTATTAAAGCTTTATATTAAAAATGCTATAATTGTACTGCTTTAATATAAGTAAATGAAGCTTAGGTTAAGGTAACTATATATATATTATTATTGTAACTCCTTAGTATTTAATAATAAAATAGCCTCGCTTTCACGGGTGAATTTAAAGTACTCTCTTTTGACTTTATCTTTAATAATAATAATAAGAAAATTTTAACTATTCAACTGCCGTTTCTTAATAATATGAAGTTTGACCTCTTTATATTATACACTTAATCTTCTTTGTTAGAAAAGGCGTCTAAATGTCGTATGTAAAACTAGATAGGTACTGAAGCAACCTTAATATATATAAAACTGTAATAATAAACGATAGTTACTTTACTTAAACTAACGAAATTACTTTATTCAAAATAACGTATTACGAATAAAATAAATAGTAATTACGTCATTAAGAGCAACATATTCCATCTTAAGCCTTAGATTTGGGTTTTTTTAATAATAGAAGTATTTGATTACTAACCTATGTATATTAATACTTACTTATTATAAATATAACGTAATATCTATTTAAACCTTTAATTTCAATCATGATTTAATTAGTTTAAAGTATCATATATAGCATTATGATGGAACTAACGTAAGGATCTCGTTAGTAAAATCAAAAAACCTTACTATTAATTTTTAAAACCATTAACTAGGCTTCAACTAATAATAGCCTTATAACAGGAGCTGTTAAAAGCTTTCGATAACGATTTATATTGATCTCGTTATAAGTTATTAAATTAATTATTAGAATTTTAGTTAATACCAACTATATAAAAAAACAACGTATTAAGCCTTGTAACATTTAATTTAGATTTCAGTTTTATTATCGTAAATATTTTGCGAAGAATATTTTATGTTTTTTAGTTTCATTTTATTTAACAGTTGTAACTAACTTTGTTGTCATTTTTAAAACATTAATATAAAGATAATAAAGGCCTTGACTTATATTTAAGCGTTAATTAAACCTCTTTTCTAGCTTATATATTACTTTTATATAAGTCTTTTGTTTACATTTCTATGTATAACGTTACCCATAAAATAAATAAAGTATCGTAAAAGTTTAAGCGACATGATATAGATATATCTATCAATTGGAATTCTGGCTATTATATATTTAAAGTAAAACCTTTTTTCTATTTGAAATAATCTTTATTTTCTTATTGTAAATTATATATTATTAACTTTAACATATAAGATCTATATTACAGGTGAATATAATTCAAGCGGAACATCCTTTTTTACTGACACCTTTTTTAGTTATATAACGGAATTTTTCACTCAATATTAAATATATATTAAAAGCCTATTGAATCTGTTAAGTGAAAGTATCTTCATTTTATGTTAATCTTAAACTTCTTACTTATTAATATACCGCTTACGCGTGAAAAGGCCAATCTTATATTAAATAATAGAAAACCCACGCTATTAAAATTCATTTAATTAATAAATCCATTTATACCATATAAGATGTGTCGTTACGAAGTTATATATAATAAGAGTTTCGGTTAAATTTTTAGAAAATATGGTATCATAATTAACATAAAATCTACAAAAAAACAATAGTTATATACAGTACGAAAAGAACCATTTTTGAATTAAAAGCTTTTATTTCTACTTTAACTAATACTTAATTCTTGATAGCTGATATTACCTTAATTTGTATTAAGAGTTTTATGATAATAATTAGCTTAACTCTTTACACTTTTACTTCGAGTAGTATTAAAAAATAATAAATATATATTATTTTCGAAATATAGTTTACATTATACATAATACCTTAATTTAACGCTTATTAATGTAATACGTTAGTCTTACTAGTTGATAAAACATTGTTAAAGGCTAGAAGATTTTAAAACGTATATTTATTACTTGCGGCTTATAAAGACCTGAAAACACTGAAAAAAAAGGATATGTATACTTTATAAAAAATTATTTGAGTTTTAAATTATTTTATTTTATAACTATAAGCTGTCTAGATATAATAAGACAAATTTATGAAAGAGAAATTCTAGCCTATACCTTTAAAATTAAAATATTAACTATTAAAAAACCTTTTAATATAGCCTTTAACTTTAGCCTAGCTTTTTACTAGCTACTAGTCACGCAATTAAATCAATTCTTCTTAACCCGCGTAGGAATACCTAAATAGACTTTAATAGTAATATAGAGCACGGCCTTACGCTGTAAGAAGTCTCTACTATCACAAGTTGTTTAAAAGCTTAACGAAAGGCCTTTTTTCCTTTCTTCTCTTTTATATAACTAACTTAAATACTCTCCTTTCGCTTTAGATATTAAGTTTAAAACGCTAAGATTATTTAATAACCGTTTTAAACTATAAGATTATAATAGTTTACCGAACTTAATATTTACTTACGCTTATAAAACTACGTCGCCTTATGAAGGTATTAAAATAAGACCTTTTCACGGTGATATTATCGACTTTACGTTAATTAATTAAGTATGTAGGTTTCTTTTGGGAGAAATAGACCTCTTAAAAAGTTACTTCGAAAACGAAAATATTCCCGATAGCATTAATGATATTAAGATTTAGCAGGGATGAAGAAATATTAACCGGGAATTGCGAAGCAAGCTTAATGAAGCAACACGTAAAATACTAGCTAAATATATTAAGTTTTATAAAGACCAAAAGTAAAAGCGGCTAAGTTAAGTAAAGGTGTAACTCAAAGTAATCCATAACTACATCTAGATATAATAAATAAAACATTACAGTTAACGTATATATAATAACGAGTCTATTAATTTTTTAGAATTAAAAGGGTAAAAGCGATTTATAATAAAACTGCTATATATATTAATATACGTAAAACTCAAAACAAAAACAAATTAACTACTTACACAAATCTTTAAAAAAAAACCCATATTTAGAAAAACAAAAAATTATAAATTAGAAAAATAAAAATTTAAAGAATTTAAATTTAAAAAATAAAAAACAAAAAATAAAAAAAAATATTTTTTTTTAAACTAAAAATAAAATTTCTTTTTTTAAAAAAAAATTTAAAAAATTAAAAAACCCCATTTTAAATTTTAAGAATTTTAAAATTTTAAAAAATTAAAAATTTTATAAAATTAAAATTATAAAAATTTCAAATTTTAAAAAAATTATAAAATTAAAAGTTTAAAAAATTCAAAAAATTGAAATTTTTAATTTATCGATTTATATATTATAAATCTATTAATATGCATCTTTGTTCCTATCAATAATTATTCTCTATGTGGGAACAGGCTTGAACGATCAATCATAATACTCGAGTATGGGGTTAAGGTCACGATGTTGCTGATGGTTGAATCGGGAAGTCTGGCTGGACCTGCAGGTCTGGCTAAGTGACCTCACAATCTGGTATCTAATCTCTTATCTAATCATATATGTGGGTTCTGTATGGATGGTTTGACTGTGGAATCACATAGATCCAACACTTTATTATATAAAAAACCTTATA